GCCAAGTTTTGTTGTCTCTTTGCAAGTCTATTGAGAAACAGATCTGGCCCTTTGATCACCCCTTCCGTCAGTTCGATTTGCCCCAGCCGATCCTACGTAACCTTGACGAAAAGCTTCCGACTACGTCGATTGGGTCGATGAAAGAAATGGAGCCTGCAGAAATTGGTCAGCTTGTTCATAACCACCGCATGGGCAACACGTTGTCCAAGCTCCTAGACAATTTCCCAACTCTTAGTGTTGAGACCGAGATTGCGCCGCTTAACCGCGATGTGCTTCGTATTCGCCTTTCCATCTTCCCGGAGTTCACCTGGAATGACCGTCACCATGGAGCATCCGAGTCATTCTGGGTCTGGGTCGAGAACTCGGAAACATCGGAAATCTATCATCACGAGTACTTCATCCTAAGCCGGAAGAAGCTTTACGCTGATCATGAGCTCAACTTCACTATTCCGCTGTCTGATCCCCTTCCCAGCCAAATCTACATTCGTCTGATCTCCGATCGCTGGCTGGGTGCTGAAACCGTTAGCCCGGTTTCTTTCCAGCATCTCATTCGCCCGGACACTGAAAGCGTGTATACCGATCTTCTGAACCTCCAGCCCCTTCCTATATCGGCTCTTAAGAATCCCATTCTTCAGGAAATATATGGGCAACGCTTTCAATTCTTCAACCCTATGCAAACACAGATCTTCCATCTTCTTTACCACACACCGGCCAACGTTCTCCTTGGTTCTCCAACCGGTAGTGGAAAGACCGTTGCAGCCGAGCTGGCAATGTGGTGGGCTTTCCGTGAGAAGCCCGGATCTAAGGTTGTCTACATCGCACCTATGAAGGCTTTGGTCCGTGAACGTGTTCAAGATTGGCGTAAGCGTCTTACCAGCCAGATGGGGTTGAAACTTGTTGAGTTGACTGGTGACAATACACCCGACACACGTACGATTCGAGATGCGGACATCATCATCACCACACCCGAGAAATGGGACGGTATTTCACGTAGTTGGCAGACCCGTGACTATGTCAGGAAAGTGAGCCTCGTGATTATTGACGAGATTCACTTGCTTGGCGGTGATCGAGGTCCCATTTTGGAAATCATTGTTTCCCGAATGAACTATATCGCTTCTCAATCCAAAGGATCCGTTCGATTGATGGGCATGTCCACCGCCTGTGCTAATGCTTCTGATCTGGCCAACTGGCTTGGTGTCAAAGAAGGTCTGTATAACTTCCGTCATTCAGTTCGCCCGGTTCCCCTCGAGATTTTCATCGATGGGTTCCCTGAACAGCGCGGTTTCTGTCCCTTAATGCAGTCGATGAACCGACCAACTTTCCTCGCGATCAAGAACCACTCACCGGAGAAGCCAGTCATTGTCTTCGTTGCTTCTCGCCGACAAACCCGTCTAACTGCTAAGGATTTGATCAATTACTGCGGTATGGAGGACAATCCTCGTCGATTTGTGCGAATGTCTGAAGATGATTTGGAGTTGAACCTTGCGCGAGTGAAGGATGATGCTCTAAGGGAAGCCCTTAACTTTGGTATTGGTTTGCATCATGCTGGTTTGGTCGAGTCTGATCGTCAGCTGGCAGAAGAACTCTTCGCCAACAACAAGATCCAAGTTCTTGTGGCGACTAGTACTCTTGCGTGGGGTGTCAACCTTCCGGCGCATCTTGTGGTGGTCAAAGGCACACAGTTCTTCGACGCTAAGATTGAGGGTTATCGGGATATGGACTTGACCGATGTTCTGCAAATGCTCGGTCGTGCTGGTCGCCCACAGTTCGACACCTCCGGTATTGCGCGTATTTTCACTCAGGACTCCAAGAAAGCTTTCTACAAGCACTTCCTCCACACGGGCTTCCCAGTCGAGTCGACCCTGCACAAGGTTCTTGACAACCATCTTGGCGCTGAAGTATCTGCTGGAACTATTGGGACGCAACAAGATGCATTGGACTATTTGACATGGACATTCTTCTTCCGTCGATTGCACAAGAACCCCTCATACTACGGCCTCGAGATCTCTGCAGAGGAACAAAATACCATGGCAGCCCAGGCCACAGCTCAGGATTTCATGGTTGAATTGGTTGGAAAGTCGCTCAATGATCTCGCAGAATCGTCCTGTGTCCTTGTGGACTCGGCCACTGGAGAGGTCGACTCCACTCCCTTCGGGAAGATCATGAGTTACTACTACCTCTCGCACAAGACGATCCGGTTCCTCATGTCTCATGCCAAGCGTGATCCGACTTTCCAGGATGTCTTAAGCTGGATGTGTTCGGCAAGCGAATTCGACGAGCTGCCTGTCAGACACAATGAAGACCTGATAAATGCTGAGTTGGCCCAGAACTTGCCGCTTTCTATTGACTGCATGGGCGATGCCCCCCTTTGGGATCCACATACCAAGGCGTTCCTCCTCCTGCAAGCCTACATGTCACGGATCGATCTTCCCATCACTGATTATGTTGGTGATCAGACATCTGTGCTCGATCAAGGCATTCGTGTCATCCAAGCTTCAATCGACGTCATGGCTGAACTCGGGTATCTTCCTGCGTGTCAGATGCTGATGACTCTCCTCCAATGCATCAAATCAGCGCGTTGGCCTGAAGACCACCCGTTGTCGATTCTGCCAGGCATCCCGACCGAGAAACCACCCAGTGGTCTGCCAGGAACTCTTGTATCGCTCTCGTCACAGCCTGCTGGTGCAGTTGCTGCTCTGGTCAAGAAATTGAACCTTCCATTCAACGTCACTCGCATTACGTCCCAGCTACCTCAGTTGTCGGTCTCGGTTGCGAATGTTTCTTCCAAGGGCGTTGCTGTGTCTTTGACACGGCGTAACCAGCCCACAACCCCCGAATGCAAGGTCTTCGCCCCTCGTTTCCCCAAGCCACAAACCGAGGGCTTCTTCTTGATTGTTTCCAGTGCTCTGCCCAATGGCACGGATGGCGAGTTACTTGGTCTGAAGCGTGTGTCTTGGCCACCAGTATCCAAGCGTAATGGCAATGGCAACGGCAACGGCAAGGGTAACAACGGCGCTGGTTCCAGCCGCGGAGGGCCTGCCAACGATAGCAAGGGTAGCCTGTTGACCGTTCGGTCCAACGTCAAATTCCCCGAAGGTATTCTCGCGCAATCCACGAGTACCACCACAGCTCGGGTGAATATTAGAGTTATCAGTGACTCGTACGTTGGGATGGCATGGACTGTCTCCAATGTCGAGGTTAATTTGGATACTGGCATCGAGACGCAGACTGTGGAAGAGTGTAGCGTTCCTACCAAGGAGTAAAACCAGATGCTAACCTATTGACTGAACATTTATAAAACAAGTACAAAATGCAATTTACATCTGGTGATTTGGTGCTTGACCGTATATTTTTCTAATCCCTGAATGTTTCCGATCACAAATAAATAGAAAGCCACTTCTTAAGAGCTCCAAGCTTCCACTGTATTTGAAATGTCAATGACCCTTATTCTCTCACCTATATTTTACTTGACGAAGGCCATCCGCTACGTGGTCAACTTTATTCACCGAACTGGTCTCCTCCAACAGTTCTAGTAGGTGACACCTGAGGACGACGACGAACCGACAGGCCCAGCGGCAATGGATCTAGGTGTGGAAGACGATGGGTATCAGCTACTGACGACAGATGATGCTGTGGGATCGAGAAACTCAGCCAGAGTCGATGAACATGCCAATTAACTGACCGAAACAACGCCATTGTCAATTAAAACAGAAGGAGGGGGGAACGTAGAGATGCGGAGATGAGGAGTGAGAGATGGAGGCTGCACTCCATGACAGTCATCATGTTTTGATTTCCTATGTATAGGTTTGGGATTATGCGATTATGGGCTACATTTCTATAGGCGTCTAACTATAATCTCTTCTCTAAGAGCCACCTCATGGGTAACAAGTAGTGAAAAGACTTCAAAGGGGTGTTTCAAAAATTCCCAAGCAAGCCCGCAGGCCTACTTGAAGTAGTCAATTTGGTAGTTTTCAACTAGCAAAAACACGATCTCGGATTTCTCCTCACTGATACGTGTAAAACCCGTGCACTAGGATGGAGAGGAAAAAGAAGAAGAGGAAGTTCTGGGCGCAGGTAGGGGTATTTATACTTCAACGGTTGCCGCGCCGGCGAACCGTCCGCAGCGGCAGCGCCGCGGCAACCAGTTCGCAGTGCGAGAAACAAAAACAAATTATTGCTCATTGGCTGTATGAATTTTAAATATAATAATTTTCTAGCAACAGAATCATTGTCTGTGTTCTACAACCCTCGGCTTTCACAAAAGGCACTCCATTCATCTTGCGGTAGATTATCAATCCGCTCTCGGCTTCAAGCACCCGACGCACCTAATAGCTATCTTGTCGGGTTAGATCGGTTGGATCTCTGCTAGTTGAGTAGTGGAACAATAGCATGTCGGATTGTCATACGGGAATCGAGTGATCTGGCACCGGAAGAGATCTTCCAATGCTTCTTTAGTTTTGGGGAATGATTCTGGGTTGTTGATATATTGGGCATCTAGTTCAGATACTTTGTTAATTGCGCTGATGTAAATTCCGTAGGTAACTAGAGGTCAGTTTTGGAGTTATCAATTTGTCGATCATCTAGCAAAATGTGGAATGGCTTGTTTGTTTCAGCTAAATGATAATATGTTCGAAATAAACAACATTACGGTGAGCCTGCATGGTAGCTCGCGACACATACCCCAAAGAGAAACGAATCAACGAACCTGGAGTTTGAGCATATTGTCATTCGGAGCCAGGATTGAGCGAGTTTTACAATGATTGGCCCTAGGGGCTCTGTTAATCTACATTTCCTACAATAAGTGCATGTGAGACATGGCGGACGGAAAATAAAAACGACCATGAATATAATATGAGCTAGCCAAGGCATGGATTAGAAGATTGTAGAAGACCATAGAGAACGAAAGAGACGTATGGACAAAATATGAAACATGCAAAGGGGAATCAGGTATGAAACAAAAAAGCCAAGAAAAAAGAATGAAAGATCGGCGCAGTAGAATGTCACAGACACTCTATTTGCAACTCCTGCGAAACACCAGGCCGATGGCCCCGGTGGGCATCTGTAATCTGGGGTGTCATAGGTCTTCTGTGCACAACCCGCTCCTGCGGGTCTAGATGATCGACCCTCATGCCAATGGGTACTAGAACCTGCCGCTTTGCCCGTGACACAGAGACAGAGCGTGCTATTGAGATCTCCACTTTTGGGATAGGACGTCTAGGCTCGGGCGCAGGCTCTTCGGTATCAAGAGTCTCGACATCGGCGAATGGCATGCGCGTAGACTCTGCTGGTGATACACCGGATCTAGGACCGGTTGATGCTGACGATGGGGACATGATTCGGTCAATCTTGGATTGGGTCGCATTTAATGCTGAAGGAGAGCTTCGAGATGTACTGGACAGTGTGTCCTTTGAGGGTGGGTGTGGTCGGCCTTCGGTTTTGACTCTGAGATGCGGTCGCACTGAATCGTTGGTCCTGTGGCTTGATGTCGTATTGGGCTGTTGTGTGGTTTTGTGTTGTGGCGAAGAAACCTGGGGCTGTCTTTCTATGGCTCGCGGTAGCGAATCCTTTCTTGATTGTGGATGAACCCTGTGCTGAGCAACGGGCTTTGTCACAGCAATATTGTGGGGTTGGGCGCTTTGTTGTGGTCGAGTCTTCTGCGGGGATGGGATTTTCTTTTCTGGCTGGACACTCTTCTGTATTTGGGTCTGTGGCTCCGGCTTGATAGCAGGAAGAGGCTTGTCGTAGCTACTAGAGGAGCGGGGTGTATTGGAACGCTCAGAGAAGAGCTTCGGAATAACGGGTGACTCAAATGATGTGACACTACCCATGTTTGAACCATGGAGCTGTGGTGGACGCATCTTCGAGGGGCTTTCCACAGGAAGTGTGTTTGCTCTCATTAGTGGGCTCGGCCCGCGGGAGAAATTCTGCGTGCCGAGTACCTGGGACGCTTTTGAGGGCTGCGAAGTTGGGAACAAGGTGAAGCTTGATTGCGCTGGTGATGTTGCGCGGCGTTGGGGCATTGGGGGTGGTGCAGCTGATTTTAGGAAACCCTATATCAGTAATCGGTTAGTTCCACGCTGTTTTTTTTTTTATCGATGAAAATCCATACATTTGCATCTGGCACGCGAAGATTGTCCAATGTTTTAGCCCTCCTGGCCAGCAGTGAGGGTTTTTGGTTCTTGTTGACGACATTGCTGAACATGACACTGTATCGCTCCATCTGAATATCTGGGATATCGACACTCAGTAAAAGGTCCCGGGGACTTGATTCCTCCTTGGGTGCCTTGTTGCCGAGTGAAAAGTTCCGACTCCGCTGGGGAGTTTGATCACTTCGACCAGGCATAGGCATACTCCTGGGATCAACCTCAATTTTCGGCCACTCTTCTGTCGAATTCTTTCTCAGTCTTGCTTTGTGCGGTTTCTCCGGTAGATTATCTTTATTGATTTGTGGCTTGAAGGTGGTTTCTTGTGCGGCATCTGATGGCGATGTAAACGCATTCTTTGCCTTGAAGAATCCGCCAATCTTCTTCCACTTGCTGGGCTTATTGGCTGAATCTTTTTCTGTAAAGATTGATTCATCAAATCTGGGGGGCGGTAGAGCCTGATCTTTGTTTAACATGCCGGGACTGCCCAGCGCGATACCAATCATATGGTGGTCAGTTTGGGTACGGCCGGATCGGGTAGATTGAATGGCTTCATCTGGTGGCGCTGTTAGGCAAAAGTCGAAAGTTGCGCTTTGGCTCGGAGGTGGCTTTCTGAACCACCCATCTCCCGTAGAGGGCTGGCTGAAATCCCACTGTCCCATGATTGGCTGAGTTGGACGCTGCGAAGCCTCAAGAGATTGAAGGTCGTTCCGCGGCAACGCATCGGTATAGGTCAAAACAGGAAAGGAGATGGTCTCCTTCGATTGCGTGTGAGACTGAACTGTTGTCATACCCCTTGCCATCTCTAAAATATTGGAATCCAGCCGATATGCGATAATAAAAAAAAGAGTGTTAAGAAACCAAAAATATGTCAAAGAATGATATTAAAACAAAAGCCCTAAAAGAAGGAAGATATAACCCTGCCAGAAGGCCAACACAGAAGAGAAAAAAACAAAATCGAAGGGTAATGCTGTATATTAATGAAGGCAAATGAATTGAGTGGAGTCCAAGGTCCATGTAAATGAGACGGGCCCAAATTAATTCCATTGGACCTCCATCCTAAATCTGCTAGAGGTAAATAAGTGCCCTTAGTCTGGGGCTGAACCAACGAAACATAAGAATCCAGTCCCAAACCTCGCAGGGAAATTCTGTTTTGGAATTTGAGGGGCATCTCAGCGCTAATATCAAGCCCGTGTGCGATGCTTATTTCCCGTGGGACGAATAAAACGTCTCGGTTGCGGATTGAAAAGCTCGCTACCACGTTAGAAAGGGGCTAAGCTGTGCAGGAGGCGTGTTTCACCCTGTTAAATCTGAGACTGGGCGTTTTACTCTCTTACCCTGGAAATCAGGGGGAGAAGCTGGATTGGATGTTCATATCGCACGGTCATGTCATGAATTCTCCGATGCGTTGCATGAGTCGTCAATGAAATATGATGCCAAGACTGTCTCGCGTCTAGGTTTCTCCACGTTCCAATGGTATAGCTTTTTTTTCATGTCTGGTGTAAAGATGAGATGAGACGAAATCTCTCCTTAAATAGCGGTCAGATCAGGATTAGGATCAGCCCCTGAGATTCAGGCACTCAGGCATCGTGATCGACGGTACATGGATGACTGGACTGGACTGGACTGAAAGCGGTTATATGTATGTCATACATATCTTTATGAGTATGAAGGTACGAAGTACTTTAGAATAGACATATCCGAAGTTGAAGAGTTGCTGTCCGGAGAAATCTCCCACCGCTACTTGGTATAAACAGAGGTTAGTTATATCAGATATCCTATATACTCAACTCCCCTATAAATATAATTATACTATTCTACTTATGTTGTATAAAGTAAATATAGACAAAATAATCTACTCAAAATAAATAAAGCTATATAGCTTGTTGTCCCAAGTTGCAAACGGTAGGATCGTCATATGGCGGGGTCCTCTCCCGACCGCCACAACTTCTTTCTCCCCCACTTTCTTCTCTTCTCTCTCAGCTCTCCTTTTTTTTCCTGTATATTCAAAAGGTGTGCTGAAATCTCTGCTTCTTTTCTTCTTCTCTAACCAATTCAGCGTTATCCTCTCAACTTCTTTACAGTCATCATGGGCGAGCACTCAGCAATCTGGCAAAGTATGAATCACCTTGAACCTGCAGACTGCAGACTGCAGACAGTTCAGCCCTTGCTTCTTCAAGTTCGCTAACATATTTCTCCTTGAATTAGGCTATGTCGACACCAGGTACATCACCCTTCTTCGATCCCTGATATGCCCCTCCACACTATCGAAACCAAATAATCCCCCCGCGTCTATCCGATACATGTACTAACAAGCTTCTTTTCATAGCCTGATGGGCTCGGGTCAATTCGACAAGGCTGGTATTCTCGCCGCTGACTTCTCTGGTGTTGAGGCTGCCTCGCCCGGCTTCGCGGTAAGCTCACCTATTGTTTTTTCTCGTGCGGGGTGGGGTCACAGACATCAACACAGTCGCTAACGTTACTGGTTAAATATAGCTTTCCCAAGACGAGATCAACTCCCTGATCACCGCTTACACCTCTAGCGACAAGGCTTTTGCCGGTGGCTTCTCTGTCTGTGGTGAGAAGTTCGTCACCATCAAGGCTGACGAGCGCAGCCTGTACGGCAAGAAGGTGAACATATCCCGTTCCCCTCCAGAAACATCTTCGGAATTATATGTGCTAATCCTTGTCTGTGATATAGGGTAAGGAGGGTGTCATCATTGCCCGTGCCTCCTCTTGCACCATCATCGCCCACCACAACGAGTCTGTCCAGACCACCAACGCTGCCACCGTTGTCGAGAACCTCGTCGACTACCTCAACAACCCCCAGTAAATCGGAAAATATGCAATGATAACTAAATGATGTGATGAGTTGAGGGGTTTGTGAAGAATAGGAAATAAAGGAGCACTCGACTATTTCTCTGAGCCCAGCGTGATGTTTCGCTTATGCTTCTTTCTGGCTTTTGTGACTGGATCTCTTTGCCTCGATGGGCGTCGATCTAGACGTTCCCAATGCACAGTATGAGGATACCAGATTGTATGATGCACAATGTAACTTGTCTATTCTAACATGCATATTAACTGATCACCAGCCGCTGAGTCAACGCTGGAAGATCAATAAGGGTCATTATTAATTACATAAATCTGAAGGGCGTAGTTGGATCATTGGATCATATCATCCCGTGTCACATGTATAGCACAGCGTACTTGGAAATCTCCAAACATGGGTGTGCATCCGACATCCCGCAAGCGTACACGATGAAAGTCCGCATTATTTGAAGGTTTGGATACCGTCAGGGAACCTCATCGTCAGACTCCTGCTTGTGTATACTCATACGGGAAGCTCGGCATTGCTCCTCCCACCTGCAAGCACCTCAAGTCCACGTTGGATATACGGCCCTACCACGGGGATGTTACCGGCGAATTGACCGATCGTGACAAGGAAGTCGCCAAACAAGATGAACAAGCCGTAGAGTTCTATCAAGAACCCAGTCAAGGGCCAGCGGAAGAGAATGAGCATAATACCAGCGGCGAAAGCGGCAGTGCCCTTGAGCTTTGCAGGGCGCGTGAAAAAGACCATGGTTTTCTGAACACCAATGATCAGAGTCAATCCGATGAGAAAGAGGACCTGGTTATGTTAGTTAGGCGTAGCGAGTTTCGTTAGAGGGCATGGCGCACATTTCCCATAGCAAGTCTAGTAAAATCAGCATTAGCATTTATTCTCCAAAAAGAAGCGGAAAGTCTGGAGGACATACAATGACCGATCAAAGAACATCACCACTCCTCCAAATAGGAACAAGCCTCCTAATCAACAGCAAAATTGGTTAGTTCTCAGTCCAAATACTTAGTACTTTGGAAAGCCACTCTCGTACCGGCTGAGCAGAAGATCACACCGATCTCTGTTATATATATTAGCTTATGATCGACAATCGCGACTCATGCACTGTCATGACAGTGGACATCGCAGCTTGTAGAATGAATGCGACTGACTCTGGTTCTCTGTTAACCACATGCTGGGCATCTTTGTTTATTTCGGGTTCGAGTGCTGGTAGCGATATATGGGACCGAGGGTTGCACAGATATTCTTGCAGTATTTTAGAACACGCGACAGTCAAACAAGTGGTCTGCGGTGGAATCGGTAAAAGGCGAGGTAGATGCGGAGACAAAGCGGAGATATTGATGGCGTCGTTGAAAGCGGATAGTCTAGATTATTGTAACAGTATGCTGACTTGAAAAGATCACAATAGATCAAAAGGTAAAGTCGCAAGACACGTTAATGTTGTAAACAGAAACAACTCAAAAATCACCATTCTGCCATCTAATCGACGCCAAGTCTAGAATGGTAGGCGGTAACTCCAAAGTTTTTATAGTGCGCTGATCATTCCATTCTGTCCTTTTCCTTCACAGTTTTCGATTGGCAAGGTCATTAATGATGTGATCGTTCCAAATAGGTATCAACCTCGAATTTCAGACTAAATCTACTGGTATTCAGATATACCGAATTACAACTTCGAGCACAGCTCATACATAGTCAGGGCTATCCCCTGTTGCAGAATCTTCCTTTACAGATATTCTGTACATGCCACGCCGCGACGACAGTCTCTTCGGATTCTGTAACTGGTACCCTGTCCCATGGGGTGTCGGTAATAGTCGAGTGCTTATGCACAAGGCGAAGAAGGACTCATTGATCACGAATAAGCCGGAGCGTTTTCTTGAGCCTGTCTCGAAAGGGGCATGGTGGGGTGGAAAGGGCTTGACTGTGTTGGTCGTACATAACGCTTCTTGCGGTTCGTAGTTGGTTGTGTCTAGTTGAATTGATTAGTCGAGTTATCTATCCAAGCTCATTATTGCATGACATACTCATTCTGGGATGATTGTTCGTGTGGGAACTGAATAAAGCTGGCTTTTGCTGCACCTTTACTTCAGGATGGTGTGCGCCCCACGCGCTTCCAGGTAGTTCTCAGGAACACCCTGTGCCAAAGTCCGGATCACCTTGAAGATCTCCTTGTCATGATACCGCAGCCGGGTCTTGGGGTCGGTGTACGGTCCATTGAGGCCCGTGATATCGCAATAGTGATGGTGGTAGGCAGGGTTAAACGACGGTGCCGACTCAATGTTCGTGTAGGTCACGGCGGGTCCAGTTGGGAATGTCGCCCGGGCGTTCTTCTCCAAGACAAGAGTCGAGAGATTTTGGGTGGCCTGGGACAGATTGGGTGCAGCCCCTTCCGCGGGGGTTTGTGTGCCATCCGTGATAGCGCCCGGGGCACCTGGTGTAGTTGCGCCAGAGTTGGCTTGGGTTGCCATCACTGATGCCTCCTTCCGGGAGGCCTCTGAGATAATCTGCTTGAGGTTCTTGTTGCGACGCTGGGATGGTTTCCAGTGAGGGTTGCGGAAGGGCTTGGGGACATGTGAAATGTCTAGAGCATTCAACAGCTGCTGGTGAGCTTCATCGTTGGCGGCATTTGGTGGAGGCATGGTATTGAATATGGTTCAGGGCAACGGTACGGTCAATTGCGAGGCCGAGGCGGAAACAGTTTGGTGTGTATGGACGGATGCAAGTGTGAAGACAGGGGTGAGGATGGGAATGATCCAAAAGTATTAGATTCCTGAGTGGCAGAACTTGGTCATATATTATAAGGGATTCAAAAGGTGGTGTCAAACGGACAAGGTCAGGTCGAAAGTAGAAACATTGAAGCAATGCAAGTATCCCCGATCCATGAAGTCTGTATAGCTGCACGTGATCATATCCCGATCAAGTCCAAATAAACACATTCACGTCTAACATCAACCCAACATCTATCAATATTCAGCCATGGTATGTGGTTTCTCTTCCTTGTCTGGATTTTTTGCCTTCTGAAAGATTCCAGATGCTAATGTCTCCTTAGGAAAGCCCCCACGAGCATCAGCAGACAGTTCTGCTATCCCGCATCATCACCAACGTTGTATGACATGATTGAATCACCTTTGCAGGATAACATTTGCTCACTATTTATAAAGGAGAAACTCAATGAAGCCATTATGGTCATGAACAAGGGTCTCCAGGTAGGTTTGAGCCTTTTTCATTGATATGATCATAGGATTGACCCTCAATCACAGGAAGTGAATATCCAGAACATGAATGTTGAGCTGGTGGCGCAGATGTTCAAGAACTACCAGTCTAATGTTCTCTTCCACCTCGAAGGTATTCATTACTCTATTCTCATATCTTGACCTTGAAATTCTCTACTGACGCCCTATAGCCACGGAGAACCTCCAAGAGCCATCCTAAGTAACCCTAACGATAAACAATTTACTTTAACGAAGAAATGTGGGGACGAGCAATTAGTCAATGATACCAGGTTCTAAATCCAATAAGCATATGTAAATGGTTTGAATCTTTGCATCCCTTTACTCCATAAAAGCGATAGTGATAGCCTCTATTCTTGGCGGTCCAACTCCGCCAAACCTCATCAACCGCGTTTGTATCGTTTGCCTCTTTGTCAATCTGCCCTTCCAAGGTTTCCACATATTTATTGGTTTCCTACCCCAACCTTGTTTCCTATGCAGTGAGCCCTATTCGATATCTACGATCTCCGATCCCAATAGCTCCTGGTTTCCGGAGCGCAGCCCGCCATGACGATTACCTCCGTGCAGCGTCTCCTACCAGCTCGCATTGCAGCCAATACCACCGAGCAACGAACCGAGAAGCCTCCCCCACAACTCCACGGCGTGCAAGACTTTCCATTCAAGGGATATCACCCTCCGCAACCCGAGGGATATCAGCAGAGCCAAGCCCATCCCCACACCAGTGCCATCGTTATTGACAATGGTAAGGAATTCCAGATAATTTGTCATTCAACACTCCTAACAAATGTGGTTCATGCGCAGGCGCTCACCTGGTCAAGGCCGGTTGGTCTTTTGACAAAAACCCCCGATTTGCCATACCTCCGGTCATGAGCCGATACCGTGATCGCAAGCTCAATCGCCAGTGCCAATTTATCGGATATGATGCATACGTCGATGCGACTACAAGAGGACAGCTGCGAAATGGGTTTGACCCTGGCTCCAGTGTTGTTGGTAACTGGGATGTCATGGAAGGCGTGTTGGACTATTTGTTCATCAAGCTGGGCGTGGATGGTGCAAATGGGGGCGTCGGGCGCCCGATCTTGATGACAGAGCCAATCGCCAATATGCCATATTCAAGGAAGAGTGAGTATCTAGCGGTTCCAGTGCCAGTACGGCCGTTGCTGACATTCCTTCAGTGATGAACGAGATTCTCTTCGAGTGCTACTCTGCGCCGTCAGTGGCCTACGGTGTGGATTCCCTTTTCTCCTATCGCTATAACGGTGGAACGGACGGTTTGATTGTGGACTCGTCGCATACGTCCACCCATGTTATTCCGGTCATGAACTCGAAACCCGTGCTCTCCAACAGCACTCGTCTCAACTGGGGTGGCCTGCAGAGCGCCGAATACCTGATGAAGCTCATGAAGCTGAAGTACCCAACCTTCCCGACTCGCCTGACGGACGCACAGATGGAGGAAATGGTTCATAAGCACTGCTACGTCTCACAAGACTACGATCGCGAGTTGAATGGGTTCCTCGACTGGACGGGACTCGAGGACCGTGATCGCGTCATTCAGTACCCGTTCACAGAGCATATTGTTCAGGAGAAGACCGAAGAAGAGCTGGCGCGGATTGCGGAGCGCAAGAAGGAGAGCGGCCGTCGCCTGCAAGAACAGGCTGCAAGGATGCGACTTGAGAAACTAGTGAAGAAGGAGCAAGAGCTGGAGTACTGGAAAGATCTGCAAAATAATCTAGCCAACGAGACTAAGAAGGAGATTCGTCGCGTGCTGGAAGCCGAGGATCTGAAAGACGAGGCTGCGCTTGAGAAAGTGATTCGCGAGCTAGAGAAATCTATCAAACGCTCGCGCAACAAGGATCTAGGCATTGAAGAAACCGAGGAGCAGCCTGAGGAAATGACATTCCCTATGCTCGATATCCCAGACGACCAACTGGATGAGGCTGGACTGAAGGAAAAGCGCCACCAACGTCTCATGAAGTCCAACGTCGATGCTAGACTGCGAGCGAAAGAAGAGAAGGAGCGCGAAAGGGCTCGTATTGAGGAGGAGGAGCGTATAGACCGTGAGACGCGTGAGAACGATTTCGAGAACTGGATTGCAAAGCGCCGCGCCAATCGCCAGGTATGTTGACCGGACATGACTCTTTAATTTCCAATACTAATATTTCTCAGAACATTCTACAAAGAATCAAAGACCGTGACCGTTTCACGGCTGATCTTGGAAATCGCAAATCTCTGGCCAGTCAGATGCGTATGAAGACACTGGCCAATCTGGCATCCGACGGTCCTAAGAAACGTCGTCGCGGCGGGGATGATGATGACTTCGGTGCCAATGATGAGGACTGGGGTGTTTATCGCACCGTAGCTGTTGGCGAGGGCAGTGATGATGAAGAAGAGGAGGATCTAAATGGTATGCTCGACTCTGTAGAGAAGGAGCTCCTCGAGTACGATCCCGAATTCAACGAGAACAACACATTCGCCGCACAGTCCGACTGGACAAAGAGTCTTGTACACGCTTTCCTCCGCGGACCCTGGCCTTTCGATCCCGAAAGCCAGCGAGAGGCACACCAGCTCCATCTGAACGTGGAGCGCATCCGTGTGCCTGAGGTTGTGTTTAAGCCGTCCATTGCTGGCCTCGACCAGGCTGGTCTGATCGAGATCGCGGCCGATATCATTAATCAACGCTATTCCAACCCAGCAGACCAGGCCCTTCTTCTAAAGGACGTGTTCCTGACTGGAGGAAATACGTTGTTCACCGGTTTTGATGAACGCTTCCGTAAGGAAGTCCGCGGATTCCTACCCATTGACGCTAAATTGAATGTACGCAAAGCATCAGACCCTGTCTTTGATGCTTGGAAGGGCGCGGCACAGTGGGCTTCTGGTGGTGACCTAGGCCGATGCTCGGTCACACGGGAAGAGTACATGGAGAAGGGCAGTGAATACATCAAGGAGCATGAACTTGGCAATGCTACATGGTGAGAATAAAAAAGAGCGAGTTCCCGAAAACACCTTGGGCGCACTGGAGTCAAATGGTCTGCTTATCCGGCGTGGTATAGGGCATGTTTATTTGATACTTAAAAGGTGTTATTGCAGAGTCGGTAGTAAGCGAAATATGAGATGTTTAGCCTCAGAATAACTACTACGTTAATAGAGCCCGTCTTGCCTTCAATGGGAAACAGTCTGTCTTTCCGTTTTACTCTCACTCTAATCAAATTTCACATTAAAGCCCTAAGGGGCTTATAATCCTCTCCTGTATGCCTCGCAACCCTCTTTACCTGTCTATCTCTTCCTTGACTCTTTCAATCCCGAGCTTTCAGTCTATTAATCCACACACCTTGATAGCAAGGGATCCAACGTATTCCCCAGAGTAAGGCCTCCCATCTATCAATGAGCTGTGTTTAGAGTTGGGGGTCTGAGACATCTCCATGTTAAGGCCTCTGGGGTGATTCACGTTAAGCCCGTTTGAGGTCCATGAGAATGATACCCACACCAAGTGTTACGCTTGCACTGACCAATGAAAGCCAACAATTCTGATCTTTTGTTCTCGGCTATGTCGGAACATTCTTGTAGACCAGTCCATTCACGACATGGCCAGTCGAGGACGACAAAGTTGTACGAACGAATATGATCTATTGCACTAGTTACACGACACTGGCCATTACTGGCATAGTTTCCAATTTCTATCAATCGCCAATCCCTCGAACCGGTGTCTTGAATAATGTAAAGCTGATCCAAATCCAAGTACTGAAGTAAAGGGACTATATATAACTAGTGCATCGAACAAAGTTCCAATAAGACCCAGGTGAAGCCATAATCCGAAGAGAAACCCCCTGTTTACAGATTATGTTGTTCTCGGTGGTTATGCGGTGCAATATACATACTCATCCATCTGATTGGATAGTAACTATCATATCACGGGGCTAACCAGACGTTGAATTATCCGCAAGCTGCCGGGCTTTTCGTTTTGTTAACGTCGGTTAATACAGTGGAGAATTTGAGGTATCTCCTTATAGCATAACAATGCCATTGCCACAGGCCTATATACTTTACGTATAAAACAGAAATTGAACTTGCATATAATCTCGAATACATGAAAAAGTGACAATCTCCAATTGCCTTTTCGATACCTAAGTGCCAAATTGGGATCTGGCCCATGTCTGGTCCTGACTTCATGCAGAGGCCATCATGACGCGCCTGGGGAATTCTTGCTTAGACATGTATCTTTGTTTGCTTTGGAACTAGTGATGTTGGGATGACCCCGAGATATAAAACCCTTCCTCTGCTCTTCTGTGGAAGCTGATTCCTTTTTTAATACTATTTTCTATTCTATTATCTCAGGCGTGTCACAATACACTTAGCCTCATTGCGCCTTTCACGTTTTGTATACTTACTACAATGAGCTTCACAACTACAATTGCTCGTCCACTGCAGTTGCTCACTCGAGCCCTCCAGTGGTCCAGCGTTGTCATCGTCATGGGTCTAACCTCGTTCTTCATCCACCACGGTCCCCGTGGCCAGCACACCACTTACCAAGAGATCATTGTATGTCATTCACTTTCTCAAAGCCTCGCAGAGTCATCTCTAACCGTAAGCTTAGTCTACCATCTCAGTCGTCTTCTTCCTCCCGGCTTTCATTTCGCCCTTCCTACCCTCGTCGTTGAGCAGATTCGTGCTCGCTATCGACGTCGTCTTCTCCTACCTGTATGTCAACATCCAATCATACCTATATCAAAGTCTCTGATATCTATTCTAGCTGGTTGACTGCCTTTATTTTCTCCGCGCAAGACTACAGTGGAAGTCGGTGCTACTACGCTAACCCCGCAGGCATCGGCTGCAAACGCAAGAGAGCCAATGAAGCATTCATCTTCGTAGCTTTGTACGTAGCCTGAATTCTTCTAGCTGTTGTGATTTTATGAAAACTAATCTCGTCGCAGCATCTTCACCATCTTCGGCATGCTCCTTGAAGTCGCTGCCCTCTGGGCCTATCGCAGGGAAAATAGCCCTAACCACTCCACCGAGACCAAAGTCAATTCCGGGACTCGTCCACCTATGGATGCTCCTGCAGCTCCTGCTGGAACTGTCTAATCAATGTCTTAATTGCCTCCCTGACAAATATATGTCTACTACCTCTTGACGTGGTCAATGGTTGTCGATATATCATTCACTGGGATGGGGATGTTGGGCTTACTGCACCTTGTATTTTGGGTTTCATTTCTTCAAGTAGTCTTTTGGTTTTCTGATGGGCTTGGATTTTGATAATGGCGGGATTGAACATAGGCTACTATGAGCCGAGGTGCGGTGAGAGAAGGTGAAGTTGATATGCGATGGACAGTACTATGTACCTTCATCGCAGACTCGGGGACACTTTTTTCTATCAACTGTGTTCTTTTCTCTTAATACTTTAATCGATTAATTACTTTGGAAACATTGGGATAGTCGATACATATGTCTAGTGATACCATTTCCCTTTTTTGAATCAACATGTACGAGATGCCAGTGTAAAAATGTTGGAAGTAAATGTCATATGACTACCAGCAAAGCTGTATTTCTATTTCTATCAGGCTATTTACAGTATACACTGAATGTACATGTTCAACAAGAGAAGCCACTCGCTCGGTATCTTGGGCAAGAGCGGTGCCAGCATTAAGCAGAGCAAATCGTATGCAGCTCTGAACACTGCATATCAAAAGTCAAGTCGTTGCTGTATTGGACTTGAGATATTATGCAGGGGTCGGTTGAAGGACAATGTTGCGTAGTTAGATACTAGCTCGGCGGGGAGCCATTGTCCGTTGTAGCTTGCGCTTTTCCTCGGTTTCCTCCGGGATAGGCAGTGAGCCCTCGCTCTTCAAGCGATCGAGGAACTCCTTTCCATATGCGTAACCAACTTTGTAGATCTCGTCGAATTTTCCGAACTCTAGGGTGCCGTATGGGTCGATAGGAGGACGCATGTATAGACAGCCAGGTGTACTCTTTGCGCGCTCGAGATTGTCGAATGATGAGACATAGGCCAGTCGTGCTTGGATTTCAGAAAGTGTAGGTGGGTTGGGGAGTGAGGAGAAGGGGTTCCACCGGTTAAACACAGACCAGAATCCTGACAACGAGTCTCCGAATCCTTGGGGCGTGGTGTCGTCGATAGACCCAACATCAATTGCGAAGATGACATCCGCACCAAGACTTTTCATATGTGCCACAGTGAGATTGTCGATGTAGCCACCGTCAAGAAGCATACTGCCTTCGTCACAGATAGGAGGCATCAGGCCAGCCAACGTCATCGAAGCCCGAACGTACCGCCAGACGTATCCAGACGAGTGATACTCGATTCGAGATCGGCTGATATTGGTTGTGTTGCAGTAGAACTCTAACCAAAAATCTTCAATTTGGCTGTCTCCAAAGGTCTTGAAAATACCGCGGTTGAACTCGTGACCCGTGGTGTAGGAAACGGTGGGATAGGTCAGGTCCAGAGCAAACCGCCACATACTTCCCATGCGGCCGGAGAACTTCTTGGCTCGCCCGTACATGGGAACAACATCAGCGTCACGCGCGTACAGAGCTCCAATGAAAGAACCGATCGATGTGCCACCGATGATATCAATTGGGATTCCGGCCTCCTCGAGCGCTTTAATGACACCAACTTGCGAAATACCACGCGCTCCACCACCGCCCAGTACAAGACCCACAGACTTGCCGCACAAACGCCGAGCCAGACGATGGAAATCACCCTTGAAAGGGGTCTGCGGGGAATAGAGTGGGGTTTGTTGTGCACGTCGGGACGTATACTTTTGAATCTCGGCTTGCAGGATTTGCACGCGCTGCTTCAGTACAGTACCAAACTTCTTACTTGGCTGATGCGCAGGGTCGGTGGTCGAGCGGAAGGCCATTTGGATGTGGTGATGGCCGCCGTTAATCCACACCCGGTTCTTGAGCCATTCTCGGGTGAGTCCAGGTGCACAGTATCGTTCCGCATGCAAAAGAACCAGTTCTTTGCGAGCAGTGGTCTTCATACCCAGTAGGAACCGCTCATATTCACCAATTCTTGGCGAAGACTCTGCAAGACCCACCAACAGAATAGAGTCGGCTTGTGCGATGCAAGTCTGAGTCCACGGTGCATTCACATTAGTGTCAGCGATGTACAAGACCATTCCGAATTTCTCTTCAAGGTCAGCCAGGTATTGGGAAAGCTTAAGCTTTCCCATCTTACTGAAGGCATGGCGCCCCAAGTGGTTCAAAATCGTCGCTTGGTTGAGTGACGTGACACCTCTAGTCACACCAACTTGGTGCAACGCCTGCAAGAGTCTATGACCAAATTCCACAACCGGGACGCCAGCCATGACTGGAAGAATTGCCACGGTGCGCAGATTGACTGTTGAGGTTGCAGTCTGAACACCACCAGCCTGTCTTTGTTCAATCCCCTTTTCAGACAGCGGATGCTCAACTAAATCACGCATTCGCTGGGCAATGAGTTTAGAGACCTGAATGGTAATTCCAGGATGTTCCTGGGCAAGACTGTTGAAAAGAGACCGGGGGAACTTGGCTAGTTCCGTTTCCCGGATGGCATGCAAAGTAGATGGTCTTGTAGATTCAGTCATGACTTCAAGTTCGCCAACACTCTCACCCTGACCGTGTTCGCCAATGACAGTAATCTTGCCGTTTGGCCCTTCAAGGACAGACCTCAGACGACCGTTTAGAACAAGATAAATAGCATCGCTTTCATCCCCTTGGTGATAGATCACTTGCCCTGCGCTGACCTGAACCCACTCTAGCGCGAAATCAATGTGAAGTAACAAACGAGGCAACAGTCGTGTCAACCGCTTCGCCAGCGTTAATAGGGCAGCTGGATGTCTATCTGCAATTCTCTCGAGGGAAGCACGGGGAAGGAATCCAACATAAACATCTGTCTTGGCCACGACATCGGTGTAGGAGCGGTACGATGCAAGAGCACCTACATACCCTTGAATGCCTCCAGGCTTGATCAGGTATAGCGATTTGCGGGACTGCGTTTTCCGTCGAGGGTCATTGCTGCCTGCTGCACCAGAGGCGGTGCGCGACGATGCTGTTGTTGTTCGTCTCAACTTCGGGAACAGGTCCTCTTGCGCCTGCGAAGCAGATCCATGAGAGGACCCAATAAGCGTGTCATCGCGTTCATCCGCCGGAATACCCGCGTCCAAGAATCCATCAATGACGTAGTAGAGACCTGGATGGCGCTCGCCCTGTTCCACCAGAACCGAGCCTTGTGGGAAGTACACCACTTCAATGTCATGGAGGAGGTCTTCCCGCAAATTTGTGATAGGCGAAGTCCCCCCTGCGCTCGTCACTGACATGGAGGACATCATGGATTCGCTTTCGCCATCACCGGACCCTTCGTAGGGATCCATGAAGCCAAAAGCATTGGAGAAGACTGCCTTCTGGCGGCGGTTATCGTAGGAGAGAAGTCTCGGCGACGCGTCCCCGGAGTGAGTGCTCTTGCGCAGATTATCGCGTGTGCCTTCAGTGAGTCCAATACCCTTCATCATACAGTCCAGGATCGATTCGCGGAAAATAGCGTCCTCGTCAACTGACTCATTTCGCTGGAAAGTTGCAGGCAGACCGTTCATTGCAGCAGATACAAATTGAGGTTGTTCCCGCTCAGTAAGAGGAGTCTGGATGCGAGGTGCTAAATGTTCATGTCGCGGTCCAAACCGGGACAATTGTATCGTTGATAGCAGATCACCGGGGCTGACACCTGCCGAGTCCCTATCAAGGAATACCGATGGTGGCCTTTTTGGGCTCAAGGGTGTGAGAGAGCGCTCACTGGCCACCTTTGCTTGCAAAAAGGCTTCTTTTCTAAGAGTACTGCTCGACCGTCCTCTGCGGCTGACAGAAGGATTGTGAAGAGCAATACCTTTTCCAATTTCCTCTGGCCCCAATCTCTCTCGCTCCCGGGTAAATTTGTCCTTCAGGCGATCCAAGACACTTCCTCGAAGATTATTCGGAAGGTCCCATGAGGTGTATTTAGACATTTGCCGTTCTATGCCCAAAACCTCACCAGTAAGGCCCAGATAAGAATGCGCTGTAGCGAACGTGACTCGCTGGAGACGTGTCAGGATAACCTGCACAATATGTGATGTTGCCCGTGGGTAGACCCTAGTCAGGCGGCGAAATGCGCTCGCTGGGATGATAGCAATCGTCGTGTCCACTGTAGCGCGTGCCACGATATCTGGATGTACCGACTTGCGGTGCTTTTTGTGGTCATTTTGATTAGTATCCGCCTGCGGGATCTCCCCGGAGTCCTGTCGGGGCATGGAATGGCTCTCTCCAATATTGAGCGGAGGCACCGAGGGCAATGTATCGCTAGATCCATTCTTTGCCGTGTTCAAGTTTCCGGAATCTCTCACGGTGGACCCAGGGCTGACAGCAAATGAATCAGGCACATGAGTCTGGCCAATACTAGGACTGGATATACTGGAGCTGTGACTTCGCGAATTGCGGAGCTCAATATCTTCAGTAAACAGTTGGAGAATAGAGAATAGAGACGACATCGAGGCACCATTCTTGACCTCGGTGAGGAGCTGATAGCCCTGCCGGTTGTGAATGTTCCGGTCCTCCTCGTCTGAGTAGTCATCATCCATGTGAAGATTCTCTTGCGAGCCTGACTTCCCATCGCGTGCAGATTTCACGAATATCTGGACTAGTCCATCTACAACCATACAAAATCCCTTCTCCTCCTCCAGCATGAGCGTCTCCCCCGCAATCAGCTTCCTGGTCTGCATCGTCCGGGTCAGCTCGTGGAAGACGGGTCGTTCAAGGTAGCCGAAGACTTTGATAGCGCTGAGGAATTCATCAAGGTAGTTGGCAAGCCCTGGCTTTGAATCTCCTTCTTGGATATCGGGGAACAAATCGATTTGGGCTTCTTTGCGTTGAGGCTCTGGGGGTAGACGGCTGTACATGTTCAAGTAACGGTAACGGATGAACCAGCTGACGGTCGATACCAGGACAAGGAATATTAACATTCTAAGGGTCACGGTTGATCAGCAACGGTATCTTTGAAGAATACAATCAAGACTAGGACTTACATGGTGGTGAAATTCATGGTGAAAGTCAAGCTCATGGAGAAGAGAGTGAACAGCCATGTGGGCAGTGTAATTGTCGAGAATGTGATTATCGAGTACAGAACGCTTGGAATAGTTTGGAATATAAAGGTAAACACCCATCCGATCCACCCCGCCATGGTGGAAGGCGCTGTATGGAACGGTGGGGGGGAGAAAGAGGTAGAAATAGAAGTCAGAGCGGTTGGCGCGCTGAGGCAGAGGGATGGGGCCAGGCCAGCCATAACAAGATTTGAGAGCTCCGCTTAAAGTTCTAAGCAGGTTCTAAGGTCCAGACTAACTCAGATATGACTTAGATCAATTCAAAGTACCCAACCGTGGGCCCGTTAGGCCTGAAGATTGAAAAGCATCGTGAGGTGGATAGGTGGAAGAGGAAGGGGAGAGTCCCGCGTCACATGCAACTTGCATTTCATACTGTCAAGGGTATTTTTTTATGTTATTCTATTACACGTTATATTCTATTAGTATTCTATTATATTCTCTTATTATGTGTTAACGTTCTGATATTCTATATTCTAATTAAACTAATAAATTTTCCTTATCATAGGGCCAATCCACAGTGATGTAATTGATTACTATCTTCTAAGCCTCAGACGTATATAGGCTTGAAATTTATATATCCTTGTAAAACCTTGGAATATTCTGGCATCTTTGACATACCTATGAACTTCAGTAGATATAATGATTTCAGTTACATATTTATTAAGAGAAACCAGATGTCAATACAAAAAAAAAAAAAAAAAAAGATTGGTTTTAGATTACAAGAATAGTCGGCGGCATAAGGGGCCTGAGATATCTTTTTGGTCTCTTTGGTCTTCTCAAAGATCATTCTGTTTACATGTGCCAGTTTTATAGGTCGACGGCAAAAAAAGGCGGAAAAGGGCTGAAAGTATAACCTTTGAAGTTATATTGGACGCTATCAAGTGCTATACAGCAAATATATATGCTACATTGCAGTACAAAAAAAAAGCAACAGAGAGAAATAGCAAGCTAATAAAAATACAGACTCAATTCTACCTGAGGATCTATGTTATTAATACACGTAGAATGAAATAGGTATCATCCAATCTAATCGTTGGCGAGTAAACAGCCGAAGGTGACCTTCCACATGGCAGTTCCGCCTTGGCTCTTCCAAATCAATGATCCCCCTCACTTCCATTTGCGGTCAACTGCTATTCTTTCTGTTTTTAGTAAATACACTAGCCAGTGGTCTTGCGTTTTTAGATTCAGTTGTCGTCTGGGTTCTCAGAACCGTGGCAATGTTTCAGGTACTTCTCCCTTTTGATGATCCGCGTGTACCTTGCCTAACTCCCTCACAGCGCCTCCGCGAGGCCATCGACTCTCGCATCGCAGAGGAACAAGCTCGTCAAAAGTCCGCCCAAGATAACATTGAGCGCTCCAACTCCGCTCGCCGTCCGCCTGGCCGCAACCAGTCCCCGAGTCGGCGCTCCCGTCCGAGACGCAATACCAGCACCCCCGTTCGAGGACCCGACCCCAAGGAGTTTGAGGCTGAATTTACTATCGGCGACGACGATGAATCTAGCAGGTCCGGTACCCCTCAAACAGATACACCAGAGGCTGCTTCGGAAGTAAGCGCCTCTAAGGGAGACAGCGAGATGGTCGACGGCAAACCGGCGGAGACGCCCGAGAAGGAGATGGCACAGGAGACAGAGGCTAAAGAGACTCCACCTGTGCTTCCACCTGATGTTCGTGCGAAACTTCGACGACTTGATAAGCTAGAGTCCCGATACCAAGGTATGCACCTGCCTGACTAGACTATACGGCGCAAGACTAATTGAACATACTAGATTTACTCAAGGCTTACCGTACTGCTCACTCGCGCGTCCTATCCATCGAACCCTTCGAAGCTGCCCTGCGCGAGAACACCCCACTCACCTCGATTGGCGAACCAAAAGCTTTCACGGAATACCTCAACCAATCCACCTTGAAAAGCGACATGGTCATGGAAGAGCTGAAGCGCGTAACCGAAGAAAGAGAAGACTTCAGAAAGAAATTTGAAGCAGCACAGCAGGCTACTAAGGATGCTTTGGATGAGCTTACTGGCCTCAAAACGGAGAAACCCCAAACCCACACACCCACGGGGACAGATGGAACCGAGGAGCAGACAAGTGAAGAGTTCTTTTCGTTCGATAATGAAGTTCCCCGACTGGAAGGCGAGCTTAAGGAGAAGCAAGAAGAGGTCGAGAGCCTTAAAACCGAAGTCGAAAAGCTGAAGCGCGATATGTCTGTCACCCGTGAGTCGACCGAAGGCATGGTGCAGAATTTGGAGACAGCAACTCGCGAGCTCGTCGAGCTGCGTGACACCAAGGACAACCTGGATGCCGAAATCAAGACCCTACAAAACGCTAAAAAGGCCGATGTCGACGACCTGAAGGCGAAGTTAGCAACTGCAGAATCCTCTCTCAAATCAACCACGTCCGAGGTTGAGAAGCTCAAGTCGCAACTCAAGGAGAAGAGCGAGGAAATCGAGAAGCTCCAGAAACAGGCTTCCGAAAGAACTGAGCCTGATTCGGACCTCGCTGCTCAGTTGGAGACGACCAAGGAGGAAAAGAAATCCAACGAGAAAAAGCTCGTTGTGCTTCAGGGCTTAGTTGACGGTCTTCGATCTCAGCTTAAGAACACCGAATCTTCCGTTTCGAAACTGAAGAGTGAGATCGACGAGAAATGCAAAAGCTCTGCTAAGCTACAAGACATCTTCGACTTTGTGAATGAGAACTTGAAGGAAAACGCGATGTGGGTATCTACAAGGGAGAAAGTCTTCGCTGGAGAGGCGGCCGACTTCAATGATGTCGTCAAGACCCTAGCGCCAGTCAAGGCAGAGCACGCGCCTAGAATTCCTGCTCCTGCTTCTGCCCCGACCGAAGAAGAAACACAGCCTGCTCAAGCTACTGGCGGTGGCAACGGAGGAAAGAAGAAGAACAAGAAGAAGAAGAAGGGCGGAAAAGCAGATCAATCTTCTAAGCCAGCTGATGCAGCTCCCGCAGAGCAATCGCCTCAAGAGGCGCCTTCGTCAGCTACCAATGAGCTAGATGAACTCAAGCAAAAGATCGAATCTCTCATCCAGCAATTGTCCGAAAAGGAGGCCGCCATCGAACGTCTCAGTTCTAAGCTGAAAGGCGAGCACAATTTGAAGGAGGAGATTGAGTCCCTGCGCGATGACCTTGTCAACATTGGCCAGGAGCATGTGACAGCCAAGGACAAGATTAAGGAGCTTTCAGCAGAAAAGGCTTCTCTTGAAGAAACTATCAGCAAGCTCGAGAAGGATTTAGGGGAACTCCGCACCAGCAACGCTTCGACCTCAGCTGACTCGGAGAAAGTGCACTCCTCACTGAAAGAGGAATTCGATAAACTCAAGGTCCGCTCTGCTACCTTGGAGACCGATCTTTCCGCTGCACAGCAGCTAGCTGCCACTCGGTTCAAAGACCTTACAGACCTCCGTGAGACTCTTCAGAAGGTTCAACCTGAGCTGCGTAGTCTACGTGCCGAATCTTCCGAGCTGAAGACTCTAAAAGAAACCCTCACCAGCAAGAATTCAGAGTTGAAGGCCCTTGAAGGCAAGCATGAGGATCTGCGTGCTGAGCTGAAGGCTTCCAAATCGAAGATCTCAGAGCGTGACACAGAAGTGGGCACCCTCAATAAGAAGATCCGACAGGAGACCGACAGCCGATTGAAGGCCGAGGAGAACCTTAATGTTGCCCAATCGAACCTGCGGTCTGCCGAGAGTAAAAAGCAAGATGCTATCAACGCCAGAGACAAGACTACTGGTGACCTCTCCAAGGCCCAAGACGCGTTGAAAAGTACTCGCGCCAAGATGCGGGAGATGGATGAGCAGATTTCCCAGCTGAACAAGGAACTCGGAAATCTCCGAGACGAGATTCAGCTAAAGACAGCTCAGCATAGCAGCGCCCAAAGCCTAATGAACAGCATGCGTGACCAGACCACGGAAGTTGCAATGCAAATGAAGGAGGCCCGTGAGCGATGCGAGAGCTTAGAGGAAGAATTAGCTGATGCTCATCGTCTGCTGAGCGAGCGAACCCGCGAAGGCGAGACCATGCGCCGTCTGCTCAATGATATTGAGGGTCGTTCGGAAGCCAAGGTGCGAGACTTTAAGGAACGCATGGAGGCTGCTATTGAAGAGCGAGACCGTGTCGAAGATGAGGCCAGCACCCAAGGGCGCCGGCGTGCTCGTGAGGTGGAAGAACTCAAGGCTAAGGTCCGTGAAGCTGAGCGCGCACTGCGCACGGCAGAGCAAGACAAGGAGGAGCTTGAACAATCCCAAAAGGACTGGCGCCGCCGTCGTGACGAGCTCGAGTCAGTCTCTGAAAAGTCTTCACAGGAAGTGACAGAGATTCGACAGGCTATGGCTGGTCTACGCGATGCCCTCGACGAAAGCGAGAAGCAGGTTCGCGACCTCGAAAAGGATAAGGCAGAACTTCGTCGTTCGGTGGAAGAGACAAACAACCGACTGGAGAAGCTTCGAAGATCCCATAAGACACTCGGAGAGGACGTTCGTCTACGTGGCTCCCCGTCTCGGCAATCCTCGCGGTCTTCTTTGGATTCAGGCTCTCGCCGGGCAGTTGTATCTCCTGGGAGGAGCGAGTCACTTGTTGGCCCACCCAGCAATGCATCTATTGACTACATGTACTTGAAGAATGTTCTTCTCCAATTTTTGGAACAGAAGGACAAGAACTATCAGAAGCAGCTGATCCCTGTTCTGGGAATGCTGCTCCATTTCGATCGGTGAGTTTCCTACTGAACCCTCTATTTAACAATGGCTACTAACTTTACAAACTAGAACTGATGAGCAAAAGTGGATGTCAGCTATCATGTCCAAATAATTGGCTTTTATACCCATAGGCGTGGATTGCATATCTTGAGTCCCTTGCTCTGTACAATATCCCTCTGTAGAGGTAATATTATGTTTCTCTATTTACGTTAAAAAAGACATTTAATTCACTGATATTCTCTGATAAGCATTGAAATATAAACATAGTATCTCCTCAAAAAGAAATTGAAATCCAAGTCAGCAAAAGTTGAACTCGTCATGTAAAATAAAAATCGGCAATATTGCCTAATGTGGAATAGTAACTCCTGGAGTTATTGCGAAGCTTAGCAAAAAGAAGCGCGCATATACTAGCAAGTACTAGCAAGTACAAAAGTCCGAAAAAGACTTCTGAGCTATATGGATTATACCAGTCCTCTCACCAAGATGACCGACCAACCTACCATTCGTCTCGCGACCCCCGAGGGCAAGTACATTGACCCCTTGAGGGCGCACCCCAACTAACACCAGGTAGATGTCCCTCTCATTCTCCAATTCATTTGCGAATTAGCCGACTATGAAAAGGCCCTCCATGAAGTCGAAGCCACGGAAGAATCCCTTCTAGCGACCCTCTCCTTCCCCGACACCCCGCCCCGACGCGGCGCCGTCTACACAGCTCTCATCACCCCTCCACCCACCGCCGAGACTCCGAACCCGATCCCTGTCGGCATGGCCCTGTACTTCTACAACTACTCAACATGGAGATCCGCCCCTGGTATCTACCTCGAGGATCTGTATGTGCAGCCCAGCGCGCGGGGTAACGGGTACGGCTTCAAGTTGCTTAAGTACCTTGCCAAGCAAGTGCTTGAGGTATCGGGTCGACGGTTGGAGTGGAGTGTGCTCACCTGGAACGAGCCTAGTATTAAGTTCTATGAGCAGGTTGGTGCGCGCGGTATGGACGAGTGGATGAAGATGATGCTCGAGGGGGATGCGTTGACTCGTTTGGCCGAGGATGCGTAGAGGGATGAGGATCATTTAACACTACAAAAGCCATTTGAATGATCGATTTAAAGCGGTTTATTTACACTGCAGAGCTCATTGCAGATTGGGAGCGAAAGTGAGCTGCTATACATGTACCTTTAGCATATATATCTATGATCACAGCTACATATATGTCTCGATATTATATTTTGAGAATGAAATGAAATATATCCAAATACAAGAATCTCAATCCTACGTCATCAATGTAACTAAATATAAAAGAAAACATCCAAATTGCGTAAATTGCGGTCTGATCGATCGCTTCGCCCCAAGCCCTTTTAGCGCCAGGTGACGGCATCGACCCGCAGATCTGTGATCCTCGATTTGCCTGTTCCACTTTCTTTCTCCTTTCAACACCTCAGCAATGGCGACGATTCCTGATAATGTTCAGGGGTCTAATCTCCATGTGGACTATGTTATCCGTTACAGCTTCGGAGACGTAGGTGAGTAAAAGAGGGAGCTCTGGTGGGGTACATCCTAACAATTGCAGACCGATCGCAGGCTATTGTGCAGCTAGAAAAATTGCTCCAAGCGCTCGCCCAAGTTGGTCTACAGGTAGAGGTACGACAGGGTGATGAGTCGTCCTTGCTTGTTTTTGTGAAAGCTTCAGAAAAGCGGCTGAAACAGGCGGTCTATCGGTCGCGGTGAGTGATGGATGATGTTGATCCACGCCAATGTGCTAATCCCAACTTTGTATTTTAGAGTACGCGACTGGCTATATGGCATTCGCAATGATGAGCCCACTTCCAATTCGAATGAGTCCCAGACCGAGGCTGAGCGCCTACGGGTGATCAACCAGATGATTACACTTCCCAAGGAAGAGGGCGGCGCCGCTATCACCCCCAACCATGGCGAATGGAAGAATGTCACTGCTATATTCCCCCTTCACGATGTCGAAACAAATAAAAAGTGGATACGAGCTTGGAGCTCAAAGACTTTCCTTTCTGATGACGACTTGGATCAGATCCGGAACAAGTTTGGTGAAAGTGTATGTGTAGTAAGCGGTCGTTATTCTTCGGCATGGCTAACATAGATGGCAGGTTGGATTTTACTTCGCGTTCCTGCAGTCATACTTTCGATTTTTGATTTTCCCGGCTGTCTTTGGATTCTCTTGTTGGTTCCTCCTCGGCGGATACTCGATTATTTATACTATCGTGAATTGCCTTTGGGGTATCATCTTTGTGGAATACTGGAAGCGCCAGGAGGTTGATCTGAGCTGCAGATGGCAGACGAAAAACGTCTCAGCCGTTCGAACCAAACGACGAGAGTTCAAGGCAGAAAAGGAGATTTGCGATGAGGTTACCGGTGAGACGCGCGGTGTTTTCCCGGCAACTAAGCGCATGCAACGGCAGCTGCTTCAAGTCCCGTTCGCTTTGCTTGCGGCAATCGGCTTGGGTGTCATCATTGCGACTTGCTTTGCCATTGAGATCTTTATCTCGGAGCTCTACAATGGGCCATTGAAGACATACTTGGTATGATGACCCTTCCAGGTCCTTGTTACCAATGCTTACTCTCTAGATTTTTATTCCAACAATTCTTCTATCAGCGCTCGTACCAACGATGAGTGCTATTTTGACGTCTATCGCAACGAAACTGAACGACTATGAGAATCATGAGACAAAGGATGCGTATGATGTTGCATTGACCCAAAAGGTTTTTGTTATCAACTTCATCACATCTTATATGCCAATCCTCCTGACAGCCTTCGTCTACGTCCCATTTGCTGGCCGAATTGTCCCCTACCTCGATGTTTTCCACTTGACAGTTCGGCCTTTCGTATCGAAAGAAGACGCCGTCGCAAAACAATCGCATTTCCAGATCAACCCTGCTCGCCTGCGAAACCAGGTTGTTTACTTCACTGTCACGGCCCAGATCGTTGGGTTCGCCATGGAGACTATCGTTCCCTATATCAAGCAGCATGCACTCCGCAAATATAAGAAGTACAATAGGGAGCGCAATGGTAAGATGGACCGAAACGGCGACAAAGAATCGCCTGAAAGACCCGTCGTGTCATTCGACGATCCAGCCGAGGAAGTGCAGTTCCTCACACGTGTACGCAACGAGGTCGAGCTTTCCGAGTACAATGTGACCGATGATCTCCGTGAGATGTGCATTCAATTTGGATACTTGGCTCTTTTCTCACCCACATGGCCACTTGTTCCCGTCTCGTTCTTTGTGAACAACTGGGTCGAGCTGCGATCTGACTTCTTCAAGATCTGCATGGAGTTCCGAAGACCTGTACCGTTGCGGACTGACACCATTGGACCTTGGCTTGATAGCCTGGGATTCCTATCCTGGGTCGGAAGTATCACCAGCGCTGCGTTGTTGTACATGTTCAGTGGCAATTCACAGCACGGGCCCAATGGCGAACCTACGGATATCAAAGGCTGGGCTCTACTTTTGACAATCTTCTTTTCGGAACACCTGTATCTTATTGTACGGTATGCTGTGCGGGCTGGTATGGCCAGGATTGAGCCTCCCAATTCCCGCAAGGAGCGCGCTGAGCGTTACCTTATGCGCAAGCGCTATCTTGAGTCGACCACCAATGTGGAGGTGGACGGGGAGAAGGATGAGGATGATATCGCATTCATGGCCGAGTCAACTGATATGTCACGCACGGCTCTTGAAGATGATGCTCGGCGTACGTCTTTGCATGGCGCCGACCCGGCAGCTCGTTTCTGGATGCACCAGCGGGGCTGGACGGAGTCAGCCAAGATCGGAGCTGGAATTATACAGGCACAGCCTAGTAGCAGTACCGCGAAGAAGCAACAATAGTGCTTCTGGGTTGTACAGAGGTAGGGTATAGGAGCAGGGGCATGAGTGGCTGACTGTGTTTTGGGGTCAATACGAGATCACGGGATTATAGAAATTTAGTTTAGTACGTGATGTGCAGATACATGACCATCACCGATATTGGTTCGATTTACGCATCTTGTCCATTCAATGGAATGGTTGTCCAGTTCCTCCTGGTGCCTGTCCTGAGACCTGTCTTGCCTCAGGCAGAAATGTCGGGATAGGCAATAAGTATGATGTCATGCTGACTCGTTCGGGAACAAGTAAACCCGTCCCGAGCCGGATGCAGGCGGAATGCAGAGTCAGCAATAAACCTATTTATGTACATGTTCATGGGTACAACGAAAGAGACAATTGGAGGAAGATGACGAGTAATCATGGGATTGTGATGCAAACCAATCACAACTAGTAAATGCTGTCTCAAATAAGTTTGATGGCAAAAAGTGAGAGATAAATTCCGGGGTAGAAGCCACCGCCTGGCTGACCGCCTGCTTAATGCATCCACTTCGCTTACCAACTCCTTACATAAATCGACGATCGCCCGGGCCCCAAATCCTCTGACTCAGAATCCTTAAGTAATCCTCTTCCTCCACCTGGGCATCATTTTGCTTACAGCATCGGATCTGTAACTGCTTACCTCATTTTGGCTGTATTCTGGTATCAGCAAAGCAGCTCTCTTTGCTCTGAATTCTCGTGGAAACTAAGTGTGCTGTGCAAAGTCACTACCCAATTTCATCACCAATCCCCTCTCTTCTAAATCAATGCAGCCTGCACTGGCGCCAGCGCCGCATCCAAGTATGCAGACTTCTGCTCAGGTAAGCAAACCATCTTGAACGCGTTTGTCATCAGATCTATATGAAGTCCCGCGTTGGCTACTTTCTCGATACTCCCGATACAAGGCAGTCATGTCGTGTTATCCGCGCGTCGGGAACGGAGCTCGACATTTTGACGCGTCGAGTCTCCATCCAGTCTTGCCGCGTCACGATTGTTATTTTCTATTGATTCATACTAACATTTGACTATAGGATCATGCGGATCAGGGTACGTGATTGCAGCGTAAAGCGTTCTTGACTCCTGATTGCCATTGATTTTTGGGGATTCGTGGGGTTGGGGCTGAAACCTACCTTACCCTGACTTTCTACATATCTGACCTCGGCATTAAGGCTGCGCGTCACATTTGATATTGGTTAAGTGCTAATACATGATTCCATAGTCCTCCATGACCAGCTTCTAGCTGCTCAGCACCACCTTGGTGGTCGCCCACAGGGTGCTCCAGGCCAGCAACAGCACTTGCAGCCCAGCAATGCTAGCCCGCGTGATCAGGCGAATATTGACCCTGCTATCTCCGGTGCAATGCTCGGCGCTCCCCAAACCCCCACCCAACCCCAGGGTTCTCCACCATCTGACGGTGGCTCCAAGAGCTACGGCAAGCGTGAGCTATCCACTTCTAAGCGTGCTGCTCAGAACCGTGCTGCCCAGGTATGTCCTTTTGATACCGTGCGCGGAGTAATTCGCTAATCGTCATACCAGCGCGCATTCCGCCAGCGCAAGGAAACCTACATCCGCAAGCTAGAGGAAGAGGTTAAGAACATTGACCCCCTTAAGGATCAGGTCAAGTCCCTGGTAGGCGAGAACTATCAGCTCCGTGAATATATCATCAACTTGCAATCACGTCTCCTCGAAGCTCAGGGCGAAGTCCCCGAGCTGCCGGCCAACATCGATTTGAGCCAGCCCCGCACCACCGAGATGGCGCTTGCCTCTGCCGGAGTTCAGAACTCTAGCCCATCGGGCTCGGTGCCCACCCCAGGCCCCCAGGGTCAGCACCCCGGTTCTGTCTCTGACGACATGAACTCTCTGAACCGTATTGCCGCCGCAACACTAGGCATGCGCAAGCACCCAGACGACACGGCCTTCCTGAACAACAACAACAACTTCCAGCAGAATAAGCGGGTGCGCACAGATGATAACCAGGATGGAAACGACGGCGTGAACAAGCAGGAGATCACGCACGGTCTCCCTATGGTCAACTGATCGCCATGTGCTTTTCATCGCCGTCTTGACTACCTGTGTTTTGCGATCACCTTTCGATACCCGCGTCTGTGTCTTTTCTTTGCTTATGCGTTGTTCAGCTTCGGTGTTGCGTTATGCCTAACGACACATGCCATACTTCTAGCTGGCCTATGCGGCTGGATCTCCTGCGTCTTTTTCCTTGACTGTTATGTCGTGTTTCCCCTTTGCGTAATGGTGTGCGGCGCAGCGAGTGATTCCATCCTCTTGATTTCGGCTTCGCGACTCGGTGGTGTTTTGAGATTTCTTGCCTCCATTGTGGCAGATTGATGGGGGACATTCCTTCTTATTCCTGCATTTTTTGATACTTCAATTTTATCTTTGGTCAACGGATTGGTCACAACTCACAGCTATACATATCTACCCAACAGGCCTTTAGTGCCTGGAATGTTCTTATCTGCTTATTGAGTAAAATTAATTTTAGTCCGATTTGACACTTACCTTGCTCTGTGCTATCGGGATTCAGTGAGTTGTACTTCATAATAGCTACAATCGTGCGGTTTGGATATTTCCTACTGGCTACACCAAGTATATGATGTGAACAATTTTATCCATGCACACTGGATATTGAATGTAAAGGCATCAAATGTCAGGTTGCATCGGGAATACTTCGGCGAAAAAACTACTAATCTTCATTGTCATGAGTGTGACACTACCATTCTTTGTTCTTTGTTCTTTTTTAAAAAAAATTCAACAATCAGCGACAGACAGTTATTTAATTGAACCCAACGTTCTGACCCAATTGGTTCTATCCGTCTCAACGCCACGGGTGGGGACCGAGGCGGATTACATTATCAGCATTTCAACGTATAGAGAACTTCATTGCTCAACGCCTGCCCACATAAAAGTTTTTTTGGGGCTAAGGATAACACCTCCCTCGGCTTGATGTACAGCACATCTATATATCAGATGATTCAAAATGCCAGACCCGACAACCGAGCCAGCTATGGGCCAAAAACGCCCGCCAAGGAGTGCGGGAAGACGCAGGCTCGATGCACCCGAAGCTATACTGTCCGAGGTATTCACTCTCCATGGAATTAATAAGGAACAGTGGGGAAATATCTAACGCCCCGCGCAGGATCGGCGAAGCCAAATCCGCCGTGCTCAGAGAACATATAGATTGAAGAAAGAAGCCAGCCTTCAACAATCACAGAAACAAGTGGCTTTCCTCGAACATAAGATGAAAAAAATTGCAGAGTCGCTTGCAGACTACAGAGTCACTCTCCAGTCTAGTCTGAAAGACACACATTGCGACCTTCTCAGGGATTTTGACAATATACTGAATATTTTGACTTGTGCACCGGAGGACTTTGTTCAGGGAACTAGTGTCGATGACATATCACTGAGAGATACTTCGAAAAAGTCTACTCCAAAACCGCCCAAGGACGTCCAGTGTGAAGACCATTTACCCGATGATATTATGTCTGATCATCAAGCCATTGCCGAGCCAAGCTCCACATGCATTGATACAACCCCGGAAACCGAGGTCAGCCCAGATCAAGAAGCCGGGGACAGCGTTCTTTGTCAATCCCAACCCCCACCTGTCATGCAGGAACAGAGGGGGTTAGACCACTACCAACCCACTGTGCAAATCGTCGATCGATTTGGTGGAGCCAATATTCATTCATATTCATTCCTAGAAAGCTCCTTCACTCGAAGACTGAAACGATACAGCCTGGAGCACGCCTTTCGAATATTCAATGATATACGCTCTGACCCGCTTGAAGTCTTCCGAATATTCAGACTTGTCCCGTGTTTCAGAGATAGGGCAAAGATGCACCCTTACTTCAGGGACCTGGTCACCTCTGGCCGAGGAGGTTCACTGGAGATCTCTACACTGCCATTTTATTGTATTGGGGGAGCCGGAACACATTATGCGCCGAAAGACGAAGAAGGAAATCCTATCTACCCGCCGAAGATGAGGCTTCCTCGAAGAATACTCGGTACTCTACCCATGGCCGGGATTCCTGGTGACCCAAGTTCTACCCATCAGGCTCAAAGTAATCTTGAACTTTGTGGCTTCGGGGGTCAGTGGTTTGATTGCCGCGACGTGGAAGGATATCTTAGAGAGCAAGGTGTAGATTTGGATGGCCCTGGTTTGTTTCCGACAGTACATAATATAGCATTGAGCCCAGGTCAATCCGAGCTGGAATCTGGTTTATTGGACACTCAACGAATATCATTTTCTGAAACGCAGATTGGTAAGTCTATATCGTTTACCCGAAAAACTTCAACTCACAGTTTACAGATGCTACAGTCTCGGTATTACCTCAACAACCATCACGTTGCGTACTGGATCTTGAATCCTTTTTAATAGGTGGGCTTTCCCATTCATATCATGTTTAAGTCTGTTTCTAAAAATTTCTTAGGACTCCTTCGCGGGGTGGCTATCTTAGGACGAGCACCCGGTTTCCGGCGATCTGATGTTGAAAATGCCTTTCGCTCAGCCTTGATGCGAAATTTATCTTGAAATAATCATGAATAATATATCTCTCTCAAATATCGGATAATATATATTAATAATGTAGACGGGGACCACCCAAAAACTTGGACTTTGAGAAGATGTTCAATATAGCATTCAGCATATGATTTAATTTGACAATGACTACATAGCAAATGAATGTACTTGGTTCATTTACGGAGCATCTTGACTATGCCCTTGCCTGTGTCTGTCCAGATGCCCAGGTGGAGCCCTAATTTGATTACATTATCGTGAACCTCCGAGGCCCCAGAAGTTCCATTCTAAACCTGGAAGACTCGAGAATTCAGAGCCCAACAATATAGAGTCCACAAATCCCTGAATTTCATGATATTTTTTGTTGAGTGATCCACCGTAGGAGCCTCGGAACCCATAAATACAGTTCCTTGCCACACATAAGACATATATATCAACTATCCTCCATCCTTAAACATTTCTTCCTGAATCGCAGAGACAAAGAAATACATAAACCTCGCTCCGACAGATACACGCTTTAGACGGCAAGCTGGCAGATGGGAACCCCAAATCTTGAGATTAATGCTGACTAGTGACACAGAACAAACACTTTAATTCTCCATTGACGGAATGTTGGACGCCACTGACTTGCTCTATACATTATGGAGCAAACATCGTGTGACGATTGCCATCGTCTTCATCAGCTACATAGCATTGGTTAACCTGCTTCGATACCGCCGCATGGCGAAGATCGAGGCCCCATTCACAGCCGGCAAGAAAGACTTGTCAGAAATGACAGTAAAAGAAGCACATGATATTCTGAACCAGTTACAAGAACTCGAGTTTCCACATGCTTTTGCCAAAGCTCGAAAAATTGCTCTGTTGAAGGTATGACAGCGAGTCATGGCCGGTTCAATCATCGTGGAGAATGCCGCTAAGTTGAAGTATCTTTTAGGCCGGAGGTATCCCGACTATGTCCAAACTCTTCGCTGTCACAGGGCAAAACAATAAGCGCAATTCAGGCAAGCGTGCTGTCGATACGGAAATCCTCTTGCGAGAGGTACAGTCAAAGCCTAGGGACTCTGATCGCTATTCATCGGCTGTGGCCAGAATGAATTTTCTGTATGTTTGAGTCCTCGAAACCAAATTCCCTTCAGTTCAAGGAAAAGATAATTCATTGTTCTGTTAGCTGACGTGGGATATCGTTAGCCATGCCCGTTACCGTCGTGCCAACAAAATAACGGATAATGATCTCCTTCATACTCTGGGCGACGGTCTTGCCGAGATCCTGAATGTTGTTAAAAGAGAAGAATGGCGCAAGCTTACTGACGTTGAAATATGTGCCCTCGGTATCTTTCACAAGAACTTGGGAGAAGACATGGGTATTCCCTTTGACGTGCTTCCTTCAAGCTGTGATGGATGGCAAAACGGCCTCCACTTTGCAGTTGAATTGAGAGACTGGACAATCCAGTATGAAGAAGAAGTGGCAAAGCCCACGGCGACGAACGATCAATACGTCCGAGTATATGTTGATTCGGCATTGTCATCGCTTCCTGGGTTCATCAGAACAAGTGTGCGGAAAATGCTTGGTAATGACTTGGACGATGTTATGAGAACGAGCCTTTGGTAAATTTCGTCTCTTATTTAACTATGGAAGTTTCTTTGTTTACTAACATCTACAGTCTTGAGTCCCCTGGGCCAGTCCTCTGGTTCCTACTGGCTCTCGTCCGAGAAGGGCGAAAGGTATATCTTCGATACCTTGCACTTCCGCGCTCTTCGTTCAGTGCTGTTAAACTAGTGCACGACATGCCAAACCAAGAAACGCATCTATATAACTTCCAAAGAAAGACACTGCAGCCTTGGTACGTGAAGCCGACCTTCTCGTCAAAATGGGGACTCGGCGCGATGCTTGTTAGAGCGCTGGGAGGAAAGGTGCCTGGGTCGCGAGGGGACCGGTATCAACCTGGAGGATACGACTTAATGACGATTGGGCCAGATCCACAGAAGGAGCACGGAGCGGATGAGATGATGTCCGATATTGAGGTAATAAAAGCGAGAGGTGTGGCTACATGTCCGTTCTCACAGGCAAAGACGAAGTCGGGTCACTTTGAGTAAGGTTGTTCACTTACATATGTCCTCAAGGATATGTGACGGGGCGGACAAAGAGCTCCGGAGTGAGTTTATGAACATTTATGCAACAGCATAGGCTGAGAAACAAATGGATAGAGATCCAAAATGTAATAGCATTTGTCGATCAGGATTAATGAATAACCCTGACCTGCCGATACCATGATATACTATTCTTGTGAGCATCTGATGTGACCCTATTTGTGAAGACTGCCAACAGATAGGTAGCTTCTCTTATTCTCCTTCTTTTCCCCGCATCAATCATCTTGATCACTTCTCCATCTCCATCAACATTTATCATCTACTGTTCATCTAGACCATATTCCTTGATAAGAACTTCAGCACAAGTGACACCAGTCAAGTAAGCCGTAGCCTGGGTGTGGTTGTTAGTGAGAACAGGAACGACACTCATATCAGCAACGCGCAGGTTCTGGATTCCCCGAACGCGAAAGTGAGGGTCAACAGCAGCGCCACTGGCATTGATCTTGCCCATCTTCACTGTGCCAGTCATGTGCCAACTAGAAGAAAGGAAGTTTTTCCAGAACTGGAGGATATCCTCGTCAGATTCGGACGCGGGCCCGATGAGCGTGGCGATAGTATCTTTCGCAAAGGCCTCTTGCCTACTAACTTCCAGTAGGTGTCGGTAGATCTCGATACAAGCGCGACGATCGAAGGGATTCTCGAGGAACCGCGGGTTGAAAAGGAGCGGAATATCTGGGTCGGAGGACTGTAGGGTCACTTCGCCGAGGGATTGTTCGTTCATCATGAATGCTGCGAGACCCACATAGCTGTAGTCTTTGAACATATCGGGTAACATGAAATGGATAGGGAGGTGGGTGACCATCTCATAGTGGGGGATAGTTTCGCGGTTCATGAATTCTTGGACGGATGCTGGAAGTGCTTTGAATTCAGGCGAGGAGGTGATGCGGTCTGATTTGAACCAGCCACAGCCGACCTGACAGCCGTATCGGGTCCACAGGCCGGTGTTGTTGTCCTCCCACTGTTTCATTGCAGTCTCCATGGCGGCGGGGTCTTGGAAGAACGAATTGCGATCATTTGTCTCGGGGTTACGAGCAAGAATCAGGGGAACAAAGTAGTGATCTCGGAGACCCTGACCAACAGCGGGAAGGTCGTTGACTACTGGAATGTTGAACTTCTCAAGCTGTGCAGCTGGTCCGATTCCAGAATGCATTAAGATCTTCGGGGTGTCCAGTGAGCCGGCAGAGAGAATCACATCCTGAGAAGCGAAGTCTATAAACCACATCAGATGAAGTGAATAGTACAAGTGCCAAATTGAACATACACTGCTTGCCCTGAGTTTCAACTCCAACAGCCTTTTTGCCTTGCAACAAAATCCGTCGCACTGGGCTGTCTGTGATAATAACAAGATTATCAGGAGCGTCCAAAAGCAGGTCAACAGCCGTGGTACGCTTTCCATTAGCAGCGGAGTTGATAGTAGCGGCCATGCCAAGCGGGTTACCCGAGTTGTGATCCAAGTTGAGCTTGTGTCCAGCCGCTTCGAATGCATCTAGTGAGGGTGCCAGGTCCCTTTCCCAATCCTCTGCGAATCCAATATGGAGAGGACCCTCATTGCCATGGTCGCAAGCAACTGATTTGGCATATTTTTGATTCTCCAAAAGTGTGACACCACCGTCAAAGGTCTCCAAATTCTTGAAGCGGGTCTGCATCTTCTTCCATCCAAAGGTATCATCATCTACCCCAGCTGCCCACTCATCGTAGTCGTCCCGTGCGCCCACAGTGTAGACGCCGAAGTTGATTGCTGAGCTACCTCCTAGACCCTTTCCACGGGAATAGTCAAGCTCGCGCCCATTGCAATGTTCTTGAGGTGTGGTCTTGTACCCCCAGTTGAGGCCTGCTTCCATGAATGTCGTCCATCGCTTTCCGTCAACTCGTAAAGCCTTATCATCATTGCGCCCACCTGCTTCAAGGAGTAGAACTTGAGGTCTTTGGGATGATTTGGCGAGCCCTGCAGCTAGGGCGCAACCGGCTGGACCACCTGCTTCAAGTGTGAGTAGGATAGACTGCATGTATATACTAATAATTACCTCCTACAATAATAAAGTCGTAATTGGTTTTTGTTTCCATATTGAACGTAGTAGAGCAACTGAAGAAATTCCAGGTCACAAGGAGTCAGATATCTTATTTTCTGGCGGGGCATGTCCCGCTTCAGCTGGATACCCCTCTTCGTGGAATGTATCAGCAGCAAACACTTTATAGGTGGGTCGTTAGGAAATGTATACCCACCATCGATTATCAATGCCTGTAAGAGGCATAGCGTTGATTTGACTGTATTCACAGGATATATATTGTATCTTTTCCATAGCTAAATGGAGATTTGAAGCCAGCGAGTTCCGTAATTATGTTATAGGTCAAGGTTGCAGGGATTGTGCAGATCGCATGCTGCAGGATAGGTTAATTCATTAGTGGCATGTCAGGGCAATGCTGCCGTATAGTATCCATAATCAATGGAATTTGTCCGAACTTCAGTTTTTGTTGCACAACATGGCTCGAATGGTAATTCTCGACATTAAGTACACGGTGTTGGAAAACCCCATGTGTCATAGAGATGAGTACCTTTTAACACTCGAATCTTCGCCAAGTGTGTGTAGCAAGCCCCATTGCACTAATTACTGACCGATTAGACGTCGCTGAAACCTAAAGTTGACGAGTATCCCAAGAAACCAGATGTTTAGATATTCCGAAAGTGGAAATAGTGCACGGTATTCCGTAGTTCGATAAGATCTAAGCTAATGGGGATCCACATTGTGACTAGAGAAGACTAATTATTAGCAGGATATCTTCTGAAACTAGGAGGTTTCGCTAGAGTTGAGTGTAGAGCAGAAGGAGTGGGAAATATATTCCAAATTTGTAACGGGAGACCTCACGTGCTTCACGTGAAGCTATAGCGGATGTCCGGATAATGCTCATGGCCTATATAGATCCGCGATATTGGGAAGATAATATTTGGCACGGGCCAAAGATGCAGGGACGCATTTCTAGAATATACGTATTCCCATGTTGAATTATTAGAGAAATAAGAATATGGCGATGTTTCCAAGATCGGTAGACGAAAACGCACGGTTGTTTCGGGTCATTCTCCGCAAGAGGGGCCAATTGTAAGTGAACCCATTCCCCACTGTATTCCGGAGGTTAGCGCAAAATTATGAAGATTCAAGAGAGTTAAGGCATCTTTGTGAAGGGAAGTGTGTGGAATACATGGTTGTTGTACCTAGGTAGTTCGTAGCCTCAGCCACTTTAACCACTTTAACCACTTTACCCTTGGATATTTAGGCAATTGAGAATACGAGAATCCCTGCAATTTGAAATGAGAAAGGATCCGATTATACCCCGTAGAGTCCGTATTAATTTCCGTAGAGAAGAACGCCCAAAAACAAAAAGGTCAAAATTCCCGTGTGGCGGTTCCCAAGGGCTGCCCTTTCTCGGCTTAGCTTGGCATCCGGGGGCAAATATGCTGGGGATTTCTTTTCTCCCTTTCGCAACTTCTAGAGGCTTCACTTCCTCCCCTTGAGTCTTTGATCTTTTTCTCAGAACCTCCAAATTTACATATCAGAAATTTTGCTATCTGATCCTTTCAGTCCCACTCCCGAAATACGTCCCACTTTTGTCAGCCGCAAACCTCGATACTTTCGAACCAGCATAGACATTGTCGCAAATGACTAGCTCGGACTAGCACAACTATGATGGCTACGGAGCTGGTACAATTCAAGCAAAGCATACTGGACTTCTCACTAAGCGGGCCATGAAATACCCTCCCTGCGGTCTTTCCAGTCACCTTGAAAATATACGCGCTAGCCAGGCTAGCCGATTCAGCAACCATGTCAGAGATATCGGAGACTCCCGAAGGGCTTCATGGATACCATGGAGATAGTATGGCAATACGGATATTGATGATCGTCTTCACCTCCGTCGCATTATACAATGCCCTTGAATTGTTCATATTGTTGTTCTTGACTTTCAATCATTATCGTGGACTCTACTTTTGGACGCTTCTACTCTCTGTAGTCCTCGGGGTGATCCCCCACGCCATTGGCTATCTGCTGGGCTTTTTTTCCCTAGCCCCATTATGGCTGTCCTTGACTATCACCACTGTTGGATTTTACGTCATGGTCCCGGGCCAATCGATGGTCCTATATTCTCGGCTTCATTTGGTGGTCCAGAACAACACACTGCTTCGGTTTGTTCTTTGGTTGATAATCGTCGACGCGATCCTCCTCTTGGTACCGACGACCGTTCTTACTTTCTGTACCGCATACGTTGGCACTCCGACAATCGTTCGCGGATACAACGTCATGGAACGACTGCAACTGGCCTGGTGGTGCGCCCAGGAGATTCTCATCTCGGGAATTTACATTGTTGAGACCGTGAAGCTGCTCAAATTGATGCCAGACAAGGACCGACGGCGGTCCAGAATCATGTATGAGTTGCTGGCCATCAATTTCGTCATCATAGCTCTCGACATTTGTTTGCTCGTTGTGGAATACATCGGGTATTTCATGCTCCAGACCACCTTGAAGGCCATGGTCTACAGTATCAAGTTGAAGCTCGAGTTCGGTGTGCTCGGCAAGCTAGTCAATCTTGTGCAGAATCCTCGATCGCAACCCACTTCGTCCGATCACGAAGAATACCCTGGCTTCGTGGACCCTACCCAGTTAACATCGGATGTCACTCATGCAGCCCCTCGGGAATTGCGACAGGTGGGACGCAGAGGCTGGAATACAATATCAGAGGAGAGCTTGCCCAGTTCTGAGCGCAGAATTCGCCCATCTACCCGGTCGACCGACAACAGTATGCAACCCAGTATCCATCCCTCCTGAGGTCGACAGGTGGCAATGAATATTCCTCTAAATTAGACCAAATGTCTAAAAAGCCAGCGAGGCGTGCAACCGCAGACATTGGTTGTTTACTCCCCACCGCGGCGTTCTGCTGATCACAGATGGCGAAGGCTTTCGAGTGCAATCCATGCCTTTAGAAATCCTGCTTCGTCTGCCATTCACAAGATGGCCACTCAGCAAATCTTCAAGATCAACCCATCCCGCTCATTGAAATCCAAATTTCATGTTTTCATCCCGCTCGTTCAACGAGATATTTCGGGTGGCTCGGCACATTGATACTTTGATGCCTGCCGATTTCCGCATCCCAGCGCGAAGTTCAACAGCCTTGCTGTCGACTCCTGTTGGCTGTACAATATATCATGTGGTTCAACCACCATACAAAATTTTGCTAAATATACCTTACCTCAGGGCTGTGGTGCTCACACCCAGATTTACATCGGACACAATAATTATTTAATACAGTCTATCGACGCCCACAATTTGTTGATTTTCAGCCTCATGATGTAACTACTTCAATGACAATATTACGTTGCCATGACATACCATCAGAGCTCAAAATCAGTTGGAAAAAATTTAGATCTAACACAGTTCCTTTCGTAGTCGATGCAACATGGAAAGCGCCGTCACGATCCACCATGGCCCCTACGAATCCATCCCTCCCACCGCTTCACCAGGTCTTAAATTTCTCCAACGATTCCTACCAGCACTAGACTCCCTAAGTCCCACCGAAAATCAAATCACGCCTTTCTTCACACCCAGCGCTCCCATCCTCGTCGGCAGCGATCCACCAACAGCCGCAAACCAGGCCGTTATTCTCCTCGAAGTGCGCAGCCATCATATGTGCAAATTCCATCACGATGTTCATCTCGCCTGGGATATAGATCTCGGAAGGGACATAGGCCCCGTGGAAACATCGTATAAGAGGACCGCCCCAGATGAAGAGACCGCCCAGAAGGGACAGCTCTATGCCCCGCTAGCAGGGAACATACAAATGAAGCGCACAGTCATGTTTGAAGCAACATCCGAATCAGTATTCGCTGCCGACCCTGACCAGTTCCCAGTCCGCATTCGCGAGTTTAACGTGCTTGATCTGGAAGGTCGTGATGAGTCGGATTTGCAGATTGTTGAAATGCGGATCTTTTTGGATCAGAGGCCTATCCAGGCCCATTCTGCAAATTTGTTTACGGGGGCAACTTACGGATCCTAGTGGATGCTGGAGTGGTAGATTGCATAATAGAATGTGGACGTGTCTTGCTTCTCCACTGCGGAACACTCTATGTCACCTGTCCCCACTTGGGATGTGTCTTTGATGTCTTATCTTCGTGCGGAGGTGATGTTCGGCATGGAGTTCCGTTTTCTCGGCTGTTTTACTTTACCCTTTAAGTTTACATTGCCCAGTGCCGGAATTCGTGAAAATTTTGGAACATTTTGCTATTCAAGATGTTGACGGTAAAAGGACAAGAAGAGATCATCCATAAGGTCTGTGAGGCCTTGAATAAGTATGAAGCCAAGCTGAGTGAGCTCAATCAGAAGGTGTGTATTATCACGGCTAGCACAGCGACTTGATTAACATTCGATAGATCTGGTCCAACCCCGAGCTGGCATTCAAGGAGTACAGCGCCCATGACAACGTATGCGAGCTTTTTGAGTCTTTTGGAGCTAGATACCAGGTTCATAAAAAGGCCTATGGTATTAACACAGCGCTCTCGGTGATTTATAGCCGTGGCGAGGGCGGAAGAATCATGGCTTTCAACGCAGAATACGACGCCCTTCCAGGCATGGGACATGCATGTGGACATAATTTGATCGCCACAAGTTCGATCGCAGCCTTCCTGGCCACCTGTGAAGCAATGGATACTCTGTACTCAGATGATATTGGCTATTCGGTTCGGCTGCTGGGGACTCCTGCCGAGGAGGGTGGTGGTGGAAAGCTCCTGCTCATCAATGCGGGAGCATACAAAGACGTGGACGCATGTTTCATGGTCCATCCATTCCCAGTGCTTTCTGGTGCCCCTGATCTTATTAGCTCGAGTTCCTGTACCGGGCAGTATCTTGCAAACGATAAGGTTAAGGTGACTTTCACTGGCAAACCGGCGCATGCTTCGGCTGCTCCTTGGGAGGGTATTAATGCCCTAGATGCAGTGGTGTCTGCCTATGTGAACATTTCAATGTTGCGACAGCAGATTCTGCCTACGCAAAAGATCCATGGGGTTATTTCGCGCGGTGGTGACAGACCAAATGTTATTCCTGCTTCTACGACGGTTGAATACTATATGCGATCGGAGACTGCAAAGACCCTCAAACCATTGACTGAGAAAGTTCTCAAATGCTTTGAGGCTGCTGCAACTGCTACTGGTTGCACGGTGGAATACGAATGGTATGATAACTGGCGACGTTCCTATTCTGATGCGCTTCGCTAATATATTTCCAGGGAGGCTGCGTATAAGGATATGAAGATCAATAAGCCCATCTGCGATAGCTACGTCTCTGCTATGAACTTTATGGGTCACAGTACTATCTTTGATGCCGCAGGGCAGGTAGGAGGTCTTAGCGGAGGGTCAACTGATATGGGTGAGTATTGGAGTTCATTACAGTCCACGATGCCATCCCCTAACTGTCCACTACAATATAGGCAACGTCTCATATGAAGTACCTGGCTTCCATGGTGGATTCTATATTCACACCGATGGTGTGAATCACACACCACAATTTACTGCCGGGGCTGGATCTGAGGAAGGGTTTAAGCGTAGCTTGCACTGTGCAGCGGGAATGGCCGTAGTAGCGTGTAGAGCTCTAGTCGATGATAGCTTCGCCACTGCCATCAAGTTGGACTTTGAGAAGGGCTTGGAATTGTGAATTCTAGGCTGGATTTAATGTACTTCTGTGTTCCGTGTGAGACCTTCCGAAATTGAAGTGCAATTGTATGATGACACGTATTCCCTGCTAGTACAAAGACTATTAGCAAGCGCGGAATAGAGCGGCCTTCTTAGCGCACTATTTTGAATGAGTTGTGTTCATACTGACCATATCGCTTGGACCCCTCCCTATGCTAGATACGGATCGTCGACAGCTAACTCAATTGCCGTTCTTGACATCCGTTGAGGGGGAAGTGGATGCTCCCCCAGATTACCTCCGCGCTGACTGCAACCCCGGGATTTTGATTGATTAATATCGTACTGTGGGGTGCCGAGATGTATGTAGTATCTGATTGGTAGCTCGCTTGTTCTCCACGATCAGCATCGCGGGGGAATTCTGATAATAACCTAAAACTAAACTATCTGTTTTGATTGGTAGAGACATTGAGCTTCTCCCCCTTGAAAGATGCTTTGCGATAGAGTCCATGACGGAACAGTACCGGGCTTTAGGTCTAATAGGTTTGAGAGGGCTTTGTGGCGAAGCAGTACAGAGCGATACCGGCTTCGTGGGATTTTGAATAAGAAGGACTATGCTCCTCATCTAGTGGACTTGCATTTGTGTCATATTCACGATGCGCTCTTACGACGCCAACCTACATGAGAAGGATTTGAAGGGAGGAAACGAGCCACTTGGTCGGGATCTCGATCTTGGGCAAGTGCTCGCTATTCAACCAACAGCTGAAGAGGAGCGCAAAGTATTGTGGAAGCTTGACCTTATGTGAGTATTCCACTGCATTGTATCTACGTGATATGTATCTGATTCAAGGAAGTCTCGTTCCATTGATGGGAGCCGCATATTTCCTCCAATTCCTCGACAAGCTTGCTCTCAGTCAGGCAACGCTGTTTAATTTACGCGAAGATTTGGTATTTATTCCTACACAGCTGTTGGCTTAGGAGGATGTGTTGACAGAAGCTATAGAACATGAAAGGAGCAGAATATTCATGGGCATCTGCGATCTTCTATTTTGGGTATTTCGCTTGGAGTTGGTATATATTCAAAATGCCTTTGCCTCTCATCACGAATACTGATCCGACAACAGGCCTAGTTCATATCTTGTCGTCCGATTTCCCATTGGCAAATATCTCGCTGTCTCAGTGTATGTTCTTCTCCATTAAAGGATATCGCCGACGATGAGACTGACTATACAAGTTTCCTTTGGGGCGGAGTGCTAATGTGCCATGCTGCTTGCTCTAACTGGAGTGGACTTATGGCCGCCCGTTTCTTCTTGGGGGTAGGCGAGGCAGCAATTGCGCCAGGCTTCACACTGCTAACGGGAATGTTTTATAAACGCGAGGAACAGCCTTTGCGGTAAGTCTTCCAAATCGGGGTAGACCTAGGACTCACTAACAAGCCCTAGACAATCTGCCTGGTTCTTCGGAAACTTTGTTGCTGTACTCATTGGTGGATTAATTGCCTACGGTATTGGGAATATTAACACGACAGCAATTGCCCACTGGAAACTCTTGTTTCTTATTCTAGGCACTGTCACTTCGACTTATGGTCTTGTCTTGTTTGTCATGCTTCCAGACTCGCCTGCCAAGGCCATATTTTTGAAACCTGATCAGCGTGCTATTGCTGTGCACCGAACATTATCGAACAAAACCGGAGTCATGGATACGGGGGTCTTCAAATGGTCACAGGCTCTTCAAGCCATAAAAGATCCCCAGACATGGTTTCTGGTTGTGAACTCTTTCGCCTCGAGCCTGGCAAACGGTGGTCTTACAAGCGTGAGTACAGATCCTATTATCACCAAAGCTGGAAACTTATGATTTTTTTTAGTTTTCATCGATTATCATCTCCGGGTTCGGGTTCAGTGATCTCAAGGCCCTTATCATGCAAATGCCTCAGGGCGCTGCCCAGATCGTGTTTTTGTTAATTACTTCGATCACTGTGACCTTTATTCCATCTTCCCGTATACTAGGAATGTGTGTCATCACAATGATATCTGTTATCGGTCTTATCCTGATCTGGAAACTTGACCCCGATGATCAAGTTGGGCGGATGGTTGGGTTGACTTTAGCCGTCGTCTACGCGATCAATATTCCGATGTCGCTGAGTATCATTACATCTAATGTGGCCGGATCCTCAAAAAAGAGCGTTGTTAGTTCATTGCTGTTTATTGCTTATTGCGTGGGAAATATCGTGGGTCCTCAATTCTTCCTTGCCTCTGAGGAGCCATCATACCCGGTAAGTGGCCATTTTATTCCTGGTACAATTTACCTTGCACGATAAATACAAAACTAATGCCATGGTTGGGTGATATAGACTGGAATTAAAGCCTCTATGTCCGGCTTGATACTGAGCCTCTTCTTCCTTCTGTGCTTATATTCATACTACACGTGGGAGAACCGTCGACGAGACAGGGTGTATGGTTCGCCTCAGCAGATGACCGTGGGGGCTGAGTTGCAGGATGAGCTATCAAACAAGACAGATCGCGAGATTGATAGTTTTAGGTATCTTCTTTAGATGACAACACAAATTTTAGTAAACATATAGCGAAAGTTGTTCATAAAAGGGAGAAGAATTTGTTCGAATCTTGCCAATGTTAGAATCCCCTGTCTCGTGCATATTGGCCACTATCCGGGGAAGACCGATCGACAAGCCTAGCGAATGGGAGAACGTCCGCACGAAGTGATTCGATAGCTCAAAACAAAGAACAACCCATGTCAATTTGGGAAACTCAGCCATCCACTCATTCATTTTCCCTTTTTCATTGTCCACTTGCCATGTCCACATTCTAAACCTCAGTGAGAATCTCATTTCCCCCCCTCTTTCCAAATCCCCGCTATTATTCAGACCTTTGCGAGATTGTCATGGCTTCAATGTAGATCACAAGTTTCTTTGTTATACCAGTATGTATAGGATCTTTCCTATCTGCATAAGCAGACCCCGGTGCACACGTGTTGGCTTTATTGGTCTTTTATCTTTCGCTATACACTATGTACCCCCAACGAGATGGATATCACGTAAAAATTGGATCGATATATTATGAATGCGTACACTTTTGAAACCACACAAAAATTAAAACAAGTAGCAATAACAACAACAGACATGTCTATAATGACAAGGGTATAAAGTGAAACAGATGGCCGCCCAGTGATGATTCATAATTCGACTATCCTCAGTCGAAGTTTCTCTTGTAGCATATAAACCATGCATGCAGAAGTGATATCCCTCAGATTTATCGAAACCTGCTCTTACTTCGGGCGCTCGAGCAATGTCATTTCAGCCGTAGACTGCGTGTCCGACGAGTGGATATGAGGCCGAGCACTTGCCTGTGACTCCATAGAATTCACAGTTGTCAATGTCTGGCGCATTGCCTCGTGGAAATCGTATGTACCACTGTGCGCTGAATGCGCCGGGCTCGTCGTCCCCACAACAGTTTGCATCTCGGTCTCCTGTGACCGGGAATTACGCCCGAACATGTCGAAGATATTGATTTCGGATGAACCACGAGGGCTGCCATTAGCATTTTGGCATAAAGCGCATGGGTAAGTGCGCGTTAGCTCGCGGAGCTGCATGAGGGCGTGGAATTCGAGTTTCAGCTTGATACTGTAGGCGACAGTTTTCAAGCTGATGACGATGTAGTGTATTTTGTATTCGGCGACAACGACTAATACGTTGAGTAAGATGCCGAAGAGATTAGCGATGATGATTCGGTAGATGATTTTTCGCCCTTGAGGGCCTTTGGATTCGAAGACGGGTTTGAGAGCTCGGAGTGCTTCACGGACGTAGATCGCACAGATTACTGTGTCTTGGATGGCGAATCCTGATGTTTGTAGGCGGTCGTAGATTGCTGCTGGGCGGTCACATGGTATATTTGCAAGGTTGAGACAATAGAGGACTGCCATTGGAGTGTGGAGGATGAAAAAATTGGCTATGATCATCCAAAGTACCCATCGTACATGGCGGATGTCGGCCACAACGAGATGGAGTCTTGAATACAGCACTACCGCTTGTCCAGTCACCATGCAGACCCAGCCTATGAGAAACAGGGGTGACATGGTAATGGGATCTGCCATTTGTATAAAGACAGCTTGAGCTGGAATGCCATGTAACAATATTCCCCAGGCTGCAATTTGCATACTCCAAAAGTATAACCCACGATACTTTTTGAACCTCTCGAATATGCCGAACACAACTTCTAACGAATTCCACGCTCCAACACTGAACATAGAGGTTATCTGGATGATCGTAAAGTTGGCCTTTAAAACGGCGCTCACCTCCGCAGGGAGGTTGCTCATTGGGGTATCCATGGCGCGTGAATGGACTGGGCCATACGGATAAATCAACCGTGGGAAAGAGAGAGGGTATATTGATCACAGCTCGGACGCAGGTCCCACCTGGCTGACAGATGTTATCATAATAGAGAATTGCCTTCAGCCCCTCATCTTAGGCCACGGGGCCGGACTGGATAAGGTTGACCGTTGCTCTCGAGGCTAACCCATGCATGCCACTGCCGAGCCATCCCCCGTCGCATAAATGAGAGAAAATGGGACAGATACGGTCTATGGTGCTAGGCACGGGGATCTATGGTAGATCTTCCGGTTCTATAGACAATTAACGGATTCCAAACCAGCTATTGGTGCAATGATCTTTGGGAATATGAAGATCCCAGAAGGATCCGAATTTCCCTTCCCCTTAATGATGTTGGATTGAGGGGTCATTGGACACGTTAAACGAATGGTCGAATGTTGAGAGGCTATCGGCGCGCCAGACAGGGATTCTCGGGATCCAAACAAAGAAACCCAGCCAGAATTTGTGCACTGATCACATTTATCGCTGGTGGCGCTCCTTAATAGGTAACAGGAGCCTAAGCCTCACTAACATGAATTGGGAGATTGGTAATTATATGAAGACATATGGAGTTCGGAGTTCTCCGTATGGAGTAGAGAAAGATGAGAAGAATGGGAATGGATTGACGATATATTGAAGGCTTGGCGCTTTGATATAAATCCAGGGGCACGGGGCAATTATGCACGAAGTCGCGTCTACTACAAAAGTACGGAGTACTCCTTACAAGTCTATATTTTCACCGCTCCGACATCCAACACATCCAAAACGGTGCTGACACGTCCATCGAGCCTATCTAAAAGTTCAAAAGTCCAAACGTTCCGGTGTACGGAGTAGATGGGATGAGCATGCATATATTAATTATTCTGCCATGCCATGTACCACTTATCATACAAGTCTAATCTTTAAACTTTGTATGATATTTGATCTCATGTCCTTTTGACGAGGATATGACCTCTAATTTATGGGTTTCTTAGTAAAGAGATGGGAAGCAAGCAAACAAAGTGTCCGCTTAATACTCCACAACCTGATTTCTTTTCCCGAGGGGGGAAGAGAAAACTCTATAGAAAGAATTGCCAGTCACCTCTAGTAATGTAGGCTCATTAAGGTCACTGTCCGAAGCTATTCACTATGCCTAAATAGGCAATCACTCGCAGGACGTTTTTGCCTTGAAAAGTAGTCCTGTGCGACATCACAAAATCAAGGATAATAACGAGATCAGATTAGACACGTAGCCAGTAGCTTTAAAATATATGAAGATCTTTACGGAGTAAAGCCTCGCATCGTTTCTATTGGATAGTACTCCATACTAGATACAGAATTTGTGTTGCTATTAATCAATTAACCCCCTCTCCATGACTTGTCAAAATCACGCTTAGTGGTGGCCATGCAGTATGAAAACCCTGCAAACTCTGCAAACAGCCAGCGCACTCCAACTCACGATATGAATGAACCCCAACTCGGATCTCAATAGGTAAAACCGCATTTAAATCGCATATGGGTTGGTGACAAGGTCCTGGTTGACTGTCGTGTCATCACAGCACAGCTTGTAATATCCGTTGCGATCCTCGAGACAGTCATCGTTGAAGTCCAGATCAGCCCAGTCACGAGGCCATTGTGCATTGAGCTTGCAACCGGGAGTCACTTTGGAATTGGCCTTATCATCGCCATTGAACTTGGAATAGATAGTTGCTGTGCTATTGGCCTTATTTGAATCTCGGACGTCTAGAACTGTCAGACTTCACACCCGATAAAGAGAAACGATGCGACTTACTATAGGATCCTCCACCCAAGGGCCCAGCGCAAAGCTTACTCTCATTGATCACAATGCAACCGTGATATGGAACATGCTAGCAACTGCATTAGCCGTGGATAGAATTGACAAAATGGCCCTTTTAGATGACTCACAATATTGGTACCCTTTATATTGTATCCATTAGGATCTGGGCAGGGGTAATAGGGGGAGTCTTTGAAATATTTTTGGTTCCCCTCCCTAGCCTCAGCTTTTTGGATCGTGTCGAGGGTGAGGATCCCATCTGTACACACTGGCAACTGGAAGAATCCAGCAGTTCGGACACTAGGAACGTCTTTGCCAAAGGTGCTCACGATGTTATCAGTGTTCATCCCAGGATATCCATTCTGCCCTTTGTTTTGCAACCACCCGGAAACGCTAGACTCAATTATGTCCTCAATGATGATTCCACCCCATCTGCTTCCATCCATAGTAAGATGGTCTCCACCTGGAAGCTCGGTTACAAGGTGCTGGCCGTGCTCAGTCGGGTGAGCGTTTAGTAGGTAATGAAGCTTGCCGTCGAAGCATGCATTGACCTTAGGAGGCAGGCTGCGAAGGCCAATAAGGTCATAGGTACTTTCGGGGACGGTGGTGGTAGTTCCGTCGCAGGGTTCCTCGGTTCGCCTTTAGTCACCGGTGCGAGTCAGCCTTTTTTATAGTCTAGAATATTGGAATTGACCGAATTGCTTAAGGTAACATACCAAATGAAAGGATGCACGTTATCCTGAGAAACAGACCATGCGTACGGGATCATCTGACCATAAAGGATCTTTTTGACGTCGTTGCTGGTGTCGTTTAGGTCAAGAGTATTCATGATTTCGCCCATAGCACCATTGTTAATCATGTTATAAAGAGTATTGGTGTCGGTATTCTTGTCGGAGAATAGGTCGTCGAGATAGTCAGACTCAATGCCCTTCCAGGCATTCATAGTCTCGCCTAGGTAGGAATCGATGGTGTTTTGAACCTGTAGACCCTCGATGGCACTATCAATTTGTTAGCTTGGGGTGTCTTAAAAGGGAGACGAGATAGTACCCTCTCATATTAGTCTTATAGAAGGCACCCACGGCGCCCATGCTAGCGGCTAGCGCATCGGCGACCATAGCTTTAGCAACGACATTCTCTACCTGCTTCATGGCTAGTCGGTAAAAGTTAGATCACATCTACTACTGCCGTAATGGCCAATAAAACAAACATACCGATGTTGAAGACTGCAGCTGAGCCTAGGCTTATAACCAACGCCATAGAATCGAAGATATTCTTCAAAGTGACACCCGTTTCTTTAGGCGGCTGAGGGGCGAAGGTGGAAGTGAAGGAGCCAACATCATTCGATACGTCGGCTTGGACATTGCCGATAGCCTGGAAAACTGAGGCATGGAGCTAGAGAACTAATGAGTACACTGAAACGCAGCAGTTGAACCCAAGGAAGGGCCGATAGGGTGGTGACATACTTGATGGATACCCGCAAATCCATTCAAAATCAGAGCGCTACCTTGCCATTAGCGATACCATATGAGAGGGGATAGATTATGTGATTTACCCGGCCGGGATAGTAGCATCCTTGCACTCCACAGGCTGGGAGCAACGGTTCTCAGTGGCAATATCGCTACATCTCATATACTGAGGGCCATGAAGAAAGCTGCTAACAAACTGGGATAAACCACCCTTCCGGTTCTGCATCCAGGAACTCATGGTTGTATTCCAGGCAGCATTAGCACCTGCCGCCTCCCATTGAGCCTTTGCATCACCCTGGACTGCGGAACATTCTAAGGTCTTCCAAGCATCACTGGTTGGGGAGGACGAGGGAGGTACCGTGGACGACGCACTCTCACCGCGAGCCTGGTTGGTGCGGCCTACGGAAAACCCGCTCACTGAGATGGCGAGGTTGGCTAAAACGCCAAATTCTAGAACTCGCATGTTGAAATTATAACCAAATAGATGGAGGAATATTCATGAGATAGAAGAGAGATAATACTTCAATTGGCATGATAGGACGTCCTTTATATATGATTTTGTTCTTCATATAGATATCCCCATGGGGAAAGATAGACCAACCGGTTTGTAGTATACAATGTTGAGACTGGCAGGTATACTACCACTTTCCAGAACGAGGAAATGGTAAACCTCAAGACTACTAGAATACTGATACTGTCAGCAGCACCTGATATCAAGAAGCTTCAACATTATCAGCTGTGCCCAGCGCCCAGTATTATGAGGTGTGCCAAGCGGTGTTGGGTGCTTGGCACGATTACTCGCCAGAGGAGTTATACTTTCCTCCCTATGGAATACGATGATTGCCTATCTTTGGCTAGACTGGTCGGGCAATTGATTCCGCACAATCGATACCAGAGGGCTGTCCATTATTAATGACGCTCCCAGTTTGGAATACAAGGACTTCGAGAATGATGACACTGTTCTCAGCACTATGGTCTCCAATAGAAGGTCTATGAACTGATCACATATTCACTAATCTGTATTGCAGGCTCGGTTTACGGAGTAGGTGATTCCAAGTTGTGTCTAAATATGTCAATCAATTGCCCCATTGTTGGTTGCGAACTAAGTGGGTCGGCCTCGGCCCCTGCATCTTTCGCTCTGACCCCCGGGGTATACAATGGTCTTAGGGTTTGGTCACTGTTCTGTCACCCCTGGTATTGCCCACAAGACAAATTGGGGAATCCTTCTGGAACTGCCAAGCCAGCCACAACATGCAACACACTTAGGAACTTCTTAATTAACATACCGTGTGGCATGCGAGATATGCAGGGTCTTCCTGGCTGAGATAAATATGGCTTATGTGGAGTTAGGGGTGTGAGAAAGCGAAGGATCCGGTGTGCGGAGGTATGGATGTGAGGAAGTGGACGGGTCGGTTAAACTTCATCAAGTTCGCCAGAGGGGAAAGGATTGGTGTGCCTTTTGACCTATATATAGCCGAGGGCATAGCTGAGGGCATGCTCCACGCTGAGATAGCTCTCTATAGATGTTCCCGGTTCCATAAGAAAGAAGCGATATGCCCCTATTCGAGATTAATAGCTATGGCAGACTGGCTAGTTTAATACAAGCAATTTGTATCTTATTATCTATAATGAACTTCAAACCTACAGCAATCATGTTCTCTCTTAGCCTACTCCTAAGACTTTAGGTGGGTATTACCATGGGCATTCTACTCCGTACCTAGGAGCCATTTAGAGTCAGATGTATCGTCCGCCAGTTATGTGAGACCTATGTTCTATGCTGGTGATAGCGCAAGAGCCAACATGTAAGCAAATTTCCAACCAGATTGGATTAAGTAGTTACTTCAGAAATCAGATGGGGGTATAATAACAAACGGATTATTGATCCATTCTTTTTCAATTCAGCATAGTGAAGGAGATGGGCTTTTTATTGAATAACTGCACAGATCACAGATATATATATTGAGTGACCCCTTAAGCGGTGTAAAGTTGGTTATTTGCCTTATGTATTTAGCCCCAAGCTTGTGTATTTATCCCTTTCATGATTGTACTAACCAGGTGGATCAAGTCGGTGGATTACCTATCTGGGATCTCCCGGGGTCGACATCTTGGAAGATTACGGGGACAGTCCACGGGTACTTAGTGGGATTTAGGTAACGATAGCCCTATCTTTATAGCATACCGTAGAAGAGAGACCCTGCGGAGAATCAGGTAGAGTATAATATCTTATATAGCTTACCCTTACCAAATCCCAGATTGAAATGTTTTCACGGGACAGTTTATTTTAGTGCTGAAGGATTAAGCTAAGCCGACTTAATTAATAGAATGACCTAAATAGGCAAAGGAATGGGCTTGGCATCTGCGAAGTTGTACTCCAAGAACCGCCAAGACTTGGCCCAAGTAGTCTTGGTGGGAGTTTCCGCCCGGGCGTATACGAGCAAATACAGTCATATTTCACGAGTACTTGCACCTGGGTACTTCTATGCTCTGCCGGAAGAATTTCGCATCCACTCACATATAATCCTAAATCAATACTAGGAGTAATCGAAAGGCGGGCGGTCATCAATACTCCCAACCCGTGGACATAACTAAGGTAGGACTAGAGCATAATGGTGCTAGACGGGCGCCGAATATCGGTGTTATAAGAGTGGGCGGTTAAGGGGTTAGACATTTAAAGTTACGGAAAGTTAGCCACTTCATTTTCGAACTCATGTTTCAGGGATGAATGTAGCGAAAAGATTGTGGAGCAAACAGCAGGGATGTCAGACCGTAAATTTCATTGGTGATTCAGCTAAATAACACTGGAGAAAACGATATAGTGATGGACATATTATTCACAGGCGAGGACGACCGGTCGCAGGCAAGTAAGGGATATCAAAACGATCCAAATTCATAACCTTGTCCCAGGCGGCAACAAAGTCCTTCTTGAACTTATCCTGGGCATCAGCACAGCCGTACAGCTCAGAAAGAGCACGGAGTTCAGCGTGGTGACCGAAGATCAGATCAACACGAGTGGCAGACCACTTCTTGGTACCAGTCTTGCGATCGAAACCTTCAAACTGCTCACTATCGGGGCTGGTGGGCTTCCAGACAGTGTTCATATCGAGCAAGTTGACGAAGAAGTCGTTGCTCAGCTGGCCAGGGCGGGAGGTGAAGACACCGTGGTTTGATCCATCCCAGTTAACGTTCAGAGAACGCAAACCACCAAGCAAGACGGTCAATTCAGGGGCGGAGAGAGTCAGCTGTTGCGCCTTGTCGATGAGGAGCTGCTCAGTGCGAACGCGACGACTCGACTTTCCGTAGTTACGGAAGCCATCGGCGACGGGCCGGAGCCAGCTGAATGAATCGACGTCGGTTTGCTCCTGGGTGGCATCGTTGCGGCCAGGGGTGAAGGGAACAGGGACGCCGGCGGATCTTTCGAGGGCGGCAGAACCAGCAAGCACGATAAGATCAGCCATTGAGACACGCTTTTCGCCATTCTGGGCATTGTTGAAGCGCGTTTGGATGTCCTCCAACAAACGGAGGACTTCTTGCAACTGGGCTGGGTTGTTGACCTCCCAGTCCTTCTGGGGAGCGAGGCGGATGTGGGCACCGTTGGCTCCTCCACGCTTGTCGCCGCCGCGGAAGGTAGAAGCCGATGCCCAGGCAGTGGAAATCAACTTGGCAGGCTCAATACCAGTGGAGAGAATCTCGTTCTTTAGAGCAATGATGTCGCCATTGTCAATCAGGGCGTAAGTCGGAGCAGGAATGGGATCCTCCCAGATAGAGACCTCCTTGGGGACCTCAGGGCCCAGCCAGCGAGCGCGAGGGCCCATGTCACGGTGGAGCAGCTTGAACCAAGCGCGAGCGAACGCATCGGCAAACTCATCAGGGTGCTCAAGGTAACGACGGGCGATCTTCTCGTAAGCGGGATCGAAACGCAGGGAAAGATCGGTGGTCAGCATCTTAGGCTTATGCTTCTTGGCTGAGTCAAAGGCATCGGGGATGGTATCATCCGCATTCTTGGCGACCCACTGGTTAGCACCAGCGGGACTTTTGGTCAGCTCCCAGTCGAACTTGAAGAGATATTCTAGGAAGGTGTTGCTCCACTTGGTAGGAGTGCTGGTCCAGGTCACCTCCAACCCACTCGTAATAGCATCGGGGCCTACTCCGGAGCCGTGTTTGCTGTGCCATCCTAGGCCCTGTGACTCAATTCCAGCGGCTTCGGGCTCCTGGCCGACATTGTCAGCGGGGGCAGCACCGTGTGTTTTTCCGAAAGTGTGGCCACCAGCGATCAAGGCGACGGTCTCTTCGTCATTCATAGCCATACGACCGAATGTGATACGGATGTCTCTGGCAGCAGCGACAGGGTCTGGGTTTCCATCAGGGCCCTCAGGGTTGACATAAATCAAACCCATGACGACGGCGGCCAGCGGGTCCTCGAGGTCGCGGGTCTTGATGTCGCTTTGCTTAGTCTTCTCCTCTGCGGTCTCGGCCTCATAACGAGCCGCATTAGTAAACCAGACGTTCTCACTTCCCCAGTAAACCGACTCATCGGCTTCCCAGACGTCAGGACGACCTCCAGCAAATCCGAAGGTCTTGAATCCCATAGATTCCAAGGCAACGTTGCCAGTTAGGAGCAGAAGATCTGCCCATGAAATTTTGGAGCCGTACTAAGTACCGGAATTAGTATATGAAAACTAGAAATACATGAGTCTATGCATAGTACTTACCTTCTGCTTGATGGGCCAAAGTAGTCGGCGTGCCTTATCTGGAAAGAAAAGGTGCATGTTAGCATGGTGTGAATGTCGCTCCAAGTATTATTGAAAACTCACCGAGGGAGACGTTATCGGGCCAAGAGTTCAAAGGTGCGAAACGCTGCTGGCCCTGACCACCACCACCCCGTCCATCGAAGACTCTGTATGTTCCAGCGCTATGCCAGGCCATACGAATAAAAAGACCACCATAATGACCAAAGTCAGCGGGCCAGAAGTCTTGCGAGTCGGTCATAAGGGCGTGAAGGTCCTTCTTGAGGCCCCAGTAATCGAGAGTGTTAAAAGCAGCGGCATAATCAAAGTCCTTGCTTTGAGGGTTGGTGGCATCGGTGTGCTGGCGTAGAATACCCAGCTTCAAAGCATTTGGCCACCAGTCAGTGTTGCTAGATAAAATCAGTATTTCGAATCGTACCGGTGAGGGGTATATCAAAAGTGCCGAGGGAGATTCAGAGAATTAGGGGACCATACCGAGTGCCACCACCAGCAACATTGCTCTTCTTGTGTGCAACAGGACATTCACCCATGATGACAATTTTTATAAATAAATGAGGAAGATGAAAAGAAAGAAAAGAAGGGAGGACAGAGATCCCCGCAGTTTAAATGGTACAACCCTTTGGACCCGAACGGGTCGCGTATTAAGCAGTTCTTTCCATGTTTGGGGTGGATATACTATTTGTTAATTTGAAATGGCACGAAATTGTATTTCTTCAGTCTATCATTGGCCATAAAACAAAATATCTGGGGCGTGCGGGGAAAGACATAACGGGGTGACCTCATGAGTATCAGCAAATTATTCATTGGCGGAATTCGCCGAGCTGCGCCGGGTTCTAATGTGAACACACTTAATGTGCTGACCAAATGGCCATTTCTAGACGTTGGAGAACATTTTCATAGAATGAGGAGATGTTGCGAAAGTTCTAGTCTTGGAGATCTGGCCCTCGAATCTGACTAATAACCCCTTGGACTAGATTAGGTAGCTTTTGTATGACAGGCCCATACAAAAGGTACAAAATTCACCTTAGACGCGAGCTATTGTTCAGAGCGATTTCTCAATTTATATCCATCTCTAAGCGTTTAGGCATTACAATGACTGAACCCACAAATATCAATCCCAATCGAAGTGCCATTTTGAGTAATGATGAGCCCCACCCAGTCAACAAATTTTCTGTCAAAATTAGGTATCTTTTATATGGGTTTACCATACAAAAGGTACAAAGCGCTTAAAATCCACAGCTCCCATTTTCTTCAATAAAAATAGATGTTATGATTTTTGAACCTTTTGTGCCATTTGTATGAGATACGCATATAAAAGGTACCTACAACATATTTTGAACATTTCATTGACAGAAAAATATCGTTGACTTGGGCCCACCATACCATCCGCTAGCGTCCGTGCTCTTTCCCAGCTAAGCCTGTAGACGAGGCTTTCTGACCATGGATAGAGGGAAGAGTTATTAAAGAGTTCTTCTCATGAAGTTGCTAGTTCCTAGTACAACGTTTCATACCAACTTACAGCTTGTTGCTATGATGGTGCAGTGGCACTAGAAAGGCTGACAGCAGCCCCAGCATCCCTTCATGGACAAACCAAGTCAAAATCGTGCAGGTTGCAAATGATTGGTTACTTGGAAGACGAACCTCGAAGCCCGAAGCCTTCTAAGGAAACAAAAAAAGATATGGTCAGCATATTATCGAGACGAGACTAAAATAGGTGAGAAGAGATCTTACCTGGCCATATGGACAACTCTGTGGATTCTTTTGACACACGGTGGCACAAAACGTGGCTTGAGCTTGATCAATGATCGTCAAACAAAGGATCGCAAGAGCCAGAGTCGGCAACCGGAGTATTCTTGCGGTCATCGCGGGGGGAATTGTGCCTAGACAGGTTTATGGAGAGAAGATAAATGGACGGCCTAAGTGAGAAATATTCTGTCACACCACTACGGGTATAGGCATCACCTTTCTCCTATGTACCGGGCCGATGCATGACTCGACTTGGACCTAACCAGGAGTTGCGTTGCACCGATCTAGTACGGAGTAGGCTAGTGGGAATTTGTTGATATAAGTACCTTTTGTACGGGGTCCCTATACAAAAGGTACGGGCTATCGGGAAGTATTCAAAATAATATTGACTATTCCTCCATCACAATATTATATACAGAGGAAAAGAATAAACGTCCAAAGTCATATACACACAAACTTGATATCCCCACTCCGCAAAATGTCTGGCCAACTACATACTCCTTCACACAAGCTCGCATCGCGCCTTTTATTCCATATGGTCTCAAATATCTGTTTGGCCATCGATGCATGAACCAGGGCTGTTGTCCGGGCGCAATTATCAAACCACGAGGAGAAGAACATTTGTAACTCGGGGCTAACAGCCTCACAAGCAGTGATAAAAGCCGGCCATATCAGCGCAGCGTTGGTACTGTCTTTTTGGCCGCTTTCCTCCTGTTCGATTTGGATTAGGTAGCCCCGAATTGCATCGACATTTCTCTGAAGTAGCGCGGGATCAATTTCGTATATTCTGCGATGGAAGAAAATTGATAATGCCGTGTACATTGCTTGAGCTGTCGCGGTTGTGACCACTGCAAGGGCCCCATCGTAAGTTTGAATACTGCTTGAATTCGCAGTCGATAGCCAATGATCGATAGCCCTTTCCAGACCCTTTGCTCGAGTCCAAAAGTCCTTGAGGCTGAGCGGACTTTCTGCTGCATCAGACATCATTGATAAATCTCGCTCGTTGGCAAGGCGAATCACTTGGGACAGTAACATAAGAAATATTTCATCGATACCGTATAGTGTGGGAAATAACGTTGAGCTCCATCGACCGGGTATCGCAAGGTGCAGGTCACGCTGGGCCATCCCCGGATCCTTTTCCATGCTCATTGTGGTTGTCGAAAAGACTAGATTGGGGTAGAGACGGAAGTCTCCTCCATATATTGTGTTGTCATGCAAAGAGCCTCTTGACCGAGTAGGGTTGATACTCAAACTATTAGCAATGCACGTCGTCTCAGCCATGATGCGCATATAAGCATAACAATGGTGCAGTGCTCTTTTGTTGGCTGACAGAGTTGGTTGACTGAGTCCCTTCACACAGATAAATTTCTCCGTTTGGACGAGATAGGCGCGTCGCATTTCCGGGTCTCCTTTTATCATCTATATTACAGCGAACGTTAGCGGTGTACAATGGAAACGTATTGATGTCATACAAAGGCATTTGAAAGACTCAGCATTGCCATGAGAATCTCCTTATATTTGCTCATCTTCGTAGTCGAGACACAGCTTTCCTCCATGCATCGTTGGAAGTGGTATTGGGCCCGTATCAAGTAATTTCCTCCCGAGACTGTCCATTGCTCAAGACACGGAACTGAATTATTTCCCAAGTGAAGGGCACTTGTGCTCCATACCGCATTTAATAAAGCAAGCCGGGCATGATTGGAAGACCCATTCAGCATCAGGTCTGCCAGAGTTGCCATTGCGCATGGAATTACCAGGTTAATCCAAGGTGTCTCCTGTCCACGGCGTAAAGGGGATATCAACGGGACGATTCGGTCTTTGTAATGAGATAGGAGACTCCATCCCTCAATATTACCCATGCATAAGTAGGGGCTGAGCCCTGTCTGTGGACTCGGCTCGTGATAGTTTCTTTCAATGCTCTGAAATGGCTGTAGACTGCACCCTTCTAACAGCAAATCATCACCGTTATCCTCGCTCAGAGTATCCAGAGCATCTAACCTGAACGGGAAGTCTTCGTCTCTTGCCAGCTCCTCAAGCTGCTCGAACCAGTCAGTGGGCGAAGCCGGATGATCATCTGTACCGGAAGGTAAGAGGTCAAGTGGGGGCGGCTGTGACCATCTGAAAGCACCAAAGGGTCCCCGAAATAGCGCGAATGGTTCCGAGCAACTGGTATCCGAGTCGAACCTTTCCAGATCAGTTATTGCCTGGTCAGGATTCTGATTGGGCACGGAGGAGACGATCTGAAGGGTCATGTCACGGCGTTCGACATCTGCCAAACGTTGTCAGATTTAGCCAATAGGAGCTACATTCAACAGCGGACCTGTGAAGATGGAGTGGCGATGCCTGGCAGCATTTTTCGCACTCAGCCATCGAATATCCTCTTTATCATGAATGAAGGTTAGCTGCATGTTTCCTTGCATCTTGAGGGATCTTGCGCCTTGGGGAAGTTGTGGTTCTGATAAATTCCTAGTCTCCATTGGCCAAATAGGAATGTGATTCCGATATTGACATGACCGATATTAAATAAATATGGCCGGGCCGAATGACTGTGTTTGGTACTTTTATAGCAAGCTTCCTTCACAATTCTTGAAAACATTTAGGTACAATGCTCTCAGTCGCAGAAATCAGTAGTTATACCTGAGAGACCCAAAATCGAAGGGTCGGGACTTCTTGCCCTCTTCGATTATTACCCCTCTGGTAAGTCTTAGTGTCCCAACTTTGTCTTGAACTCCCAATAAACGTTTTAGATGCCAACAACAATCACTACGGCGTCGAATTCCGAACTATACATTACATTCAAGGTCGACTAGCACGTTCACTCGAAAAGAATATAAACACATCTGATTGACGATTGATAACAATTTCACTTTCGACTTGATGGAGAATGGGGATATAAGTATGACTAGGCGCCTTATCTGACCAAATAAATGTTTAAGAAAACAACTTGGCAATCCGCAGATTGTTGTAGTCCCAGGCCGTGATATCCTCGTATTTGCACGGAGTAGCAGGTGTGACGAACTTGCTTAAAGGAAGCAAGGAAGCGACACGGTTCGGCTTCGCAAAGTAGGCAACGGAATAGCGCTCAGGGATTATCTCGTCAGAGCCCACTTTGATAGTGGGCGGGTAAGTCACCCGGTGACATGCAGCCATGAATGTGTCATTGGTTAGGCGTTGGAGCGAGTCGCCGATGTTCAGAATGATCTCCGACTTACCCCCTGACTCAACATCGTGGAAGACTCCCAGATTTTGCTGGTCTTCGACCTGCAAGCCACCCGTGGAATCTTGAAACAGCATGGTAATCGTACCAAAATCTGTATGCTCTGCAATCCGGGTGGCGGTCCCATCTTCTAGATCGGATGCCGGCACAGCCGGATAATGAAGTAGACGAAATTCATTCTCAGCCTTGTTGTGTAGTAGTTTCAGATCTGATGCTGAAATCTCCAGGGCCTTCGCCAACGCGTCAAGAATCACCAACTCGACTTCGAAGCAGCTCGCATAGAAACCCTCCATAAATTTACGGAATCCGGGAAGTTTCTCGTCAGCAACCCAGATGTTGTCCACAAGATTGTCGTGTGGGGAGCCCATGTCAAGCGTTTCCTGTCCTCGTCAGAATGGCTTTCGTCAAAATTACCACGCAGGAAATGGTTACCTTGATATCCCGAACTGATTTCCCTTGTGGGAGGCCTTTGTCATATCCACTGATTGAAGAGATGGATTCCTGGCCAACAAAACTGTATCCGCGGTTTGGGTTTGCCGCAGGTGGATGTTTGGCGGTCATCTTATCCTCCAGTGAAAGGGAAAAGAATTGACGGGTCTAGCAAAAATAGTCAGCTAAGGTGCAATCCCCAATCTTCCTTCAATCCAACTTACATAGTCAAACATCTTGCTGATGAGATCTTCTGGGAGACCATGGTTCTTTAGCTTGGCTACTCCACGCGTTTTGAGCGTTTCTAGTAGAGCTGCCGAAATCGCATCTCTTTGCTCCGGAGATCCCTTCAACAAGGACAGATCAAGAGCTTGTGACATATTTTAAATGTTGTTCCAAGAGATTCGTTTAGAATTGTTGACTAGTGCAAATATTTGCTCACTTTTCGTTTAAAAAACAAAAGAAAGTTATGGGATACCCGACTATATATATATTCGATCATGGATGGAGATCTATGACCAAAGGTCACAAGGATGAACTTCATCTGGAAGGTAATATTGGATGTATGACTAGCCATATCTTCAAGCTGTGGATTACCTTCCCAGTGAGTTAGAAATAGACCTTTGTCTGTCGTGATAAGCAAAAGCCCGAAAAGAACAGAAGTGAAATGCACGCCAAGATTACCCCAACAACACATCTTCCAATGAAGCAACCTCAGTGGATCACCTTCCTATTTCAAATTCTATATACTAGTTCTTATTATTCTTCTAGCTATAACACAAATGGAGGGATCAAATATACATGGGTTCATACCTATGTTGCTATTGGGACTAGTGAAGAGTTTGGATTCGAGTACATAGTAATATCCTACAGGATACAAAACAAAACACCAATATAACCATGGTTTGACTTGCCAAGACATCAAGGTGTCGGAAAAACATTCACTCCCATTTTTCTCACTTGGTTTGTGTTGGAAAAGATTGTTCCTCAATTTTAACCCAGTCGATACGTTGAGAGTGTTGATAGTGTTGTAGGACCTGGGTTCCGGGGAGGGAGTTTCTAGAAGTAGCAACGACATTAGCATGGTAATTAAACGAGATCAGGGCGGAATTGTAGCAAATTGCATTTCCAAGACCAATGCGATCGTTCTCCATGGAAATACCTAAAATCAAAAACGCAAGCCTTGGGCTAAGTGTTTGCATAAGTTCGCGGACAATGGTAGCTTCAGATGGGGAGATAGTGTTATGGGCCCATCTTTCGATATTCAGATACTTCCTTCCCTGTAAGTGCAGGGTATGAGATAAGCAGAAAAGTAAAAGAAGCAATGGGATGTAAGTCTCTTGATGTTTGTCGAAGTATATAATACCTAAAAGGGAATCGAATGGGCCGTGATGGTCATTGGACCAAAGCTGCGTGATGGCCGCTGCACCATGCCGTAGCTCACCCCACTAACAAACAGCTTCCTGGCGCTTGCTTCCTTTCATCTCTCTCCTTTTTCTTTCTTCAATACAGAGTCCATTGATTATAGTCTTATTTCAGACTTGATATTTATCATGGATTGCACGGGTCTGAGTAGTGATGGTGCTGCCTACCGGTCTCGCGGGTACCAACTGGAAATGTTAGAGGCTAGCCGTAAAGAGAATATCATTGTCGCTGTATGTTTTCTTGAGTTTTGAGGCTTGAAAGGATACTGACTGTCGATAGATGGATACTGGGAGTGGAAAGACTCATATGCATGTTTGCAGGTGACGCTCCTTTTATCGGCACATTTTCCTAACTCTTTTGTAGTGCCATTCTTCGGATTATAGATGAACTTGAGAACTGTGATTCCCCAGAAAAGGTGATACAACTCGTTAATTCTTCGACTTGCTTTTAGCTCACATGTGTCACAGCTTGTCTGGTTTCTTGCTCCCACCGTGGCATTGAGCCTTCAACAACATGAAGTCATCACTAGCCAGATCCTCTCTGTGAAAACTAAAGTTTTAACTGGTTTGGACAATGTCGACCGATGGACTGAACAGGGTGTATGGGACAAAGTGCTCAAGGATGTCCGCGTGGTTGTCTCAACCTATGCTGTCCTTGCTGATGCTTTAGGCCATGGTTTCGTTCGCATGTCCCGACTTTCTCTCCTTATTTTTGATGAGGGTACATGACATATCTGATGGTATCGCAAAGTCCATACTAATAACATGAAATGCAGCTCATCATTGCACAAGACGCCACCCGGCGAACAAGATTATGCAAAATCACTACCGTCCTACCCTACTAAGGTTCGGTCCAAATGCTGTACCTCGGATTTTGGGACTTACTGCTAGCCCAGTAGTCCGTTCGAGTCAGAATGAGCTTGAGTCAGTCTATCTACCACATGATAAGCCACCCGGCAACTGACCATCTTCCACCCAGGACAATCGAATCTAACTTGGATGCGATATGCAAGACTCCACGTGTCCATCGTACTGAACTTTTGGAGAATACCCATCGCCCTCGTCTTGAGCGTGTTAATTATATACATTTTGATGAAGCACAGTATGGCTTTGGAAGCCAGCTACTCTCATCTCTCATAGAATGTTGCAAGGCCTATAACATAGAGGATGACCCTTGGGTCGAATCATTACGGTCAAAGAATCAGACTGCGGAGCTGACGAAGGCCCTCACTACAGGTAAGACCTTCTGTAGCGAGCAACTGAGCATTTTCCAGGCGCGCAGCCGTCATATTTACGAGGAGCTTGGAGGTTGGGCTACCGACTTCTTCATCAGCACTTCAATTGACCAACTCCAGCTTTCAATCCAAGATGCTAGTGAGATGTCACATCTGGACCAAATGGAGAGAATTTACCTCTTGGAACTGCTGCGTGCAATGCCTGCACCAGGTTCAGCCGAGAGTGATCACGTATCCATCAAGCTTGAAATGCTTATCAACTTTCTCGAAAAAATGGATGGGCCTGGGTTTTCTGGACTACTCTTCGCAAAGCAGAGAGTAACTGTTAGTGTGTTGGCTCGAATTTTATCTTTACATCCCAAAACTAGAGATCGCTTCCAGTGTGCCGCTTATGTTGGTTGGGCGAGTGATAGAAGCCGCAAAAGCTGTCTTGGTGACCTACTTCATCGTGATATGCAACGGGATACTCTGGATGAATTCAAAGCTGGCCGCAAAAATCTCATTGTCGCCACCGAAGTCCTCGAAGAAGGGATTGACATAAGCGCGTGCAATATGGTCATCTGCTTTGACAAACCTGCGAACCTCAAGTCCTTTGTCCAGCGGCGTGGGCGTGCTCGTCATAGAGAATCTACATATGCTGTCATGATCTCAAATGAGGATGAGTTGTTGAGTCTTCACAAATGGCAGGAACTGGAGCAGGCTATGATTAAAGCGTATCAAGATGACGAGCGACATCGTCGGGAACTTTATGAACTCGAAGCCACCGACGAAGATGTCAAAGACATACTATGGGTGGAAAAGACGAGGTAAGTTGAATGAATGTCTTCTCTTGATATTTACTGACATCCGTTGGCAGTGCTCGGTTGACGGCGGACGATGCAGTGCAGCATCTACATCACTTTTGCGCTGTATTGCCAGTTGATGAGTTTTGCGACAACCGACCAATGTTTTCCTTCGAAGAGAACAGTGCGGGATTGCTTTTGGGCACAGTCACATTGCCAAATTCGGTGCATCCGACAGTTCGACGAACAACGGGGAGATCTTGGTGGCGCACAGAACGAGCAGCCAGAAAGGATACTGCATTTCAAGCATACAAAGCTTTGCATTCATATGGGTTAGTCAATGACAATCTTTTGCCGTTGACACGAAAACCAGAGTTGAGATTCACGGAACAGGCAACTCTCCCATCCATTATCCAAGCTGCAGAACAGTATGACCCTTTTGTAGAACTTGCACAAGGCTGGTCTTCCCGCCAACTGTGCCAGACACGCTTGAAGATATATAGTAATGGTTGTGTCGATGAAGATCTGGCTATCTCCCTAGTTTTGCCAAGGTTGACCCCGACGCCGCAGCCTATTCCTCTCTACTGGGAACCTGAAACCTCCATGAAACTCTACTTTGATCCACAAATGACGGATTTTGAGGCCACAATAGAGACATTGGATCAAATGAGAAAAATCACAGCTCTCTATCTACAAGCTCCAAGCTCACGTCAGCGAGGAGATGACCGTGACTTCGTGGCTCTCTTTGTCCCCAATATCTCACATGACCGCCTGGGAGAATGGCTTGCGGTGTATGAAGGAAAGGAGCCCGCGCTGGAAGCCTACTTGAGGAATCCAACTTCGCCGCCCATGGGTATCATCCGTGACCAGTCCAAATTCAGCGAGCCACGGACATTCAGCAGATGGATTGTTCCCACCGAAGTATCAAAGTCATCGCCTATTGAAATTGAATGTTCATCACTTCCCCGTCGACGAAATCTCCTCCAGGTGCGAGCCGTGAATGTCGCTGAAGACGGAGAGGTAGATGCACCAAAGAAGTCTTACGTCCTACCTGCTTCGGCTTGCATTATCGACAAGCTCCCAGCAAAACAGGCTCTCTTTGGACTTTTTATCTCTGCCATTCTAGACCGGCTGGAGGCATCATTGGTCGCACATCGATTGAACGATACCATTTTGAAAGGAATCGGAATCCAAAATATCGCTCATGTCATTACGGCTATCAGCGCGCCGATTGCACAGGCCAGCACCAACTATCAGAGATATGAGTTTTTTGGTGACTCCGTTCTCAAATTCACCGTTAGTTGTCAGCTGTTTTTCCGGAACACCAAGTGGCACGAGGGCTACCTCTCAGAGAGCCGTGACAAACTCATCCAAAACACTCGCCTTGCCCGTGCAGCCCTGGACACCGGCATTGATTGCTTTATTCTAACGAGCCGATTCACCCCTCGAAAATGGGCTGCACCGTTGATCAGGAACAAGTTGGACGCATCAACAGCCAAAAGAAACATATCAACCAAGGTCCTGGCAGACGTTGTGGAATCTCTCATCGGCGCAGCATATGTGGACGGCGGAATTCGCAAAGCGCAAGCCTGTCTCCATCGCTTCTTGCCAGAAATTGATCTCTTCACAAATGATATTTCACCCCCCATTCTCCCAGAAGGGAAAGGCGTGAGCAACTTAATCAACCAACACCGACTAGCCGGTCTGATCGGGTACACTTTCCAAGAACCAGCCCTCCTAACAGAGGCACTCACGCACGCATCCTGCGAGTACGATACATCAACACAATCGTACCAACGCCTAGAGTTCCTCGGCGATGCCGTCCTCGACATGGTCGTCATGGCAGTGATAGCAGCCCACCCCGTGGAAATGGATCAGGGTCCAATGACACTGCTCAAACATTCCGTCGTGAACGCCAACCTCCTCGCTTTCTTCTGCATGGAGCTATGCGCTCCAGATGAACCTTCCCACATCACCCAAATCAACGGTGACATCAACCTTGTGCCACAATATGACCAGATCCACTTATGGCGTTTCCTACGCTCCCATGGCCCTAACATCAAATCCGCTCGGGAAGCATGTCTCGAGCGACACCAAGGTCTCCGTGGTGAGATTCGCGAGGCCCTGGAACACGGAACTCAATACCCGTGGGAATTGTTCGCCCGCCTGCGCGCGGATAAATTCTTGTCGGATATCATCGAGAGTGTTCTTGGGGCGATTTTCATTGACTGTGGGGGTGATTTGAATGTGTGTCATGCATTCGTCGAACGTATCGGTTTGGTCTGGTACATTCAGCGTGTTATTGCCGACGGGGTCAATGTTGTTCATCCGCGGAACATTGCCCAGAACATGGTCAAGGGAGCAGGTACATTGGTCTTTAAGAGGAAGAGGGTCGAGTCGGGGGGTGTGGCTACGTATCGGTGCTCGGCGATCGTAAACCAGAATGAGATCGCGCTGGTCGAGGGTTGTGCTTCTGCCGAAGAGGCTGAGGTTAAGGTCGCCAATGTTGCTATTGAGCACTTGACGTTACACCCGATGGTTTCTACATGAGCTCGAAGTCAATGATTTGGAAATTGGCGTGCTCCGAATGACCTGAATGATTTGTATGATTTTGATTTTGCTAAGATACATAGATACCACGTGAGAAGTGTTGGATTTGGACTCCGGGAATACCTTCAATAGAATTGTAAGCGATGTAGCCAATTGGCATGGCCCAAATAAATAAAGTAGTCAAATCTGGTCTACTCCTCGGCCTTGTTTCCCTTTGCACCGCGCTTGGACCGTCGGACAGGGGCAGGCTTAGGTGCCTCTTCCATCTGTTCCTCCTCACTCGAAGCCACTATCACACCCTCTTCCATGCTCTCGGAGGACTGAGTATCCGTCTCCGCCTTCGACACAGGCTCCCAAGCTCCCTCACCTGGCACAGCATCTTGACGCAAGCTGCTGAGGATCTTCGTTGTCTCACTTTCCACGCCATTCCAAGCTCCACAGCTACAGCACCGCCAGCGGCCCAGCTCTTCCGGTGTTTTGATCCCGGGGGGTGCCTGACCGTTCACGAGCCGGCACGCGGTGCACATCATGACCATCCGGTTGCGGGGTTGTGTTTCATCTTCTCCCAGCAAAACGTCCAAGAGACGATCGTACCAGTGTGGCTGTTCGATGTATTGACCGTTCTGGGTGAATGCGTTCGGTGCAAAGCCAGGTTGATCGGTGGATGTTTGGGGAGGGAGAGAGGGTGGGAAAGAGGGCTGCTGAGGTGTTTGCGGTGCCTGGGGTAGCTCGAGAGGTGGTGATGGAGAACTGGGGAATGGCGGGTCATTCTGGGTTTGCGGTGCGGAGGGACGCCGAATGTTCGCAGTCGGTGGCGGAGGGAGACCAGTGCGGGCCACGTGCTGTTGCTGCTGGGCAGGCTGGCGTGTCTCGTCCTGTCCCTTGGCCGGTGAGGGTTTTGGGGATTCGCCGCCATACTTCTCTAGCAATTGCTGAGTGGAGTTGTACTTGGTCGCGACCTTGAGCTTTTCGATGGTCTCCTCGCGCTGCTTATGGAAATCGTCGAGGCGGCGTTGGATGCGGGAAATTCGGTAGTCGAAGATTCTAGAGCTGAGAGTGCGCACACCGTAGATCCTGGAGGAAGAAGAACTATATGTTAGCGATGTTGGAAGGTGTTGATGGAGGGCAGACGTACAGCACCGGCCCGCCTACTATGGCTGCATATTCCTTGACTCCCCAGCTCTCCCATCCTAGTATGAGGGCGAGAACGATAGAATAAAATAGATAGGCAAATGTCGAGTAGAGGGTCCACAGAGCTTTGATGCGCCGGGAAGACTGACGTTGCTGGTCGAGTCGCGCGGTAGCCTGGGCGATCTTAGTCGACAGCGTGGATAGGGTCTTCTCAAAAGAAGCCGCAGAGTTGTCATCGCCCTGGGTAATGTTAGTGGAAGTAAAGTGAAACAAGTAACCACATAACTCACCTTCCAGGGCCAAAAAGAAACCATTATTGTACATACATAATATGCCTGTGAAGAAGAAGCTCCAACTGTCAAGCTGTTCCAAGTTTCTGGAAGGCGATACGCACGGGCCACTGTGGTCGGAGTCGTGACTCCAATATTGGGCAGTCTACTTAAGTCCACGTAAATAGGGGCTAATTGTATTTTGTTTATTTGTTTCATTGCGCATGACTATCTTGGATATCATTACACAGATTCCAACTATTTAATTTTTGTTGAGTTGCTCTTTCTATGGCTTGGCGAGGGTGTTTCCAAGCTCAGCAGCTCGGGTGGTGGCGGCCTGGACAGACTTGTCGACAATCTCTTTAAAGTTGAGAGACTCAAATGTCTGGAGAGCAGCATGTGTGGTGCCGTTGGGGCTAGTCACATTCTTACGCAGCTGAGTAGGGCTGTCGGAGCTCTCAACCAACATCTTGCCCGCACCGAGACATGTCTGTGTAGCCAAGCGAGTGGCTTGTTCTTCGGGGAGACCTAGAGCAGTTGCACTTGCAACCAGGTGCTCAACCATGGCAAAGAAGTAGGCAGGTCCAGATCCTGATCAGGTTAGATTGATACGCGTTGATGACATGCCGTATGGCTTTTGACGCAGAAGACTTACCGGACAGTCCAGTGACAACGTCGAGAAGTTCTTCGCGGTCTACCCACTCAGTAGCCTTGCTAACACTTCCGAGCATAGCATTAACAAGCTCCTTCTCGCCCGCTGTGACATCCGCACTAGCGAAGGCACCCGAAGCACCCTCGCCAACCAAGGCAGGGGTGTTGGGCATCACGCGAACAGTGTGGGCCGTACGGCTATCGCTAGTCGTCAACCATTCCTTCAAGCTATCAAGAGTAATACCCGCAGCAATGCTGACGACAACGGGCAGAGTAGCGCGGGGTGACCAGGCACCACCGAGCTCCTCGCACACACCCTTGGTAACCTGGGGCTTGACGGCAATGATGACCAAATCGGCATCACCTCCAGCCTCGACATTGGAAGTGGTGGTGCGCACTCCGAGAGCGGCCATCTTCTCGCGGTTGACATCCCATGGCTCCGAAACGCAGATATTCTGCTTGTTGACGCCTTTGCTCAGCAGGCCGCCAATGATGGCGGAGGCCATGTTGCCACCGCCAATGAAGGCCAATTTGCTCTCTTGAAGGGAAGGCATTGTATAGATATATAGCTGAAACGGTTCGGTTGTCTAAGTGAGTAAATCGGGGAGTCCCGCACTTATGTAAAATCTTAGTGGGGTATCCGCTATCGCACCGGCCCGGTATTGCCTTCTACCCCCGTCATTTCGATTCCTGCGTTGATTCTTTTTACCTCATATCTGATTTAAGAGTTTAATTGTGACTCTAAGCAGATATGATATATCCCGAGGTCCCCTTGTCTCGGCTACAACTGGTATGTATATACACTTTCAAAACAAAGGCGGGGTAAATACACATTGAATTCCAACCTGAAGACATGCCATCGTTAGGAATCATTGATTCTGTCTCTCCAAAATTGATGAGTTAACTAACTAGCCTTCTTAAATAATCTCGTTTTACTCTAAGAACCTAGAGGAATGACGGCTGATTGATCAGTCTAGCATGGAATAACATCTACTTTTAGGTTTGAGATTACAAACATGACATCGTCTCCTTGGAGGGTTGGGGATATTTAACAATAACATTGAAAGATATGGCTCTTAATAGTACAGGTAAATCATAGTATCTCGGAAATAACAAAAAGAAACTCCAAAGCCTCAAGGCTTAATCATTCGTAACTCGTGATGGTATACAGGGTATCAATCAGTAGACACGGTGTGCGCCACGTCCATCAGTGCCATGCATGCGGCGGGTTCCAGCAGCCTAGTTTCAAATGTTAACTCAGATTCAAGTTCAACCATAAGAGTCATTCGATGCTTACCTTGATTGCGGGGCGATGCGTCAAGCTTCCTTTCAGCTTCAACATAGCGCCAGAGACTTTGTCACCAAGAGTGGGCTTGCGGTGATGGCGAGTATGCTTAGGTGTTGCATAGGCGTGCTTATGACCAAAACGACCTCCAGTAGGACCAGTACGAGCACTGTGGCTAGTATGACCAGTACGGTGGCCGTGGACGGGATTCTGGTGTGTTGTCGTTGTGGTTTTGACGGTGCGCGATTTCGCATGTGGCCCCTTGAGTTTGGTCATCAGTGTAGGCTTGGTGGTGCGAGTAGTTGTGGTAGCGGGGCGACGACGGTGAAACATGATGATTGATTGATAAAGTTGGTATGGAGTTTGGTATCGGATGTATATTGAAGACAAGATTTGGTGTAGTAGATTGCAGTGTAGTAGATTGTAGTGTAGTAGATTGTAGTGTAGTAAGTTGATCTGATATGTATAGTTATGTGGGAATCAAGTTGTTTAAATAAGCTACAGAGGTATAGTAATTCCTGCTATTTACTTTGATGTCAAACAAAACGTACGCCAAGCATCATATCGCCTTCGAAGATAGTAGGAGGTTGACGAAAAGGCGCTCAGCCGGCTCGTCATCCGAAGGACGATCTTTTCTAGGTATCCAGTCAACTCGCACAGGCCAGAAGACAAAATTCTACCTAAAATAACAACACATGTAATTGGTAGTGTGACTATTTCATAGACAAGAATATATATTGCTTAGGTACGTCTCAATGATGGCATAAACAAGATTCTGACAGACGTAGGCAAGTTGTAGACCCCTCCACGGTCATGTCAAATGATGAGACCGGGGATGATGTCACAGGGTCTGTGCGCCAAGACATCTCAACCCGTCAGTTAAATCCTTCATACATATGTTGTATGTGTTAGAAGATATCACGGTTATACTTGATTTGTGCTACATGCACATCATGTCTCTCAGATGTACCGTTGCCTTTTGGGTCTGTGAGGAAGAATGAGATCATTAAAATGAAGCACAATAAGATATTATCTTGCAAGCTGTAAGAACTATGCAAGGAGGGAGGAAATGGCGACTGCAAGTATTAGTACAGTCAATCCAATGTGACCCATGAGATACCAAATAGTTGTCTAATAGGACTTAATACGGGTCAAGTTCTTCGAGGCATCGAACAACAGTACCAAATTTAGTGTTAACTACAGTAGCACCCACGTAGTTACCCGTTTTATGGTATGAAATGAAAAGCAAGTAAACAGTCTAGATCTTGAAGGAGAAACGCAATGTACAACATAACATTTCGATTGATCGCGAAAACCTAAACTATATAAACCAAAGGACATCGTTATATATAACCACCTTTCTGTATGTAGAAAAGACGAATCCTATCTAGGACGCGACCGTCCTATTGTCGTATATATCTAATCAGCGCGCCTTGAACCGACCCAGATATGTATCCGTAGAACTGATCGCATGAGCTGCGCCCGTGTAGTCTAATCAAAACACATCGATTAGTCACAGATTATGGAACAGCATGATGACAAATTAAAATTTCACAATTTCAGCAACTCAGAGACCAGAATGAAACAATGTAGAAGGACACAGATTCAACACATTCTTTGCAGAAAGGGAAGAGGTCAATCATCATAGAGACTGTATTTGTGGCTTGCGGGGGCAGGGGTATGGGCATATTTCAGGGGTCGATAGTTACCTGGACCAGTCGGAGCACTCCGCCAAGTGGGGGGCGATAGGTGGCGGCGGGAACCCCCAGGCGCCGGTGTAAGCCACAAACTAGTACCTGGAGTGTTCCTGAAGTTGCAGCTAGTTAGGTTTTGTGGAATATGGATATTATTTATAGCGATCTGTCAGTTAGTTACAATGTAGTGGCGGGGGGCAGTGGATTTGTTTCGTCTATAACCCTGGAACGACTCCGAACGAGTACACGTCAAAAATGATAACGTGTTATTCGGGTGAATGCCTATGACTTCAAGGAGGGTTCGAGAGTTGAAACAGAATTCCCCTGAGTGGTCTTAAATACTTGCAGGGCTAGGGCATCGGCCCTATTCAGAAATTTACATGGAGAACTTTATTATGGGGAATTTTGTCATTGATGGAGCCGTATGACGAAGCTGTACCCACCTATATGAAGTGAATATGCATTGGTACAGAGTATGTATATAACTGTTAGATAAATCTCATGGTAGAAAGACTACAAATGTTCCTATAGTAATCTTGTCTACAAAGTGAAGGCCTTGGATTTACCCATTTCAGTCGTTACTTGATCAATACCTAAAGGAGGTCTATTGAATATCAGCTAGAGTATCACGTGGGCCGAGATGCATGTACAATATTTATAGGGGGCATTTTGTAGGAGACATTTCTAGAGATTAAATGAACTGTTCTACAAGTAATGCTTGAAGTCTACCCAATGAGCCTCATTAAGCGCCTTGATATTGGAAAGCGGCTAAAAGAGGAAAGACCCACCCAGGGGAAATATGCTGACATAATACAGATCAGATTGGAAGGTTCAACCTTCCCTTGCATATTTCAATGTGGCCTGCTTCTCACACCATGCAAGTGGTCATAATCACTATCACCAGTATTTGTGATTAATATTGTTAATCCGTCTGAATGCAAATCAACAATATGTGTAGGCTCGTATATATGCACCAGGCCGTGGTGTACTGAGGTGCCTCCTAAGGCTCAGCGCCCTGCGCTCCGTCGCTACCTACTAACAAATGCACGGCAACTTTTCATTAGTATCTATCTCATCGATATTGCGTAGGCTTGAATACTATGTTGTACATACTCCCTGCCGAGTCTAGCGCCCTAGATGGCGGGATACATCTAGTCAGCTGATCCCACCGTACGTTTGTCTCATGAACGCCCAAGTCCTGAAAGATGAAGTGCCGCACTCGAATCCCGTGGCACTTGACATTTTGGCCCCCACATTGACAGCTCCCCGGGGCTACTCATTCATTGGTGGTTCATGAAGAGGAAGCTGAGGGGGATCCTGATACCCCGCTGCCAAGACGCAAATTTTTTGAGGCTAGATGGCCGAAGCACAAAAGAGCGGGAAATGCACCACAGAGATCGTCCAAAACATGCCATTTAGAGAATATTAGCGCGAACGAAATGCACTGATGTCTGCATACGGGTCATGCCAACTTTGAGGGTATTTGAGGCGCATTTCGGTAACCAATTGCAGCTTTGGGATGCCTCTAGCATGCCATCAATACGTGTCATCAATGCCTTTAGCCCCGATTGTGAGATAGCTAGGCTCTATTTAAATCAATGGTTTCCACTCGTTCAATGCCAATCTGCTAGTATTGAAAGTTAAAGCTACTCAAAATGACTGACGCTAAAACATTAGATTTTTCTGTGAGAATCTCTAAAAGCTCGATGGCACCGATATCATGACTTATCTTTGCTGAAATAGACATTCCATAATGTGATCAATAATCAATTGACTACGACATCGGAAACCCGTTATGGAATCAACCCTGCGAACACTGAGCCTAATCCACCTGTACCTGTTTCCACCCAAGATGATCTTGACAAGGCCGTAGAGGCGGCCCAAGATGCTTTCAAGAGCTGGTCCAAGACCTCTTTTGAGGAGCGACGTAAAGCCCTGCATGCGTGGGCTGATGCCATTGAATCCAACGCCGAGGGATTCGCACAAACCCTCACAATGGAACAAGGAAAGCCACTGACTCAATCATCTACGGAAGTGGGTATGGCAGGTATATGGATTCGCGGCCTCACCGCCATTGAAATTACCGATAATGTCATCGAGGAAACCGAAGATAGGAAGATAGTGCAACGCCGCAAACCCATCGGCGTGGTGGGCGCCATTGTCCCCTGGAACTTCCCTGTCCTTCTGGCCGTCGGTAAAATAGCCGCTGCTGTATATACCGGAAATACCGTTATTGTGAAGCCATCTCCTTTCACACCTTACTGTGACTTGAAACTGGTCGAGCTTGCGGCCAACTTCCTCCCTCCTGGCGTGATTCAATGCCTGAGCGGTGATGAATCCCTTGGCCCGTTGTTCACTGCCCACCCGCGAATTGAGAAGATCAGCTTTACTGGATCTATTGCCACTGGAAAGCGGGTCATGGCTGCATGTGCTACAACTCTCAAGCGAGTTACGCTCGAACTGGGTGGTAACGACCCGGCAATTATCTGCGACGATGTTGATATCGATGCCATTATCCCCAAGATTGGAATTCTTTCCTATCTCTGCTGCTCGCAGATCTGCATGATGATCAAACGACTTTATGTTCACGAGAAGATCTATGATGAGTTCTTGGAGAAATTAGTCACGTTTGTCAAGACCCTGAAAGTCGGCCAAGGCACCGAGGCGGATACCTTCTTCGGACCTGTCCAAAATGAAATGCAATATGAGAAAGCCAAAGACCTGTTCAGCAGCATTGGTACTGAGAATCTGAAGGCTGTGCTTGGAGGCTCCATTGAAAAGTCTTCCGGGTACTTCATCCACCCAACCATTATCGATAATCCACCGGAGACATCGCGCGTGGTACAGGAAGAGCCCTTCGCGCCCATCTTGCCTATTATGAAATGGTCTGACGAGGACGAGGTCCTTGGGCGTGCCAATGCTTTGGACACCGGATTGGGAGCTTCTGTCTGGAGTAAGGATTTCGAACGGGCAACTCGCATGGCAGATCAACTCCAGTCCGGCGTCGTGTGGGTGAACAGCCACTTTGATGTGGCGCCCAATGCTCCCTTCGGTGGGCACAAGCAGAGCGGTATGGGTGTCGAATGGGGTCTTGATGGTCTGCTGGCGTACTGCAACTCCCAGACTCAGTGGCTGAAGAAGAGTTTTTAGTTCCTAGTATAGTGTCTAGTTTGGATAAATTGTTTGGATCTTGACACCAGAAACTTGGAATAGTTCGATTTGATGGACCCCATTCCTCAGTATATCCCGAAATATTAGATGTCACCCGTATCATAGGCAATGTGTCAACCTTTTCCAAGCTTCAATTGTTATCTTATCACGACCTGTGTTGTTTGTGCATCGGCAGACTCCGTCTCCCGGTTTTTTTCGTCAGATGCGGGGGTATCGAGTTTGACGATATAAGTAGCCCTGAAGCTGCATTAACCAGGAACTTAACAGGAAATCTCTGTGATTGCCGGTAACATTTGATTTCGGGTTTTCAGACAAGACAATTCGCCATGTTGTACACTAATGGCACTGTTGTGACCGTGGATGCCTCACGCCGTATAATTACGGACGGAGCAATCCGCGTACTAGGCGACGTGATTGTGGATATTGGCAAGACAGATATCCTTAAGGGAAAGTACGTAGCTGACGAAGATTGTGATCTATCTGGTCGGATTATCATCCCAGGGTTGATCTCGACTCACATGCACACAGCACAGACGTTGCTACGAGGCACAGCTGACGATCTCGAGCTGGTGTCCTGGTTATGTGAGAGGATCTGGGTGTTGCAAGGTAACTTTACTGCGGCGGACGGATACGCTGCAGCACGACTAAGTATCGGAGAGATGCTTAAATCGGGGACTACCTGCTTTTTGGAGAGCATGGTACTGTATCGCTTGATTGTCCTCGAGTACTTGGAGGCTAACCTCAATACAGTTTGCAGATCGATATGGCTTCGACGGGCTATGTCGCGCTGTTCAAGAGAGTGGCATCCGTGGCTGTCTAGGTAAAATTGTCATGGACATTGCAAAATATGCCAAAGACGATGCCTGGGCCATGCATCCTGGCCTTGTTGAGAACCGTGAAACATCCTTGCTTGGTACTGTGAAGATGTGGGAGAAGTGGAATGGTGCGGCCGACGATAGAATTAGAGTCTGGTTTGGTGCCAGGACTCCCGGAGGGTATGAGCTGAGGCTGCAATTCGGTGTCTCTTGCTAATGATACATTAGAGTATCGGACGCACTTTATAAGGAAATGACCACCATTTCCAAAGAAAAGGGTATACCCATTACCATGCATTGCGCTGAAGTCAAAGCCGATCGTGACTTTTTTGCTTCGGTGTCACACACCCCGATGTCATATTGCAAATCAGTCGGCTTGCTTAGTGACTCCACAGTCCTCGTTCATATGGTCCATCTGGATGACTCGGATATTGAGTAAGAGCTGAATATATGTGACTCCATGCAACAGAGACTAATGATATCATGAAGGATTCTTTCTTCTTCGGGGACGCATGTTGCACACTGCCCAACCTCTAATGCAAAGGTAAGTCGCATTGCTAGTTTTATTCATACGCACAGGGGCTTACCAATCTCACGCCATCTAGCTTGCTTCCGGAATCTGCAGAGTGCCAGACCTTGAAAAGGCCGGAGTCAATATCGGCCTGGGTACAGATGGCGCCCCATGCAACAATACATGTGATCTCTTGCAGGAGATGAAACTCGCAGCTATTATTCACAAGGGGATCTCGCAAGATCCAACTGCAGTTCCAGCCGAAAACGTGCTGGAGATGGCTACAATCAATGGCGCTAAAGCACTAGGCTTAGATGATCAGATCGGTAGCCTAGAAATTGGTAAGAAGGCTGACTTTGTGGCTATCGATGTTCGGGGAATCCACACCCAGCCTTGGTTTAATCCAGTCAGTGCAGTTGTTTATACCGCGAGTGGACGGGATGTTGATGTTGTTGTGGTAAACGGGAAGGTTGTTGTTAAGGATGGAGTGCTGCTGACGATGGATGAGGAGGAAATTGTACAAGAAGCACAGAGAAGAAGCAAGGAGGTAGTGGAAAGAGCCGGGTTGGGCAAGAAGGTGCAGGGCCGCTGGCCAGTTGAGTGAAGATTTAATTTCACACATCACATTTCATGATTCATGATTTTTCTCATTTCACTTAATTATCTAGTGCTCTATGATTCAAGTCGTTGCCACATTTGATCCCCATTTCATTTCTCACAACAAATCACGCAAGGCTTCTCCCAAAGCCATGATCGCCATAGCCTGACCATAAGGCATCGAGGTCAATGGAATCTTCTTGTAAAAGTCAAGTGAGTCACCCATCCCGGTGCCAAAGCTAGTATTCTGCAATTCTCCTTTCTCATCCACATATCCCATCACCGCAGCGATGGCCTTCTCAGCAACAGGACGGTATTGCGCACCGATGTAACGTTTCCGGACGGCCTTGAGGATACCGTAGGCAAATCCAGCGGTCGCAGAAGATTCCAAGTACGAGTCGGGGTGGTCAAGAAGTGTGTGCCATGCACCAGATGATGACTGAAGGCGCTGGAGGGCCTCACACTGTGCCTCGAGGGTATCTATCAGGTGGAGACGGATAGGATCATTTGGTTGGAGGTCGAGCAGCTCGATAATCTCGGGAATGACTATTGTGACCCAGCTATTGCCACGAGCCCAGCGCGCATCGGCAAAGTTGTGTCCACCGTCCTCAAATGTCCAGCCATGGAACCAGAGACCAGTCTTTGTGTCGAAAAGATATTTGATGTGAGTGAGGAATTGCTTTTTCGCCTCTTCGATGTAATGGGGACGGTTCAACAGCTTTCCGATCTTCGCGAGTGGCATGACAGTCATCATCAGAGTATCATCCCAGAGCTGCTGATAGTTCTCTGTGATATACGTGATATGCTGCATCCCACCATAGCGGGTGCGGGGGAGTTCGTGCATTGCCCACTCAGCCCAGGCATCGAGCCACGGCAGATAAGTGACATTGCCGGTCTTCTCGTAAACATAGGCGAGAGTTAAAAATGCGGCCATAGTATTGATATTCTTAGTGGTGCCACCTTCGGCAAAACGGGCAGCAAACCAGTCCTCGATGATGCGCAACAATCTCTCGTCACCCGTCATCTCGTAGTACTTCCACACGCCATACAGTCCAATGCCATGTGTCCACTCCCAACCCTGCCATGACTTTGTATCAATAATTCGTCCATCAGCAAGTGGCAGCAAGAACCGTCCTGTTTCATCTTTGATGTTGACCAAATTGTGAATTAACAGGTTGACGGTGTTATGAATTTCGGGGCCCGTGGGCTTAGAGGACGACATTGTGTGATGCTGGGAGATTGGCTATTGTATTCTTTCACGAGTAAGATTTTCCCACGACTTTTTTTTCCGGGAAACAAAATAATATGTTGCTTCGGGAGGTTCAACGCTCATAAATGTTAGTAGAAGTTGTTCCACTAATGAGCTCTTCAGCCAAACGCCACAAAGCATCCCCGCGCGAACAAAGCGTGATTCGGGTGAGAAAAGACCGAGATTGAAAAAGACAAAATTACCTTGAAACTAAGTTTTCACTAGCTTTCGGCCACCGGGGTAGTAGATCCCCGGATTTCCCTACGTGGTAGAAGACTAGCGTGATGTTCCTCCTTTGCCAAGAAAGCCGGGGGAAACGAAGGAGACGGAGGTGACTGCTTGACTCGGTTTAACTCGATTTGAGTCCCGGTTAATATGATACACCTACCAATTGTATAAGCCACATGACTATTTTAGTCGGCTAATCATCTTACATGTGGTTAGAACAACTTGCAAGGTTCTAGTTGGGATCATGCACGGCCCTTACAGCAAAATCCCACGGTTATTATAAGTCCGAGTGAATATCTCGCTTTCCTGTCCTCGTGTTTCTTGGTCAACTCCGTACTTGCACCTAATAATTTTCATTTTGACATGGCCGAGGGCAAAAATGACCCCCAGCAGGGGATTGAAGTTGCCCCTCAGGACATTACAGTGCCTGCTGAGGGAATCGAAGTAGTGCAAAAGCAGCACACTCAAATTGAGATGGGAGAGTATCAGAACAAACAAGATATCTCACATGTCGAAAAGGTTCTCTCGGGCGATGATCTTGCAAAGGATAACATTGATATCAGCCGTGTCGACAAGGAAATCCAAGCATATGCTGCCCACAGTCAGGTCGACATCGACGAGGAGACTAATACGCGCCTCAAACGTTTGATTGATCGTCGTGTGCTTGTTATCATGATTTGCACATATTTCCTACAGGCTCTGGACAAGGGAACGATGTCATTCTCGGCTATTATGGGGATTAGGACCGATACGAATCTGGAGGATGGGCAGAAGGTATGCGATACTTGTTACGATTTAATCTCCTCACACATACTAAATTTTGTTGCCCTCAATAGTACTCATGGTTGACTACGTGTATCTACATCGCTGTTCTCATCGTCGAATACCCCACCAATTGGATAATCCAAAGAGTTCCAATCGGCAAGTACCTGGGCATCAACATCTGCCTATGGGGTATGATTCTAGCACTCCATGCGGCATGCAAGAACTTCACTGGGCTAGTTATTGTCCGTACCCTCCTTGGTATATTTGAGGCTTGTTGTCAACCTATTTTTGTGACCCTTTCCTCGATGTGGTATAAGCGAGAGGAACAAGCAGCTACCGTAACATACTGGTACGTGGATACTCGTCTACCAGAGCGTGCATATTGATCTAACCGTAAAACAGGTACATGATGAACGGTGCGCAACAGATTGTCGGTGGTTTGTTGGCCTACTGTTTCAGCCTTATTGGAGGAGACAAGGTGCTCAAGTCCTGGCAAGCACTCTTCCTGACATATGGATGTGTTTCTGTTCTCTGGGGACTCTTCGTCATCTGGTGGATGCCTGACTCCCCTATGCGTGCAAAGTGCTTTAGCGAAAACGACAAGCGTCTTATGGTTGAACGCCTTCGCTCCAATCAGACGGGTATTCAGAACAGACAATTCCATGCATACCAGGTGTGGGAGGCGTTCCGTGATCCTCAGATGTGGTGCTATTGCGCTGTTCAAATGTTCACCACTCTCCCCACCAGCGGTCTCGGAGCATTCTTTGGTATCGTTATCAAGAGTTTCAACTTTACTACGCTGGAAACTCAGTTGCTTGCCATGGTGCTTGGTGCCTACATTATTATTGTTCTATTGTCGTCTGCATGGCTGGTGAACAAGTATAAGCAGAACACACTCGTGATGTTGTGCTTCATCATTCCGTGCGTATCTCCCATTACTCATTCTGTAGTGAGGCCACACTAACAGTCCACAGGTCTTTCATCGGAACTATTGTTCTCATGACAGTCGAAAACACCACTTTGCCTACCAAGGTTGGCCTTCTTATTAGTTACTACATCACGATGTCATTCTGGTCTGCCCAAACTCTCACATTATCTATGGTGTCGCGAAATATTGCTGGCCAAACCAAGAAGTCTACTGTGGTTGCTGCCACATTCGTGTCATGGGCTGCTGGTAACGCAATTGGTGAGTATCTCAGTTTCCCTGTATAGAAGTTTCCAGCTAACAGATAAAAGGCCCTCAAGTGTTTCTTGACACAGATAAACCACGGTATCATATTGCCTGGAGTGTTCATCTTGCTTGCTATGCTTGCATGGTTTCCGCTGTCATCTACCTTCGCTTCCACCTCAAGCGTGAGAACGCCAAGAAGGATAAGCTGGTGGCTGAGGCAGGTCTCAGCACCGCCGATCCAAACCTCGTTCATGCATTCGAGGATAAGACAGACCGGGAGAACTTGAACTTCCGCTACGTCTACTAGATACCCTATATTGTTGTGATGGTATGCGATGTGCTTGCTGGTGTACTTGTTAATGAAGCTGTCTTGAACCGCAAAATACTTTTATTCTTCTCAAAAATTGGACCCTCGATTTTGCTATTTCCCGAATACTTGGGTGAGGTGATCAACCATGCTGGGAAACGCATGTATATCTACGAGACATGAGGTCCAATGAAAAGCACCTTTGAAGTCAGCTACCTGTACCTGCATCTATAACCCAAACCCCACATCTTGTGAAGAATCATATAGCGTAAGGCAAAAGCTTATACTTCTCCCGAATATCTGCCGAAGTTGCCCACGTTAAAAATGAGTATCGCTAACTGAAACCACACGCCGAAGTTGCGAAGCTCATGGCAACACTATATATCACTTTTAGCGAGGATCAACGCGGAAACTCGCAATACCTTCGCGGAGTCAATACCTTACCTTCGGCCATAGTCTCCGTCTTGGCGCTTGGTTCAGATATTAAGCCACTGTTACATATCTTGCTCGTGAAGACAACCATGATTTACTCCCTTTTCCTTTTTCCTTTCCCTTCTTTTCTTCTTTCTTCTTTTCCCGCTTGACTTAGTTGGGTAATACTAGATCAACAATGAACAAGTTGAATACATAAGAAGGAAACAGATCTTAAATCACACCTTAGATCGCCTCATTCAACAGGGCCTTTCCCAAAATAATGCCAAGGGCGCCTACCGACACCTTGGAGCGCCAATGTGTCAGCTTTAGATCATAACTCAATGCGCCTGACCCCTCATTAATTGTCAGGACTTCATTCTTCTTGATGGATTTATATCCTGAGCTATCTCGACACGGAGTCAGCACGACATCCGCTGGTGGCGTCGTGACTTCCTGCAGAACTACCCCGTGGCTTGTCGTTATCCCGTGCAGAATGATCACTTTGGTTCTCCTAGAGGCATATGATGTATCCGATTGGTTTGATCCGTTATTCCTTGTAATTGACATCATGAATCCGGGGTAGGTATTTAGCCGGAAGTGCAGCACATGATGCCGAGTCTATACTCCTCTGTCTCACTATAAATATGGCCCTTCGGCAGTTTGAAGAGACAAGCACAAGTAAAGCTCAACTTTGCTACTATCTTCCACTCAATATATCTATTTCTTAGAGACTCGATCTTTATCAAGTTTCCTAGAATACAGACGCAATGTTTACCTTTCTCCGTCCCGCTCTATTTGCATCTCTCGTTGCGGCCCATGGTCACGTCACCAACATCGTTATTAACGGTGTCTCCTTCGATGGATGGGACATAGGAAGTTATCCTTATACAGATAACCCCCCTGATGTGGTGGCTTGGGGTACCCCAAACACTTCCAATGGCTTCGTTGCTCCAGGTATGCTATGCCATTGTTGTCCTCTTTAACCAAAGCCAATTCCTTTTCTAACTTTATAAAATCAGATGCGTACGGGACCTCGGATATCATCTGTCATCTCGAAGCTAAAAACGCTAAAGGTCACGCGGTAGTAGCTGCTGGTGATCGAGTCTTTCTTCAATGGACCCCTGACTGGCCAGAATCGCATCATGGACCGATCATTGATTATCTGGCTAGCTGTGGCGAAAGTGGCTGTGAAACTGTGGACAAGAACACGCTTAAGTTCTTCAAGATTGACGGCGTCGGGCTAGTCGATGGATCAAAGCCCCCCGGCTTTTGGGCCGATGATCAGCTCATTGCCCAAAACTCGGGATGGATGGTTGAAATTCCTGCCAACATCGCACCTGGGCATTATGTCTTGAGACATGAAATGTAGGTGAACTTTTTTTGGTTCTTTGAGAAAGCTTGCTAATCTTGCTGTGAAGGATCGCACTCCATGGAGCAGGCAGTGTGGGTGGGACCCAGAATTATCCCCAGTGCTTCAACCTACAAATCACTGGCTCGGGAACAGACAAGCCAGCAGGTGTCTTGGGTACCGATCTGTACAGCCCAACAGACCCCGGCATTCTCGTCAACATTTACACTTCTCTGGCAAGCTATGTAAGTGTTTAATCAATGCTGGGCTGATGTCTCCCCGGTTTCCAGTCTCTTGCTAATGCGTTTGGTCAGGTTGTCCCGGGACCAACCCTTTACAGTGGTGCTGTCTCAATCACCCAAACCACTTCGGCAATCACCGCTTCGGGCACACCTATCACAGGGACAGGTGGTGGCGGTACCGGTCCCACCACCACCTCCAAGGTCACTACCACAACACTAGCAACTACCACCAAGCCTAACACTACTACTAAGACCACCACTACTACTGCCGGCGGGGGCGGAGCAGCCCAGACACCCTACGGACAGTGCGGAGGATCTGGATGGACTGGACCAACAGCATGTGCGCCGCCAGCAGCCTGTTCTTCCGTGAACGAATGGTATTCTCAGTGTCTTCCAACTGGTGCTTGAATTCCTCTGGGATAAGACGATGTGAAACCTGTGGACAAATGAGGGATTCGAATAGGAGTAGGAAATGAGTGCTATTCATGGAATATAGTGATTGATATCAATCTGAGCCTTTTAAATGTCTTACATGACTTTTTATTGCACCGAGGCTTGAGTAGAAAGATCTGGAGTGAGAGGCCACGCTATATATTGAGGGTAGATACCATTATGTTTTACCATGGCTACGTCCCTTTCTGTTGGGTTTCTATAGGATTTCTACGTGCTGTTCTTAAATATTGCCTAGGTAAACACGCAGATATGATGGAGTTATATGAAGCCGATACCTCGGGGTTGCTCCCCTCCTCTCGTGATATCCAAAGTTCATGTACTATAATTATCCCGTATAATCCACCGGGACAGCACGTCGTAATGACTCTTCCTTAACCTCATGTTCCAAGTCGATGTCCTTCTTAGCTTTGAACTCAGAACGTCGCATTTGCTAGATTTTTGGCAAAATTGGCCTCGTTGAACGGAACATTTCCTGATCCAAAGTCTGTTGTATCCAAGGCATTTTGTACGACCTCTGAATGTCCCGGTTAGATCTCTAGTTACACCATGGGAGTGTATCTTGGATGGCAACTCACTTGACATCGATTCCCAGGCAACCAACGGCTGTCTGCCGCCGACGGTAGTTGTTAGGCCGCAGGCATGATTGACAGGCCAGATGGACTCGTATTTGATCAAAGGTGCAGTCCCATCAAGCGTATAGCCATCTGTACTGCACTCCCAACCACCATGTGCGGATGGGCAAACGGCCAGGATGTTCGCCGCATTTGTGTTGGCAGCGTTGGAAAGCCAGACAATAACTCCTTCCCAATCGTGGCGATGGCCGAGATCAGTGGAGGGGGAATCTTTGGGGAAGTACCAAGAATACATCAAGGCATAGCGGTCGCCGGAGGAAGCACCTCTCACTGTGGATTGCAAACAGAAGCCCCTTGGTCAGTATATCCCGGGCTATATGAAAGAAACTTCTAAAGTTACTCACCGTATATTTGTCCTGTGCTTTTATCGCAGTCACCACTTGGCTTTCCTGTTGGCTTGAGACCAGCACTAAACCACAAATATCAAAGTTAAGCGTCTGGAAACTTCTTGAAAGGCATTTTGCTCACTCACTTTGTGTTGCCATTTGCATCTACGCCTGGGAATGGGACGCAGCCATTGACAACATGTAGATCTGGCTGGTAGGCCAAATAGAGACCTCCGGTAGCTCCGGCTGGAACTGTCTGAGGAAGTCCTACAATGTCGTCGGATCCGACTGTTCCTCTACGTGACAACTCAACCGGGCTAGCCGTAACAGGCAGCACAGCGAGAGCAGTCAACCCGGCAATAAGTCGGGGAATCATGTTGAAATAGAATGCTGTAGTGAGCTCATCCTACAAACAGCTTCCCTCGATATTTATATTGTAGTGTTCATCCCGTATGATCGGCATGTCTCTTATCTCGTGCTCTCGCTTTCTGCAGGGGTCTTACTCCGGTGAAAACGGTATGGAGTCCCGATGAAGTATAGTGGACGATACTAGTGCCTTTTGAAACGTGAATTACAGAATAGATTGCTTTTCACATGTGCCATAGAAAGCTCCGGTGATTCGCCGTATCTTCCTTGGTTTCTCCGATGCAGAATGTCTCAGTCAGCTCATGCGATTTCTCCGCTTACTCAGGTAATTGATCCTCCTTAATTGAAGCTAGTCCGGATATTAGTATTCAGTAGTGGTCTTTATACGTATATAAGGGCCCCCTTAATAATATTCTCTTATGCAACACGGCATGGCTAGATACAACACGTGGTTATGAAGAACTTGATCTGCACATTCTTGGCATCGGCGTTTTTACACCAATCACGGTAGACAAGTCAACAAATTGCCCAGGTTCTTCAAAACAATTTCCTGCATTGTAGCATTGGCGTCGCTCTTTGAAGCTGCCATCCCGACCGAGACACTTGCATAGCATCCAGACGCTAGCGATACTTCAAGTTCGCTTGGCAATCTTGAGCTTCCGCACGTGGTCACATCATCCGGGGTAATAAGTGGAAGTGCAATATGGATGCGGGAGAGGACGAAAGAGAAATCAGCCGGATTGGTGCATTTTGAGTCAGAGACCTTCCCGAAATTGACATTCAACCAGACATCGTTCGGCAGGTACGGTTTGCCAGCAGCAACCACCTGGTTTGTCAAGTTAGTTGCCAAATCGGCATAGACATCACTGTAGTGAGGTCGCGGGGTGGTATCCCATGAAGTCTCGGAGCCAGTTGCACCTGAGAACGCAATAGCGGGGATCCCAGCGTGCGCAGCGTAGGTGGCGGCGCCTACTGTGCCAGAAATGTAAGCTGTAAGGCCAATGTTACTGCCAACATTTGGACCTGCGACCGCCAAGTCCGGAGGGCCGTTGAAGAACTGCGGGGCGCGCGAATCGATTCCATATTGCATCGATGTCACCGGGTAGCTATTGACATATCCCAGTCGGGGCTTTTTGTACGATCAGTCTGTCGTTCTAGTGACAGCGGGCACAATACTGACCTCTGAGGAATTAAATCCCACAGCCGGACTACCAGATGGGCAGCTATTGAATTGGCAAGGCTCAGTCAGGACAGTCGGCGGACTTTGCTTTGACCCTGTAGCGACGGGTCAATAAAGAGGGGATTATATAGGGGAAGCCATAACATACCCTTGCCACTTTGGTTTTCGGCCGGTGCAGATACAACAACCGAATGTCCTGCCGCTCCTAGTGACTCGAAGAAAGAGCGGATGTTCACTTCTGCCCATCCATCATCGTTGGATGAGACGATGTTGACCGCACTAGCAGCCAGAGGGAATATTGCAAGGTGAAACCGCATATTCAAGGTACCCAGGAGCGTTAATAATAGTCTAAAATCAGGGTTCCTTGGACCTTTTTGTATTCTCAGATGCCACTAGTACACACGCATGTCGATCTCCTCGTGATCAAACCGTTGGCTGCCATGTCAACGGCTCGGGTCGAACACGAAACGAACACGAAACGCACAGAAATTAAATCGGTAGATCATGTTCTATCTCACATCCAACTTCCAGGCATCCAATAATTTTTTAATTGTTTTAATTGGGCTGGTGGGACGCAAATTGCACAACTATGCTTCTATGCACAAATATATATTGCAACTTCGTAGTCAGGACAACTCACGGCACGATTCTTACCGATCGGTAGATAACAAAGCGGTACAAAATTCTCAGCACAAGATTAATCAATACCGAGGGAAATGATCCGGTAAAGCAAAGGTTAAAATAGCCCATATCTCTGTCATTGAGCCCCCGCAGAAATTGAAAAAGGAGTGAGGACGATGTTAGCTCAACCAAGGCCCAATCGCCCGTTAGCGAGGTGGCGATCACTTATTCAGAACGGGCACTCTTCGTCTTCTTGCTCCTGAGCTTCATCATCAAGAAGACCAAGGCATACGATGAGATGCAGAATAGTGCGGTGATACCGGTCTAAAAAGAAACGATTAGCATCGAAGCCTAGGTCAAATCAACCAGGGTATACCCACATCTCTCCATGAATAGTATTTTTCTTGAAGATTGAACGTTTTCGCGTAATCAGAACCTTCAGAATACGGACAGAACAAACATGTCCCAGTCGAGTTTCCATCAGCTAGATAACCAGTTTGCGCGGCTAGAAAATCAGTCATGTATTGGCCGCAGGTCTGACCCGACGGCGCAGTGAACTCCACAAACTCCGATGGTTCACACTTGACCTTGACATCCCAGACCACTTCACCAAACAGTCCACCAACCAAGTAGTTGAAAGGATCCAGGTAGTAAATCCAGTATCGCCAAAATGGTTGCATGAGGGAGTAAGGAACCACCACGCCACAGAAACTAATCAGGCCAGCACCGATCACGACGGGATTCATCACAGCCGCAAAATACTCGTTAGGTGCATATGCCGCAATTGCCTGACCAATAGAAGTGTATAGGAGCTCATAGACTGTGTTTGTGTTAGATACTAGAATCAATCCTTGAAGAATTTAGTTCAACTTACAAATCATCTGAAGATAGACATGTCCGGAAACACTAGCCTCCAACGGAAGCCCCGCAGTAAAGTACCAGCATGCAAAGTAGAGTGTGGCGCAGATGATAAGGTACGGAATCTCCGTCAGAGTCTGCGCTCCAATGAAGGCGCTCCAGTGGTAGGTTTTGGACTATATGGAAGCTAGTGTGAGCGCTACTTTCATGCCAGCATTATTCCGCTGGTGTACTCACCTTTTTCTCTCGGGTCTCAAAAATATCACGACTATGCAGGAAGAAGGGCTGCATCTGATTGATGCAGCCCGGGGCGACGAAGATGAAGTTGAAAATCGCAAAAAGTCTCAACTGAAGGTCGAAAGTGCCGTTCCCAATCTTCCAGAAGGTAAAGCCGCTGAAGAGTGCCGCGAAAATATGGAGAATTATCTTGTTCCACATGTAGTCCTATATAAGTCAGCTTTTGTAACCTAATTTGGTATATGCTTGGAAAGCCGTACTGGTGAGCGCCAAATATGAATACTGAGACGCTTAGAGACCATCTTGAATTGGAACCAGTGCGAGGTGGCAAAGTCAGCAGTATCTTCGACATAGTCGGAATTATTTTTGCTGGACTCGTTAAGTGCATCAAGCTGGAAGAGTGCCTGTTTGCGCTCTTCTGACTGGTTCCAGACTTCTATCCAATCCGTTTTGTCCGTAGTACCACCTCCTTGAACAACATCAATGATGTGCTCTGCTGGATTGGCATCTGGAGGGCACGGAGCTCCATTCCGAGCGAAGTAGTCCAAGATTTTGGTTGAGTCCTTGCCAGCTGTTATCATCAACCAGTGATTAGTTCCTTGGTTTTGACTAGTTGCCTCAAGAGTAAAAACTTACTTTCTCCGAAATATGTCATTTTTCCGCCCTTAGCTAGCAAGAGAAGACCGTCAAATGCGTCGAATAGCACAGCAGATGGTTGGTGGATTGTACACTAAGAAATTAGTGGGATAAAAAATATTGTGATATATTGAGAACTTACCAACACGGCTTGGCCGCCATCAACCAGCTTGCGAAGGAAACGCACAATGTTAAACGCACTTTGCCCATCAAGGCCGGAGGTAGGCTCATCCAAGAAGAGCAATGTGGGCTTAGCAACAAGCTCAACGCCGAGGGTCACGCGTTTCCGCTGTTCAATGCTGAGTCCAGCTCCCGGCACTGTGAGGTATTAGCATAGCTGTCCAGTGGGACCAAAACATTAAGCAAACTCACCTCCGATAAGTGCCTCACTGATATCACGCAACTCCAAAAGGTCGATGATATGTTCGACGTAGGCGATCTTTTCATCGTGCGAAACCGTAGATGGCTGGCGAAGAACGGCCGAAAAGTCCAATGCCTCCTTGACAGTGGCTGTCTCGAGGTGCACATCCATTTGTTCACAGTAACCCGTAGTGCGCTGAAAGCTAATTCCAACTGGGCGGCCATCAATCAAGACCGATCCATAGATCTCTCCGCTATCTTTGCGCTGAGCAAGCACATCCAACAATGTTGTTTTTCCAGCTCCAGAAGCTCCCATAAGGGCCACCAGATTTCCGGGTTGGACAAATCCAAATACCTTGTTTAGAAGCTGTTTTTTCTCGCCGTGGAAAGGCACATGGTAGTCAAGATCCTTCCATGTAAAGGTCGATTGCTTGACCGAGCCTAGAAGTGCTCCAGCATCTGCCTTCTTTGGAGACTCTGACTTCTCGTGTTCTTCCTTTCCATGAGTCTTTTCGCTGCCACGTTTGTAAAGCAGAACAGATGATCCACTTTGGCTGTTCCGTAATTCAAGCCCGAAAGAAGTCACAAAGATGAAGAAAATCCAACACCCAATGAGAACACCAAAACTTCTCCAGATGTGATGGACTGAATAACTATATTGCTCTTGAATGTATTTTTCTCCATCAATAATACCTTCGTCGTCGCTTCCAAGGACTGAACACCCACGGTGGGGAGACGCTGAGTTGGAGTATCCGGTGCCATATGGAAGATAGTCGGGCTCTATGCAAGTAAATTTCCGTCCAACAAACTCATTCGCCATGAGTGCTTCGAAGGCATATGCTCCAGGATTGAGGTAGAAGATCCAACGGAACCATACATGCATCTTGTGGAACGGAATAAGATATCCTGCAACTTGTCAGTTTTAATGCTTCGTATCAACGGTTATATTGGAAGCTCACCTCCATAAACAAAGAAGACAGTGGTAAGCAAGCCGGATATTTTGGACGCATTTCCAAACTGCTTGCAAACAGCGCCAACAGCTCGGAATATTTGTACAAAACACAATGTCTGTACAATAACGATGATCCAAAAGGTAAAGAATTTTCCTGCATTCATTTGAAGAGCAGACATGAAGTAAAGGATGAGCGAGAAGCAGGTCACCTGGAACATCACAACTGGGATATCAGTGATAGCATTTGCAATGGCGAAGGCTGTTGGCCGGTAAAATCCGAATCGCTTCTGACGAGAAAGAATCGGCCTGCCCATAAAAGATGCAGTGGTCTCCGACAGACTCTCAAGTAGGAAATATAACACTGGGAAAAAGCAAACACCGGGGCGTAAGAATATTGAGCTCGAATCCTTGTGGTTTCAACTGTCAGCTTGGTCTTCTTAAATCATCTCAGGTGGGGTGTTTCTTGGTTACCTCTGGTAGGTCATAGAACAAACTTCCACAGACCAGGGCCTGGATGATAGCTGACCCAACCTTCACGAATAGCGAGAGCTTATCACCCCAGATAACCTGGAACTGGCGGAGAGCACAAGCGGCAATCTGGTCCCAGAGATTCGCTGTATAAACACTGCTGTTCCGAGGAATATGCTGTTTGCGCTTTTCACTGGATACCGCCAGGTTAAGGTCTTCAACTTCGTAGCTCAGCTTCCCGGGGTCCACAATAGATCTCATTTGTTCTTTGCAGATAGAACTGTTTTGATAGCAGTTCTCGAAGTCCTCGGGTGTATTAGGCACCTTTTCTTCCCATCCGGGCCGGACTGTGCGTTCGGTAACAACAGTGACTGAAGTAAGGAAGTCTGCAATATTGGCACCGTTGGGGCAGATGAATCCTAGATCTTCGAAGTATTTCCTTGCAATATGACGAGGGCCATAGTAAGTGACACAGCCTTCAGCCAGAACAAGGACTTTGTCGAACTGGTCATAAATTCCATTGCCGGCTTGGTATGTAGTGGTAATAATTGTCTTGTCGTTTCGATTCGCTTCGCGTCTGAGCATTCGAGCAAATTCCACCGCTGATTTTGAGTCCAATCCCCGAGTGGGATTGTCCCACATTTGGACTGGACTTTGCCCAGCCAGGACCTCGGCAAGCGAAACGCGCTTACGTTCGCCTCCTGATACACCTCTGATGTACTCGTTTCCCACCAAGTTCTTCTTCGTGTGTCCAATTCCAAGCGACCCAAGGATATCGTCACGCTGGTTCTGCACAAAGTCCTTGCGGTTTCTCAGATGCTCTGGCCGCTCATTGGGGATCTTGTTCCGAAGAGCGAATTTCATTGTACGGTTGACGGTAAGGCTTGGGAAGTGGACATCGTCTGTTCTCAGTGCAGTTAGCATTGAGCTCTATCAATTCCAAGTTAGGATTGCATGCCTTCGTTGTTGAACATGATCTGCTGACGGAACTTTTTGGCAGCTTTGTGATCCATGCTTCCATAGTTAGTTTCGCCCGTGACTTCATCGAAACTGTCACGATCATTGGAGAGGACTCGAAGGAGGGAAGTGCATCCGGAGCCTGGACGGCCCAATACAAGAAGCTATATTGGTTAGTTACAACATTAATATTCTCTGGTAATAGCAGCATACCATCTCCCCTGGTTTTACCTGACCTGCAACATCCTTAAGGATCGTCTGGAAGTCAAGTCAGTATATGATAACTGTATTTTCATGGTTGAATATGCTCACCCTTTTCGGGCGGTCGCCGCGCTTCAGCAGTCCCCCCAGCTGTCGCGGGTCCACCTCTGACCACAGCGTGCTTCCTAAAGCAGCATCTGGTGCTGTAACTCGGACGTTCAGGTTGCGGAAGGTGACTGTGAGTCGTTTGCGGATCTGGCCGTAGCCGTGTTCTAGATCGACTGGTGTTGTTGTGCCAGAGGATGGAGTATCCATGACGGAGGCTTATATGCCTACAATAAAAAGGAACGGCTACTGGCGATTGTACCAGTTGAAGCGAGATTGGAGGAAAGTATCATCTCGAGGCGCAGAAGAACTCTTATACTGTCACCCATTTGTTATCGAATCTATATTTTTAAATCCATATTTCCGAAAGTGGGTCATAGTTCATAGTTCATAGAACACATCACGTATGTATCGCTGTGGCGAACTTATATGGGATATGCCTTCAAACAGGTAAAAGATCTGCGAATAATATCGTGTTAGGGAGGACATCATTGTGGAAGAGTTTCTCGGAAATACTTGCGGATATATCAAAGACCCACTTAATACACAACGGTTTTTCATTGGCTCAAATTGTGTTTCTGAAGCTTCCAGAGCTTCGATCAGATCCACATTCGGATATAGATCCACTTGCACGTATTAAGTCCGTCTCGGTGGAGACTAAATGGATACGGTATGAAGGATTTGTATTCTAGAGAAATTGGTTGGGACGAGGCCTCCATTAAAGGACTGGAGCATCATTCGACTGATAAACTGAAAAGAATGCCTCCAGATCCATGGTAGAGAAATCGAAATCCCAGCCCATGTCAGACTGAGTGAAATCAAGCAAGTCTTCCCCGGAGCCCGTAGACCCTCCGGTTTCAGGGGTTTGTGGTTTTTCCACCTGTGGAAGGTTCCAAGGAGATGTCAGTATGTCAGGCCGCATTCCCAGCGATGGGTGTTGAGGAATTGCAGTGTTGTTGAGCAGTAATCGATGTCCGCGGTCGGGAGTGAGGCCTTGATGTATAGCCATTCCTCCCGAGGGCGCAACTTTATCCCTAGTTGTCTCTAGTAAAGGTGACCATTCGTATGACGGATTGATATTGCGAAGGACGGTCTGCATGGCTGAAATTGTACTTGCGATCGGGTCCCCAGCTCGCATCGTTGACAGGGTTTGCAATGAAGCATAAACCCATGGCAGATAGACAGGCGCGACACTCGGGTTGTGGATGAACTCGTAGATGAGAGTAAATACAGAGCTGCCGAAAAAGTATCCATGGTATCGTAGTTCCTGTTACATGATTAGCAGAAGTTTTATGATAGCATGTGGTCTATTTACCAAGACGAGGTCGTTAACACTTGAAGCTTCACATAGGTGACGGAGGGTCTTTTGCGCGGCATTGATAGCAAGATTACAGGCTTCGTTGAGCCAAGAAGGCGTTTCTCTCGAGCGATTTGTGGGATTGGTGCTAGACTGATTGAGTGTGATATTCCTCTCTCGTTGCCAATGACCGCGAAATATCAAGAACGGGCGAAATGTGAGAAGGAGCGTATGATTGTATACTGACACGGGTTAAAGCGGGCCTAGATAGTATGAGTATGTCAATGGTTAACTTACGGGTGATGAAGATTATTTGTCGAACCCCAAGGGAGCCCGGCTGTATGCTATCGTCAAGCCCATGGCCCAAAGCTTGCTTTAGATGTGGTTCAAGACCACGGATCTCATTCGCAATAGATCGAGCAACCCTCCACATGTGCAGAAGAGACTCATGTCGCTGGCTATATATCTCATTGACAGACCGAGTGATAGTTTTGCAGAGCTGCGCTAACAGGCGAAGAAATGGATCCTGCGCATACTCGATTGCGACATCTCTAAGGGAGAGGGAGCTAGGGCGCCCTGTATGAAAGCAGAACCAGCTATACATAAGGTTAGTGACTTCATCAAATATCGGACTGAGGGTGGTAGATGTACGTTTCATAGACATAAATAGACCAGAAGGTTACCCGTCGTTCTTCAATGTTTTCTGGGGTTTGATCTACATCATGAGGAACATCCTTATGAAGACCTGCTGATAACGCTTTGCGACAAGCAGAACCCAAATGCAAGAACGTTGAGTTCGGTCGACCTTGTTCGTTCTGGTAATTGGCGTAAAGACCACAAACGTCAGTCTACACACAGAGAAACAGGAGTATAATGACTTATCATAAGCATAGATATTTGAATAGTCTGGAGATTCACCACGTCATCGAAGGCGGTCAACGAAGCCTTGACACGCTCGAACAACACATCACCCCAGGCAAAATGAGCTGTGCCGAGTGCCGCGGTTGCCATAACAAGGAGAATGATCGCTTGGGTGAAAGCATCTAAATGATCTGTAGGCGAAGAATGGTACATTCGGTCCAGACATTGCTCGTAATATAACTTGGGGCGAAGTGGCATCAGATGATAAAGGCTGGAGAGATATCGCGATAGAAAAAGCTTAGCCAAGTCATACGGCAAGAACATCATGGATAAATCCCCCGTCCCGGGTGATTTGTGAGTCTCATAAAAATCTGGGGTTCCGAAAAAAATGCGACGGAAGCTAAACAAGTCCAAGCCAGCTCCGGCTTCCTCGACCCCGCCAGAGGGTTCAGGCTGGGAGGTAGGGTTCGAGACCAGATCTCGGTAGATATGCTGCATAAGGGAGAAATGAGAGGTAGGACCATAGTACAGCTGCATCTGACATGATGGCGATGCCATATGTGTTGCAGACACACTATTTGGGAAGTCATTCATGACAGAGGTTGTGCGCTGCCCCGATGGCAGCACTCCACTTGCGGAGTCGTGATGAATGAAATTCCTCTCGCCAACTTCCTCATACTCATGTTTCTTGCGCCGATGACGAATGTAGTCTCTGTATATACAGGGCGTATTTCGCAATTGGCAAGTTTTGCACCTGATATTATATTAGCTCAATGTATTCATTATCCGAACATAGACTAGGGGATCTCACGGAGTCACGCCATTGCATTTGATTTTACGTTTGCGGCATTCCTGGCATGCACGAGGGATTCTCCAACCCGACGGAGTTTTATCCGACGCTTCAGACATTGATAGGGACGGATATATTAAATGATGTCAAAACTCCTGTCAGTGCACTTGGACAACTTTCATCCGTTTAATCCGAGAAACTTAGCCGCCTATATCCGAGTCACGTGATGTACATTCATATCACCATGGATAATATTTATATTCCACGGCTACGAACATCGGAGAAGCGGAAAAGTCAGGAACAATACTGGAGACTCATATTTAATTATCTCGGAATTTCCACTCTAATCATAATTAGGTACCATATCACGTGCTTTATGTCTTACCAACGAGGCACTAATGTTCTCTAACAGCACTGAAACTAGCTCGTTACAGGTCATCATGCATGAATTACCAAGGAGTACGGCGTTGTTATGAACACTCTGATAATAGCCTGAAATCTTCCAATAGGGGAATCTTCGGAGACCTTTGCACCGGGGTTGTTTCCGATCGGCTAGGTTGACCTCGTCCGTGCGTCCCCTAAGGCGTGCGTATTGGAAGACTTGGCGTTTTGGAGACAACGCTTGACAGAATCTGGGGTTATGGTTGGCCACGATGACAATCCAAGAGATATTCGGATGAGGAAGGTCGGCATTTCGTATGTTGACATCTACCATAGTCACATGACAGTCCTCTACATAGCAGACTCTTATTGTTACTCCCTACTTCCCTTCAGCATACTTCTGCAGTTCTACAAATTCAGCAACATCAAAAATATCATCCCTTTTTTCGTGAACTCATCTTGTCTGTTGACTCGAAGATCCTGTAAACTGGCCCCGTTATATACAATTTATCCCCACAAAACCTAAGAACCAGAATCCGGGTAGATCCACAAGTCTGGGGAAAACCTCCGAATAGCCTAAACCGGACACTTTGTGGGGGAAGGTTACAAAGTGCAATGTGCTTAGATGCTTAGACTTTATCTGACTTCTTGGCCTGTTAAAAATCATTTTATAATTGGACCTCCCAAGCAGCCACCTTTAACTCTTACTACCGATTGCCAAGGAATTCCTGACTAGTGCCCGTGTCAGACTGAGTCTCTTCACTTGGCAGCGGCAGTTTCAGACTACAAGCGATGAGAAAAGCCGAATATTAGTTCGGAGGGAGAATAAATCCGTGATCTCCCAAAACCCCAGATGTACCGTCTGTCTGTCCAGATTAGGGTTCTGATTGAGCTATATAATACCCGGTTGCCCCTTGCTCTATAATCCTGTGCCAGGATCCCTGTCTCAGAAATTCTTACCACCCCTTATTCACCTCAAGCTCAACTCACTACCCGGTACTCCAACATGGCCGACGCCGAGAGGGGCACTACGGTCATTGGAGATGAAAAGGTCATTTCAGATCATAAAGAGGGTATGATGAGGGATGTCGCCCATGATGCCGCAGAGAGAGGCCACCTCGCGACAGATGAATATGGCCAGCCACTGTTCCAATTTGATAAGGCCGCCGAGTCACGGTTGCGACTCAAGATCGATTTATACATCGTTCCGACTGTCGCGCTCATGTATCTCTTTTGCTTCATCGATCGTGCCAATGTTGGTGTGTGGCCAGCCCCTCTTGTCACTCCTAGATTTTTGATTTTTTTTTCAGTTCAAACACTAATCCGTTTCATGTCCGAAATAGGCAACGCTAAATTGGCCGGCTTCGATAAGGACCTTGGACTTGTGGGCTATGATTACAATGCGGTGCTCTCGATATTCTTTGTCGCGTATATTGCCTTTGAGATCCCCAGTAATGTCGTGTGCAAAATAGTCGGGCCAGGATGGTGGCTCCCAGCAATCACATTGGGATTTGGTATCTGTTCGGTCGCCACAGCTTTTGTCAATGATATGCCCGCCGCAGCTGGCGTCCGCTTCCTTTTGGGGTATGTGTCCTGGATTTTGCAAACTCGACAATGCTGACAACGCTCCTCTAGCGCGTTTGAGGCCGGTCTAATGCCTGGAATCGCATACTACCTCTCACGTTGGTATCGACGAAGTGAACTTGTCTTCCGTCTGTCGTTATACATTGTTATGGCTCCCCTCGCTGGAGCGTTTGGCGGCCTTCTGGCTTCAGGTATTCTGTTGCTCGATAGTTTTGGTTCTCTCCACAGCTGGCGAATGATCTTCGCGATTGAAGGCATCGTGACAATTGGAATTGCTGTCATCGCATTCTTCACATTGACTGACCGACCCGAGACAGCGAAGTGGCTCTCCCAGGAAGAGAAAGATCTAGCAATTGCCCGTGTTAAATCTGAACGTATTGGCACGACGGAGGTTCTTGACAAGCTCGATATGCCTAAGACACTACGTGGTATCTTCAGCCCAGTCACCTTCGTAACCGCGTTTATCTTCGGGATGAACAACATTACTGTTCAGGGTCTTGGATTCTTTGCGCCTACCATTGTTAGAACCATCTACCCTGACGCCAGTGTGGTGTCTCAACAGCTGCACACAGTACCCCCTTATGTCGTCGGGGGATTTTTCACCTTGTTATTCCCCTTCCTCAGCTGGCGATTCAATCATCGCCTCTTCTTCTTCGTTATCAGCCCGCCGCTAGTGATGATTGGTGAGTCTCACGGCCCCTTGGGCAGCCTTGATCCCAGGACATAAAGATTGCAGAGCATGTGTTGTTCCAGGCTAATCATCGGAATTTGTGTAGGTTATATTATGTTCCTAGCTAGCACAGACAGTATGGTAAGGTATGGGGCCACCTTTATTATTGCCTGTGGGGCCTTCCCCCTGGGCGCTCTATGTGCTGCACACGTATCAGCAAATGTGATCTCCGATACCGCGAAGTCTTCGGCTATTGGAACCACGATCATGTTCGGAAATATCGGTGGGCTGATCAGCACCTGGTCATTCCTGCCCTTTGATGGGCCCAACTACCCGATTGGTAATGGACTCAACTTGGCAACTTCAACTACGAGTCTAATCCTTGGAGGCAGCCTATGGGCCTATCTCGTATGGGACAATCGGCGCCGCGCACGTGTCGATGTCCACGGCGCCCTAGCGGGACTATCACAGAAACAGATTCAGGATCTGGATTGGCGCAATCCTGCGTTCCGCTGGGAGCCATAGCCTCTCTAGCTCAACCAATCACTTCTGTCCTGTATCTTAATTTTCCGATGTCATGAACGACTCCACCCCATTGCGCACTAGCCTTGGTCTGGAGCATCTCATTTGATTCAAATTTACCTTTCTGGTGCTCCGATTCTCGGATAAAGACGTACGTCATTTTAAAGCTTTGTTGGCTCCAGCACGCGTAGAAGTGTGAGAAATTATGAAACAACCCGTTCTTTTGATATGACTCTCTAGATCCAGCATTATTCTAGCCCATTGTGACACTATATGTAGCTTGTAAGAGAAAGCGACTTCGAAATGTGCACCTGATTCCAAAGGATGCATCCTGCAAGGATCAATATCTCAATATCATATTGTGGAAATAAACGCCGAATAACGGACCAAATGGTCTAGAGCTGTCCTAGTTGCTTCCTAGTATCGTAGAGATTAACAAAGAATGTCTCCGGGAGATTAAAGAACATCGATATATGCCTCACCGAGAGTTAAAAATTGCGGGGCGTCTCGGTGCGTTCTTCTCCGCGACATCATTCGTCAAAGCAGGTGAGAGGAGAAAAGTGATCGGCTTATCAAAGCGCACCCCACGCCAAGCAACGGTTCATCTTCCCTTTCCAGGCGGAGAATGGGGTAAACTTGATCTGTAAACCAATTATCAGTTTTGTATCAGTCAACGATGGAGCTCTACCTTTTCGCCCCCCGCCATAAAAGGCTGGCATCTCCCTTGTGGACCTCACGATCCTTGCAAGCCACATGCGGCACACACACATTTTCTTCGGAAACTGTCCGAAACTCACCGTCAAAGTTTTATGGAGGAAAAATAACCTTGGCGGTTCAGGTACTTCAGTACTGCGCGCCGAGTAGAAGGTCAACACTGTCTGAGAATGTAGATGCGAATATCCGAGTGAAAAAAGTGAGATGCAGCGACCCTGCAGTAATCCTGCAGTAAGCCTGCAGTGATCAAGTGAAGCCGAAGATCTGATTCCAAATTATGCGACCATGTGGTGGTTCGGGTCCTCGGCCATGTCCCGTTCAAGACACCCCGGGAAGAGAAAGACGGCGACTCCATCAAATTAGATTTGAGACCCAAGCTCTCTTGGCGTTTTCCCCCAACGCTTAGCCTATCGCGATGTATCATGCGTATAGCACGGCTCATTTTCACTATAGGGACTTTCTTCCTCGGTCATGACAGGATTCAGGAGTGCTCGGATTGAGATTTCCGGTATCACCCTCCCCCAGGATTTCCCCGCATATCGTAGACCAGGATTCCATAGCTATAAATACCGTTTGTCCCAGCTTATATTTGTTTTGCTTCCCTTTATTCTTACTACCCCGGCTTTGCCTTTGATATTATCCCCGCATTCAACTACATACTTGAGTGTTGCCCACCATGGCCGGCGGAGCAAAGAAACCAGTCAATATCTTCCGCCTCAAAGACCTCGGTGAGCCTAAGGAGGTCTTTAACTGGCGATTATGGTTTGCTGTCATTTCATTTGGACTGATGGGCGCTGCCCGCGGTGTTGATGAAGGTTTGATCTCAGGCGCATTCAACTCTAAAGACTTTCAACATTACATCAACTACGACTCGTACAGTGAAGTGGAACAGACCAATATTAAAGGAAATGTTACTGCAATGGTCCAAATTGGCTCCGTTGGAGGTGCTCTTTTGTGAGTTTTGCTTGTTCTCTATTGTTTCGGATGTCATGTCGCTAACCTGCTCTGTTCTTACATAGTGCATTCTTAGTTTGTGATCGCATCGGTCGTATCTGGGCAACTCGTCAACTTTGTGCTATATGGATTGTCGGAATTGCAATTTTCATGGGCAACGGGGGTAGCTTGGGTGCAGTCTATGCTGGTCGCTTTATTGCTGGACTCGGTGTGGGCCAGACAGTTGTCGTTGCTCCTGTATATCTTGCTGAAATTGTGAGTTTCTCGTCATCCAAGTCATATTTTTTATCAACTAACATCAGCAAAAGGCCCCCGCATCTATTCGTGGTCTCTGTACTTGTGTCTTCACCGGCTTTGTCTATTTGGGTATTGTACTCGCATATTTTGCCAACTATGGCTGCGAGCTCAATCTCGGTGACACGACTCACAACCGATGGGTATGTGTGACCTACCCTGAACCACTTATATTACCAATACTGACTTGAATATAGCTCGTCCCCACCAGTCTGCACATCATGTTTGCCGGCATAATCTTCATCCTCTCCTTCCTCCAATACGAATCACCCCGATACCTAGTCAAGCGTGGCCAACTCGACAGGGCCATCTCCAATCTCGCCAGAATTCGTGGCCTACCAACCGATGACGAATATGTTGTACGCGAGATCGCCGGTATTCAAACGACACATGAAGCTGAGATGGAAGCCACAATGGGATCCGGCGCGATCGGTGTGATCAAAGAAACCTTCCTAGTCCCATCAAACCTTTACCGGGTCTACCTCACATTCATGGCTCAGCTTCTCTCTCAGTGGTCCGGTGCCGGCAGTATCACTGTCTACGCGCCAGACTTGTTCAAGTTGCTGGGAGTTACAGGCAAGAACGAGTCTCTGCTTGTCACTGCTGTGTTTGGAATCGTTAAATTGATTGCCGCAGTTGTGTGTGCTCTTTTCTTGGTCGACGTCATTGGACGCAAGCGAGCCCTTCTTCTTGGTATCACTCTACAAGCACTCTCCATGATCTACATCGCCGGCTTCTTGACCTCCGTTCCCGACATGGGAGTCGTCGATGGTTACACAGTACCAGAAGATAAGAAGGGCGCTAGTGAGGGAGCTATTGCAATGATCTATGTTTCCGGATTTGGATGGGCTCTAGGCTGGAACTCGATGCAGTATCTTCTGACTGCAGAGTTATTCCCTCTGCGCATCCGTGCTCTTTGCACTTCTATGGCTATGACCCTCCACTTTGCCAACCAATATGGCAATGCGCGCGCCGTCCCCAACATGCTTCTCCCTGTGGCAAAAGGTGGAATTGACCCCAAGGGTACTTTCTGGTGCTTTGCCGCCATTACCATTATCGGTGGTGCCTGGGTCTGGTTCAGTATCCCGGAGACGGCAGGTCGTTCCTTGGAGAGTATGGATCGTCTCTTTGCTTTGCCATGGTACAAGATTGGCCGGTATGGTAATAAGGATGCCGATGAGCGTGACCAGATTGTAGATGAGAAGATGGAGATGGCGGCGGAGTCGCATGGAATGTCTCAACATGTTGAGAGGCAGGATAAAGAGGGCCGGGTTTGAATGTTACTTGGGCTGTTATCTTTTTTTTTTTCATATTAGATTGCTCTAGTTTCTATTTTCTGGACACTAGATAAGGGTCATCTATTTTGAATAACGACACTATCATGATGAATCAACTCCTTTTGAATTATAATAACCCGTTCTCTACCTTTTACCGCTGAAATACATAAGATTGGCTTATGCCATTTTGTTGCCCACTCTTTTCTCCGTTCTTTCAACTGTCCGTTGACATCGGCCCATCCAGAGGGATGATCACAATCCTCGCCTTGAGTGCAGCCTTATCCCGAGTTTCCTTAACAGACCTCGCAGATCCACTTGTGCGAATGTCCATCACTTTCATGTCATTCAAGTATTCATCCGGCAAATCGACCCGGATCAAGACACCCCTAGGCCGAAAGAAATTCTCGTTCCATTGCGAGATATGTCGAGCAAGGTGTTCACTTCCTCCAGCCAGCGCCGAAAGCAGGTTTCGTTGTTCTTTTCGATTTCTAGTGAGACGGGCAACGAATATCGCTGGGATAGCGCCCAGAAGGCCAACCATCAGTCCGCCCACTGCCATTACACCTAGGCCTTTGCCAACCACGGTGGTCCATTGCTGACGTGAAAGCTTAGCTTCATCACAGACAACTTGTGTGAACTGTGTCCAGTCTTCTTTGGATATGTCGTAATGAGATAGTTCATCTGGATACTCGAATCCTGATGTGCAGGCTCCGGATCTGGATGGTACTTGTAACCCCCGGCTAAGAGCAGATGCAATGGCAAGCCCGGGCTCGTTTCGCTCGGGTCGGAGGATCAAAGGAGGGTTGGCTTTTTCATCGAGGAAGTAATTGAATTCCTCCGATGGGGAATACATTGGTGGGTCCTCATACTGGCCAGGTGTGTTCATGGTTGGTGGAGATACAGCTAGCATTGATGTGATGGAGTGTAGAATTTGCCGGTGCTTTTGTTCGCCGTTGATATTCGATGGTTTTAGGGTTTTTAAAGTACAAAGCTGTCCTCATTGCAAATATTTATATTCCTGCTAGTCGATCTTAGGCGTCGTAATTCCAACAAAGCATCTACTGTCCCGATACGAGGTGGCCCGTCATTGTGACAACGTTGAGGGGGTTTTTCGGGCCTCGGAATCATCTCAAGGGCCTTCAAATTAGTGATGCCTTGTATAAGCCGCAAAATTTTGCAACTTAGTATTCGAGGCACTTTCGAGAGACCAATAGTAATTGCAGGCGTTACGAGCAGGGGTCCAGGCCCAGCCAATTTAGTACGAGAATATTAAGCTTGATTTAGGAAGAAGAATTGATTAGATGCATTGTCATCAATAATAAAAGACACATTGACCAATGAAATAACTAGTTCAACTCCGATATTGTTACTCCGTGATGTTGTATACTCCGAGCTCCGTTTGAGTCCGAGTGAGTCTCCGTGAGTCACCAAACCTTGGAAGGGACGTGCACTTGCTAAGCTCCCCTCATCTCCAGGCATCATCTTTCCCCCAAATCAATAATAATCATGACAACTCGTTACAGAGTAGAATGTACGTCATATCTGTCTTTATTGCATGATCTTCTAACTAATATCTCTTAGACGCCCTCAAGGTACGAATATCCCAAGCAAAGCAATATACCCCTCACTAACCCCTCAGCCGTAGACCCATCGCCGGGATCAACTGGTAAGTCATCACTACATCCCTCAAGAATCTGACTAACAGTATATAGATCGAATGGATCAAAGTAAGTCGCTCAGTCATATCATATTGGCCGACTCTAATCCCTCGACTTTGTAGGGTCTACTGGCCGTCCCGTTTGTCCTGCATTCCCAACCCACCGCCATCTACAAGGAGAATGGGGAGGTGCTGAAGACAGTCGCGGCCGACACCCACCATCGCTATGCAGAAATTATGCGTGATGTAGAGAATTTGATGCACGATCACAGTAAGTGGAATTAGTAAAAATCAAAAAAATAGGGGTCCCTAATCCCTCTTGAAAGTCCAACACTACGAACGCAATGCCCCCGGCAAATCCAAATTGAATCTCCTCGTACCGACCATCGGTACCTTTTTCACGAAGCTATATCTGGAAGATGCATTCAAATATCAAGATCAACAGCGATTCATCAGCCGACGCCGCTTCGTGGCCCCTTCATTCAACGATATCCGCCTTATCTTGAACTCCGCCCAGGTATTGGGTCTTGTTCGATCCAGCGATGTGAAACTAGTCACCTTCGATGGAGATGTAACACTCTACGACGACGGCGCCTGTCTCACATCCGACAACCCCGTCATTCCCCGGATTCTGCGCCTCCTCGAACAAGACCGAAAGGTCGGCATTGTGACAGCGGCCGGATACACCGACGCGCCGAAGTATTACGAACGACTCCACGGTCTGCTCGATGCAATTAACGACTCAACTACTCTCACCGACGACCAGAAACAAGGATTAATCGTCATGGGCGGCGAGAGCAATTACTTGTTCCGGTTCGACCCAACCTCGGACGCCCGACTCGTCTATGTGCGGCGGAGCCAATGGTTGCTGGATGAGATGCAAGTCTGGAGTGATGATGATATTACCGAGCTTCTTGATATTGCCGAGTCTGCCCTGCGTGCTTGTGTTGAAAATTTGAGTCTGCCTGCTGCTATTCTGCGCAAGGATCGTGCGGTTGGTGTCTACCCGGTGAACGGAGTTCGGATCAGCCGTGAGCAGTTGGAAGAAACTGTTCTGGTGGTGCACCACACGGTCCAACATTCGGCTGTTGGCGGACGGTTACCCTTCTGTGCTTTTAACGGTGGAAATGATGTCTTTGTTGATATTGGCGACAAGTCATGGGGTGTGCGCGCATGTCAGCGCTACTTTGGTGGAATCGATCCAGCCAAAACATTGCATGTTGGTGACCAGTTCTTGTCGGCTGGAGCCAATGACTTTAAGGTAAGGGAACTATTGAACTCCCCTGTGTTACTGATCAGACTGACTTACTTTCTTCTGATTAGGCCCGTCTTGCATCCACAACTGCCTGGATTGCAAGCCCCGCTGAGACTGTGGAGCTACTTGATGAGTTGGAGAAGGTGGTGCACCCGTAGTCCTTTGAAACCCAAACTGGAATAATGCATCTGTCTGGGTTACTTTTGTGTGGTTTCGGGGTCAGCGCTACGCCTAATACACCCTCCGCGATTTCATGGTTCTGTCTTTTAACTACTTCTTTGATCCTCACCATAGCACTTGTCAGTAGCGTTCTTGATTCATTTGAAATAATTGCGTGATTGAAATTGATGGGTCTATCTACAACGCACTTTATGTTGTAGACCAAGAGTGTTCAAGAAGGGTAAAAAAGTCATCAAAACACAAATACCCAAACTCCCAGGCATAAATGTCACATAGACCATCCTTGGTTCTGGAGGACTTGTTGCATAGCATCGTACAAAGCGTAACGGACGTCTCGTACGATCGTCCTCAACATCACAAGTTAGCGGATGGCTCGCCGGCCAGTATTTGGAAGAAACATTCGAGGATATCCCGGGTAAGTCATTGGGGTAAATTCAATTGTTGGTTGGAAAGAAGTTGAAGTCCTGTGGGTGGGAAATCCTTTCAGGGGGAAGGCGATCCGGGAACCGAGGGAGTTGGTTGAGCTGCCGAGCGATCTGCAAAGTAGGAAACGGGGTAAATGTTAACATCCGTCTTGGAGGGGAGCCAGAAGTAGTCACTGTACGGGGAAGTCGATCCTTAAAGGCCAAACGAGCAAGACCAGCAGAGCAAAAATAAATCGCAGAGGGGTGAACAAGCATAGAATCAGTGTCGCATCCAGGTTACGTACTTTCATAGCAGGACCAGGTTTCGTTCTTGGTAGCGTTCACACGTCCAGACAGAACATTGACAACATCCTGTAGTTCAAGCCAGAACTCGGACTTGGGGCGACGGCGCACCCAATCGGTTTCGGTAGCTTCCAGTCCATTTTCGCCACCCATGGGGGAGAATAGCACTTGCGATCCTTTGACACCGATCACAGCAGTAGACAGAGGATCCGCGGCAATTTCATCACGGCTCTTGTTGGCATATGATTCGATGTGCTGCATGCACCTGATGGACATACGCATAGCACGAACACGATCCATTGGCGAAGGCTTTCCGCCTTGTTGGAAGTGACCGGGAACAGCGGAACGAGACTCGAAGCGACCCTTGGCCTCTTCCTTGATCATATCGGCGATCACCTGGGTAGTGTATGTGCCGGACGCACATTCATTGCGCAGGATGATCTTACCCGCACGGTTAGCTCCTTTGTCACGGATGAAGTTTTCGCGAAGGAAGTCGATGTCGCGCGAAAGCATCTTGATATCAATACCCTCCTCGGGAATGTAAACTGCCACGGCACCCACAGCGAGGCCAGCTGTGGTCGCAATATATCCAGATTTTCCACCTTGGGTCTCAATCACGAACACTCGGCGGCGAGAAGAGGAGGCGGACTGACGAATGGCGTCACAGAAGTCGATCAAGGTGTTCAGGCAGGTGTCACTACCCAAGGAGTATTCGGTACCAGGGACGTTGTTAGAAATGGTAGCTGGGAGCACGATGAGCGGAATCTTGAACGCATCATACTTCTCACGAGCCTGGCGCAGCTCGCTGACGGCTGTGAAAGCCTCGAAACCACCAACAACAAACAAGGCGTCAAACTTGTACATCTCAAAGCACTTTGCAGTGGTCTCCATGTCAGCAGATGGCAAGCTACGGTTCGTTCCAATGTCTGAGCCACCCTCGTTGACCCAGTTATCAGCTTCCAGCCAAGTAACTTCGCGGACTGAGCTGACTGGCTGATCGTCGTGATGACGGCACAATCCGGGAAAACCGTTATGAATGGCCAGCGGGGTGTGACCACGGGTCAGGCAGTATGCAACGGCGCCACGGGTTGCTTGGTTCATACCACCGGCCGGCGCACCGACGTGAATAATGGCGATCCGCATTCTCTGCGAAGGAATAAGTATCTGGGGGGACTGGAAAGTCTACGAAGCCCGCATGAGCTGGGGAATTGAGTGCATACCTTGCCCTCTGGAAGCATTGTCCTCGGGTCGTTTTGCTTCGCGGTGGTCATATATGCGCTGTAGTACTCCTTGAATTCAGGATCACGGAGCTCCATGGCCCCATCGAAGTCCCTTTCTTCAATCTTCGCCGTGACATCTTTGGTCATTTGAACTGCTTCCATCAAAGGAGTGCGCATGATCTTGTTCTCGCGGATCGTGATCACTGGTGAGGGTGAATCGGGTGACATCTCTAGCACGGCACGAACGGCCTCCACACCCTGCAGAGTTGACAGCCAGCGGTCATAAGAGCATGCCGCGCCACCTCGCTGGGTGTGGCCTAGAATGGTGACTCGAGTGTCCAAGCCCAACCTATCTGTGAGAATATCCTTGATTTTCGTGCTTGAGACTTTGTTCAAATCGCGATCATGGGCTCCCTCGGCGACAATGACGATCGTACGACGCTTGCCGCGTTCGGTTCGGTTCTGTCAAACCATATCAGTCAGCCAAAAAAGAACATGAGGAGGAATATGGAATTCATCCCCACCTTGGTGATTACGGAGCACATGTCATCCTCCCAACCTTCCTTCGGGGGCATCTCAGGGAGGAACATCCAGTCTGCGCCGGTACTGATGGCAGACATCAATGCGAGCCATCCACAGTGTCGGCCCATAACCTCAATGACGAAGCCACGCTGGTGGGAAAATGCAGTATCGAAAACATCGTCGACTGCATCACAAATACGGGTCAAGGATGAGTAGCAACCGATAGTGGCATCTGTTCCAGACATGTCATTGTCAATTGAACCTACCAGGCCCACAATATTCAACACGGTGTAGGGTGCCACCTGCTCAGTGGTCAAATCCCCTGCGGCAACGAGATCTGCCAGTAAGCCGGGCCATTCGGCACGGAAGACATCGGCACCAGTCAAACTGCCGTCACCACCGCAGATGACCAGCGCATCGATACCTCTCAGGACCATGTTCTTCGCTGCCTGCATACGGCCAGCACGCTCACGGAATGCCTTACTGCGGGCAGATCCGATCAGGGTACCACCGCGGGACAACCAGCCGCGGACGTCCTCCCAGTGGAGCTGGCGGATCATGTTGCCGCCATTGACCAGTCCTTCGTATCCTTCGAAAATGGCGTACGCTTCGCAGTCGCAGTGAATTGCCATACGGACAACGGCCCGTACAGCACCGTTCATACCGGGAGCATCTCCACCAGAGGTTAGAACACCGATACGGCGTCTCTTGGCCGGTTGAGTGGCAATCTTGATAGGCTCCATATTGAATCAATTGAAGGCGACCTGGGATACAGGTCGGTCAAAAGAATTAAATGAGAGGTGAGGGAGTGAAAACAAGATGAAAAGAAGCTCAAGAGTTGTAAAGCTCCAATCGTGGATGGGTGGGATGTGGAGGGGTCGAACCCAATCCGGTGAGAGAAATCGGGCAGAAGTGGGTGCTTTGCGTCACAGACAAAACAACTTGAAGCTCAAGTACTATAGATTGTATTTTGAGAAACATAAGAAATTGTTGAGAAAGGAGTTACAATTTATTATTTAACTAGCTGTATATAATCATCTCCTAAAATTAAAAGTGGTGTGACCTTTTTATTGAGCTAATATCATTCTTAGTACCTGCTTTCCCTTACAATATGCCTGCAAGACACAATGTCACCGCTTGATCCATTTGGGTTTAGTGTGGGCGGTGAGTGATTTTGCTTGACGTCACTTGATCCTGTTTGTTTTGTTTGTTTAATTCTCCCCCGGATGTCTGGCTCCAAATGACATCTTCTCTCGTTTCTTTAATTCTTGTTATTTCCTGGTCATCGACCTCATCATATTCAATCATCTTCAATGTTGTTTTACTATGGCTTATTCCTTGTTATTATACAACTAACCAATCTTGGCAAAATATGGTCTGACTTTTAACACGAACTCGGTGCACAATAATTGTAGTTATTATCAATCAGTTGCCCATAGGTAATACTTGTGGAACTTGATCATCCTCCACTGGGTGGCCAAATGCTACACTAACCTCAGGACTTTTGCTCGTTGCCACCTGCATATGGTCCGTACAACATGGGGCCTCGGGCCACGTTTTCGCGCTGACACGTTGTCCCTGCAGCCCTTTGCTGGATCCTTGTGCGAAGTGCTTCACATACCTCATTCTATCCCGCATAGAAAATATATAAACTCCAGTGGAGTTATAGCGAATACCATAAGCATCACAATCACACCCGTTATACTAATCCACTTGCTAGCGTCGGAGACATGGGCAACAGCAGAACTGAGGCCTAAAAGAGCATCCTTGCATTCAATTTGACATGATTAAAAACATAGGGGTGACCTCGTGACGCCCGTGCGGATTAATGGGCTGATGTCTACACGAATATTGTGTCTTATTGCTCGTCCGAGACCCCGGTAATGGGTTTCCTCGGCGCTCGCCGGTATTGTCCACTTCCCCACGATAGGGATCCCACTTAATTCCTTCAGTATGTATCCGGAGTCAAATGACCATGGTACAGGGCCTCGGCCGAAATGGCCCAATGTTTACCTTCATTTGCCAAGATAAACCGGCATTTGCGTACTATATCTCTAATTTAGTTAAATAAAATACGATTGATGTTGCCTAGTATCCGCTGGCACCTATTCAACCCCCATCTGACAACTCGACAACATGACTTGCCTTAATGTCAGCCTGTTATCTAGAACATCTCTCCGCTGTTGAGTTTGCCCTTTCTGAAAACGGTCTTTACGACCTGGTGATTGCTATGAGGGAATACATCTAGTCTTCTACATTGAATCATTTTCGAATTTTAACTGACTCAGGGTTCATTTATATCCTATCTTTTGCTAATCGTGCAGCTAGTGTTTTCTTACGACCAGCATAACTTAGCTGTTACGTTGTCAGCTGCAGCTTTGAGGTTGATAGCAAATCTATGGCTTACCCTGAGCACGAGTGGCTTCCCTCTGTCGCTGGGTTTTTGCATCCACTTGTGCAAAGCTTGGGGTGACCAACATCGCCGGGGTTCTTGCAATGGAATAGAACATTCTTAACATCCTCCTTCTCTAGATCTGACCCCTTCAAAGAATCCTTCAGATCGGCCTCCGTGAACCCTATCATTTCTTCAATCAGTCTGGGCAGCGATGCTTGGCGGGGAAATAAGTTACCCTTGTCTTTAATCAGGACATCAGAGCAATAATCAAAGCTAGGCGTACACGTCTTCGTTGCTGCGAGACTAGTTGTGGCCAGTGCGGAAACTGTAAGTATGATTGAAGAGAACTTCATTGTAAGGCAATTTAAGATGTCACACAATGATAAAGCAAAATAATGTGGAAATTATTGAACTATTATAGCGAGCTCACCCCTCGAAATTGAAGATATGCTCGTAGAAAATAAGACTGAAGTCATCCACATTTTTAGTTCGACGGTCGTACTCGGTTGGTATGGAATGCCATCCATATGGAATGTAGTTACGCAATTTACATGCCTCAACCATGGAGACTCATATCCAGGATAGCCAAGATTCTTCAGTTTATCCTGTACAATGATCCTGATCTTTCATTTCAGCGTTAGGCTGTGTAGTATTGATATATTCGAAAGAATATTTCACATATCAATTATGTATAAATCTCAAAACCGTCTCCTTGCTGGTCATGCTTCTTCTCCGAACCATGTGGCGGCATGCAAAGAATGTGGAGCTTGCATGCTTAGCATTGCGTGTAGAGCTCCGGAAAATATTCAACCAGTTGGGCCCAAGTAATCCCTTGTAGTGCAAAGAAAAAAAAACCCCTCTATACGGTGTACTGTTTGAAATATTTCTCTCTCCCCGGGATCATAAAGCACTGAGGAACATGAATTAACGCCGACCATATAAACAAATATTGAACAAGGTACGTTTTCGAGAATCGTATTTGGAGTCTTCAATATGAGCTGACGCCGCCCCCACCACTATCCTCTACATTCCGCCTTTGAAGGGCGCTAGCAATGATTCCAGCGATAATGTCATGGTACTCCAAACCGTTATTGCGAGCGATGCAAGTGAACAGTGAATAGTCATCTCGTAGTCCAAACAATGGGTTGACCTGATTTGAGTCAAACCTGACCAAATTATACCGTCGAGTGGCGCATTTTAAACATACCTCTATAACATATGGAACAGAATTGTCCTTTTGAGAGCTTAAGCGTATATCAACACGCGCTGCATCTCGACATCTTAATACTTTATATGCCGATAAAGCAACATCGGCGACCGTTTTCACCAGAGGGTCCGCCATGTCCGCATGGACATGACCCATATCTTGGCCTGGTCCACGGCCAGCTTTAGAAAAGCTTGTAGCAAAGTCGATCGAGGTGTCATTTTCATGTCCCTCTGGGTTGTACCATGTCATTTCCAGGGCACCTAGCACTGTGGCTGAGCTGCTGTTTCCGAAGATAGCAACAGTAAATTCCCTTCCGCTAAGGAACTCTTCTAATATTATGTCCTGGCTTGTAAATTGACACCGGAGACTTTCAATGGTTTTCTCGAGGTCTTCGTGTCGGATGATCTTGTTCGAGGGTAGAATTCCATTTGAGGTAGAGGCCGCAGTTGGTTTTGCGAAGAGTGGATATGATAATTCCTTTGCCAATGAGCTATAATCGACCTTGTTGCCATATTTCGGGACCAATTCGAACGGGCTCGTTGGTATCCGATAATGCTGCAAGAGCATCTGTAGATCATAATCAGTGTGGGATGATGAGATGGGTGGGGTCTTGACCCATAATTGTCCCACTTACCTTGGTCTTCGCCTTGTCAATACACATCGTGAGCGTGGCTGCGTCAGAAAAAGTATATAGAACCCCATAAGCTTCGAGCAGTGCCGGCACTTGCGATTCGCGTGCGGAGCCACGGACACCCTCGCTGAAGTTGAACACCAAGTCCCAATTCTTTTCTTCACCTGCTTCTAGATGAGCAACGAGGTGTTTGATGCCGGGTACTGAGATTACAGAGTGACCGAGCTTGCAAAGGGCATTGGTCACAGCTTTGACTGTCACTTCATCGGCCAAATCAGCACAGTCTGTCTCCGAGTATCCCCTTTCAAGATAATAGGCCTTAGGGTCATAAATGAAGGCGATGTTCAGTCCAGTGTCTCTTGTGTTTCTCATGTCTCTCATGTTATCCTTTAGTGCTCGCGCGCATTGACTGGTAAAAGATGCATGACGCAGCATCGAACGAGAGGATAATTTTCTCTGATTAAAGACATCAAGCCTGTTTTTAGTTGTTTTCAACCAGCTTCAAGCATCAACCATGACGTCGCGGTCACATCATCGCGAACACTCATTTACTGTACAAGATTGTTATGTTCCTAGACCTAATGCTCGTTTAGAGGATTTCACACATCTAAGCAAGAGTATTAGAAATACACCTTTTTTAAAATGCGGTGTGCAACTTCCAATGTCGACCTTTTGATCATTGGTGCTGGGCCAGCAGGACTCGCTGCAGCGTGCTGGGCAGCTCGGTACAACATTTCAACACAAATAATTGACCAGAAAAGCGGTCGGACAAAAACCGGTCATGCCGATGGCCTACAAAGCCGGACTTTAGAAATCCTAGATAGCTTTGGGATTGTCGACCCAATCTTGAAGCAAGGGACTCCAGAAGTCGACATGTGCTACTGGGTTCGTTCTACACAACTACGAAACCTATAGAATAACCTACTCATAGAAATACAGGAAATGGACTCTAAGACAGGGAGAGTTCAACGTGTTGGAAGAGACAAAGCAGAGATTGGACGCATGTCCAGATTTGGGCAAATATTGCTTAACCAGGGATCTATCGAACAGAATTTCATTGACCATTTATGCGAGAAAAGCAATATTCGAATTGAATGGAACAGAAGGGCCGAGTCCTTAAAATTCGTGGCATCTGACGAGGATGGGGAAACATTCCCAGTGACCGTGGGGGTGGCTTGTCTTGATGAGGACGGTATATCGAACCTTGAAACTGGCTCTCTACTATACAGAATATAACTGATTCGCTAGAAATAGGCGGCTCGCATTCATCCGGTGCTTTGCAAATGATACATGCACGTTATCTGATCGCATGTGACGGTGCTCACAGCTGGGTCAGACAAAAGCTAAACGTTTCGACTGATGGGAATAACAAGAGCACAGATTGGGGTGTCTTAGACATAACCCCTACCACCGACTTTCGTACACCTCTCATCCTGCCGCAATTACCCTTAATGTGGCCCTCGTCTAACAATTTTCATAGCCGATATCCACCAAGCCAGTTCAATTCAATCTGGGCCAAATGGAAGCATTATGACGGTACCACGAGAGAACAGCCTGGTGCGTTTCTATATTCGCCTCCAGGACGGGCTGAAGGAAGACGGCTCGCCCTATTCCAGTGACCCACCAAGAGCTTTGGTCGAAATGGCTGAGCGGACGATGAGGCCGTATAATTTGACTTACAAACATTGTGATTGGTGGTCATACTATTCGGTAAGTACAAATAATTATCTCCAAAGGCTCAAGTTTTGCTGATAGGGGTGATGTAAATCAAGACTGCGCGACGAGTTGCCCAGAACTTCAGACCGCACAAGCGGTAAATGGAACCTTTCGAGAGTAAAAGGTATTGGCTAACTTCTTCAAGGGTATTCCTTGCCGGCGATGCAGCGCATACCCACTCCCCAAAAGGGGGACAGGGCATGAATGTCTCGATTCAGGATACATACAACCTTGTCTGGAAACTTGGAGCTGTGCTCACCGAGGGTGCAGATCCTGTTATCTTAGAAACTTACGACACTGAACGCCGTTATGTTGCCAAGAAATTGATGGATTTAGATGCACATCTTGTGGATGCATATGAAAACCATCAAAATGGAGAAAGTAGCGGAGTGTACGAGGTCCGCGAAAAATATTCCGCCTTTATGTCAGGAGTGGGCGTAACTTATGGCCCGAGTGTCTTGATCGCTGATGGTGAGACGCATGGCAACCCGGCTTTGGCACGAAATATCAATCTGGGTATGCGTCTGCCTTCCAATACGGTCACTTACCAACGCGATGGCGCTTCCATTCATTTGGCGCAGAGGCTTACCAGCGATGGATCGTGGAAACTCTTGGTATTTGCGGCTGACCTAGGTCAGCCGAAAAAAATAGAGACTCTGGTAAAGCTGGCAGATTACTTTACCGACAGGTCGCTATTGCGTCTACCTCAGAAAAAGGATGTGAAGAGCCGCGGACCTATGATCGATTTACTTCTTATACATACAAGTTCGAAGAACACAGACATGTTATCGGACTTACCAGAGATTTTCCATCAATTCGATGAGGTGCTAGGTTGGGATGACTGGAAAGTCTTCGCAGATGATAATGGACAGGCCTACGATGGCTACGGTATTGAAGCAAACGGTGATGGCAGTCTTGTTCTATGTCGTCCAGATCAACATGTTGCTTGGATTGGCGGATTGGAAGACATGTCCGGCGTAAATAATTTCTTTTCTTTTTTCTCCTAACCCGAAAGCTTTAATCATAGCTAAAGATAAAGGATTCAACCATCATTATCAGAAACAAGCATAGATCATCCCTCCAAGGTAGAACATCCTACTAAAGCCTAGCAACGTCATTGGGTTAGCTTAGAGTAGGAGGGAGTCAGGAGGCGTTAAGAGAAAGCTATGGCCGAGGCTCTCCCAAGCCATTATGATATAAATAGGCTGGTCCTTATGCGTACAGAAGTTCTCATTCCGCTCTACTCCATGTTATTTTCCCATTTAGGCAGTTCGACCCTTGGATAAGATCAACCCCGCACGATGTCTTCAGGGCAAGATCCATACGTCTATAAGTACCGGCTCCTATTCTCGCAAAATAGGTCTGTTGTTTCTGATTGAAAAATATCAATTGCAATTTCTTAATTCGTTAGTAGCCCGAAGTATCGAATCCTGGGCCTTTTTACATCCTTTTCCATGGCGCCGAATGATTCAGGTAACCCCAACTCCCCCATTCCTGGAGTTAACTGTTGTTATATATCATACTTGACGCTATCGTAGTATAGATGGAAAGGCTAACGCAGTCCAGTTCTCAACCTCGTTACAGCTGACCCAGGCCTGCCGCGACCTAATCCGACACAGTCCTACTGGCAGCACGTTCCACATGCTCTCGCCGATGTTCAATCCTCAAAATTGCCAACTGACCGAGATTTTGCGATCATTGGGTCTGGTATCACAGGTCTATCAGTGGCTAGATCCCTCTTAGAACGCCATCCTACTGCCACAGTAACCGTTTTAGAAGCCCGTGCACTCTGTTCAGGTGCGACTGGACGCAATGGTGGACAGATGGCTGCGAATGCCGGAGAGGAGTATTTGCATCTTGCAGAGACTCATGGAGTCGAAACGGCGGGCAAGATTGTCGATTTCACATTCCGCAATTTGGAGCAGATGCAGGAATTGATTAAAGAGTATGATGCCGTGGAGTTGAGTGAGATGCAACGACTGCAGAAGCTGCGAGTCTTCTTGACCCAAGGGAAGTTTGATGACTTTAAGAAAAGTATCGCGCGCCTGGAAATGGATCATCCTTCTAAGAAAGGGCTATATACAATTCTGGATGCGGATGCTGTGCTCAAGGTGAGTCTCATCGTACATGTGAACATAGACCTCACTCTGATATTCCTCTTGTTAGGAGTACGGAATTCATGGCGCATCTGGTGGAGCACTGCTTCCAGCTAGAACAGTTTGGCCATATCGTCTTGTCACCAAAGTATTCGCAGCACTCTTGGAAAGATATCCAGGCCGCTTGACAATTGAGACAAATACACCTGTTGAGTCTGTTGAGCACATGTCAACCCTTACATCGCTCACCTCGAGACTTTATCCGTATACACTACACACTCCTCGTGGTTCACTACGAGCACGGAATGTAGCTCATTGCACAAATGGGTACAGCGGACATCTTCTTCCTCGCCTAAGAGGGCTTGTCCATCCTTTCAAGGGCACAATGACAGTTCAAGATCCGCACAATGCAGTGTCAAATCAAGGCACAGCTGTATCATGGGGCTTCCACTACCCTCCATCCTATGATCCTGGAACCAAACGTCTTGGGTATGGACTGTACTACCTAGGACAGAGTGCAAAAACCGGTTATTTCTACTTCGGCGGCGAGAATGCGCGTCTTGAGGAGTCAGTATCTGCAGATGACACCTTCGTGGCCGACCACTCCGTTGAACACTTGGAGGTCGTGCTGCCACGATTCTTTGGCAAAAAGGACAGGTCCGATTGGTGCCTAGTCAGTGCGTGGAGTGGAATTATGGGTTATTCCTCTGACGGTCTGCCGTTGGTCGGGCGGTTGTCGCCAGCGTTAACGGGTCGGAAAGGTGACGGCGAATGGATTGCTGCTGTATTCAATGGATATGGTATGGCGAACAGCCTGATGAGTGGCGAGGCGTTGGCTATGATGATGTTGGGTGAGGATGTTAGTGACTGGCTTCCAGTTGCATACGGAATGGGCGAAAAGAGACTGCAAGAGACGCTCACAGTCTCAGGGGCCGTGGATGCACTACGCTCGAAGCTATGAAGCTATGAGAGATTAACCATGCTAGTCCTCGGTATCCTCATGCTCAGACAGAAGTGCGTTTCAATTCATCTTGTAGTCATGATTTGTACAGGGTATTCAAGTCTCTGTTCATTATGTGTTGATTTTTGCGAAAGTAGATGGGGATGAAAAAGTTTTTGCATAGGCCCACTTCACTTCGCGAGCTGTCATGACTTTGTTTTGCTCCGGCGAGGAAAAATATTGAGAAACAAAAAAGACATGGACTTGCAGGGAATCGAACCCTGGACCACTCCCATGCTAAGGGAGTATTATACCACTAAACCACAAGCCCAGTTATTGAAGATCGGTGAAGAAATATCGGCTCAAGGCGGTCCAGGGTGGAGTGGTTCGGCCCGATACCAATCTGCGTTATTTGCGGGTCACGCATGTGACACCACGGTGGACACAAAGTCCATCAGAGAGGGCTGGTTGGGTAATCCGGCAATAGGGGACGATTTCCAAGTACGAGGCGCTGAATGGTAAGAAGGATGTTCACATTTTCCACGCCCAGTTCCGTCAATACAACGCACGGTGTAGATCTCGAGAGACAACACTTGGCGGGACAGATCAATCTTCATCTTTTTTCGCTTTTCTGACTTGGAAGGCGAGAGCAGAAGTTCGCCATGTTGAGGGTAAATCGCTTCCCAGGTGCATTTCGCTTGGTCCTTGTCACTCTCGGACTTTGGTGAACCGTTCTTGGATGAGATAGTGAAGACAACATCAAGCAACAAGAGATGGGTGATGGCGGCTTCCACTTCTTCCCTATGAGAAAGTTTTCCAGGAGACCCAAGGTCCGGGTACTTGGGCATGTTGAATGACACATCAAAGATGGTGCCGAAGGGTGGTGAGGACAGGTTGGTGTGGATCGAGATTGAGAACGAACCCCGAGGAGTCAAAATTTTCCCATTGAATGTAGACAGCAAGGGAGTAAGGAACTGTCCAACGATGGTCTCTACTGTTGGAGCGGGAGAGGTTAGTCTCCCTGTTGAAAATATTTTAGCGGTGTACGCTGGAGGATTCAAATTTGCCGATTGCAAAACACCAAAAAGGTCATTCAGTAATGACTGAAGCCAGCGTACATCGGACATGTGCTTAATGTAAGCTAGAGCTGGCCGAATAAGTTGATGCTCAGGAATAGATCGCGTTTTCGGGGTCAGGGGCAACGGAAGTAGAGTGCGACGCCGCAAGTTTTGACGGTGGGCATACGCCAATAATATCCGTATCGTATGTGCCAAGCCCTCTGCAAGACATGATCCTTGTTGTGAGATATCTTGTTGGGGCTGCAACGCATTTTCGTCGGTATCAACCAAGTCCAGTAAAATTTCGAGATTATCGGAAGCAGGAATTTGAATGAGATTCTGACGCGTCGTTACGCCAAAGCTCGCGATCGCCCGGGCTTCTCGGACGAGCTCGTGGAAGAGCTCGTCTTCATAAACAGTATCGCGCGCTTGTAGAATGCGATCCTCAATCGTTCCGTCTCCGTCGAAGGCGGAACGTGTTGGTTTAGAGCTTCCCGAAAGCCGACCATCCTGTATCACCCTTACTCGGACATAACGGGCTTTAGATGGGACCAATCCTTCGTCCAATAGCAAAGCCCCATCCTCAGCTCGGCGTAATGAAGCAAGGCCGCGGTCGCGGAAAACCGGCGTGGCTGTATTGTGGTCAGCAGATGCTTCTTGCAGTATCAATGTCCCGTTGGTATGCGCTCACCTTCAAGGAACCCATATTGCACGCCTAGCGCCTGCCTTTCGCGTGGGAGACGGGAAATTTTCCATCCTTTGTCCTTAACAGCCAGCACTTCATTCCAATATCGAGTCTCCGACGCGACTTCGGTTTCAAGTCGGGAAGCGGCCTGCAGAAGCTTGTTCGCCGCAGCGTTGAAATTTTGGATCCGCCATCCTCTTGATACTGTTGATATATCTTTGCTCGTAGATTCTGGCTTCGGAGGAGGGTTCACGACCTCGGCATTGAGCGAACCAAGGGGAGCGACCTGTTTGAGGAAGGCAGACATGGAGGTTTCGGCCTGGCGCGGGGCCTGTTTGGAGAGCAAAAGGGAAACGAAATCGAGGGCGAACATGGTCTCCATGTGGGCTTGCCTAAAATATTATCAGTTCTTTTGCGCTGAGGACATGACTTTCAAGGCCATCATCAAACTCACATGGCGAACTGGGTGATCTCGGCACGCCGCTTGTACAGTTGCTCCAATCGCTCCGTCGAGTCAAGATCAGTCGTATCTTGGTCACTCTCGTCTACCTCATCCAGGCCATCTTTATCTTGCTCCTCAGCAATCTTGTTTCGAAGAACATCTTCGTTCACCTCGCGGAAAGAACCCCACTGGTTGTTGATTTGCGCGATCTCCACAGGCAGGGTATCTGGACAATCACGCTGCTCAAGGATGGGGCGCAAAGGCAGAGTGAAAGAGTCTGTCATGGCGTCAATTCACCCAAAGATCCACCCCTCTGCGACCGTGAGCTTGGAACTTAGTAGAACCAATGGCTTGAGAGAGAAGAGAAAGAAGAACGAGTGGACGGCCTCTCCAGGGCTCCTCAATCCGGTGACGTAAGGCGCACGTGATCGTACTAGTTATGTAGAGCGCAGTTGACTTTGCTTTCCCCCAGTTGTTGACTTTTTCTTTTGCTTTCTAACCTGGAAGTACCTGTGGCTTTTAGCGCACTAAGCTCTAGATTGAACTACGAAGTAGCAATGTGAAAGATGTAAGCATCAAAATCTGCAAGATATATAGCCGTAACCGTCCATGATACTGGTCAGGATAATTCTGTTCAATTGAAGAGTATTGCGAGTACCTCATCAGGGCGAGTGCAGATTGTCTAGTTAGACATCACTGATGAGCCCAGCGTGTAAGTGAGTGTGGTGGCAGTAGAGCCCCAGCTGCAAGGGAAAGGGCTTGACTACTTGGTCAACAACGCGGGAGTGAGCGACTAGTCCTCAACAGGACTGGAGGGCATATGAGTTGGATACTCCGTCCGAAGACCTGCTATGATACTGATCTTATAGGAACAATCTAAACGAGATGTTCAATGTCAATGTCACTGCGACACATATTGTATCGCGATCTTTCCTCCCACTTCTGCGCAAAGGCGAAAAGAAAACAGTAGTAAACATTTGAGAACATCGGAAAGAAACTGCGTGAGCGTTTTTATGCTACCCTAGAAAGCTGACCCAGAACAAGATCTAGCACTGTAGGCTCCATAGCGATGGCCGCTACATTTCCTGACCTTACAACGCCGGCATATAAGATCTCCGAAGGCCGCATTGAACATGTTCACTGTGCAATATGCCCAGCAATATGTGGATGATGGCTTCACTTTTGTTGCGATCAGTCCTGGCATTAGTCAACCCTGTTCTCTGTTGATCGCAAATTTCTCAAACTTTACTAACATAGAAAGTGGCTTCGGACTGACCTTGGTAGCGATCTGGCAAATCTTCGGGTTAAAATGGGTGCCGATCCTGGATATCATACAAAAGGCAACGCCGGATCAGAATGGAAAATTCCTGGAAATACATGACCCTGAGTCGGAGACGCAAGGCGATGCATATTAGTATGATGGAAAAGAGATCCCTTGGTGATCAGCGTGATATGGGGAAATTGGACCGCTACAGAAAATTGGCTGCAAAGAATAGATCACTTCATCTATCATGGTACGTGCCAATTTCCTCTTGTACTACTATGTACGGCTGTTGTCAAGAACGCGATCCAATCTGCTAGTTCATCAAGTCCATTCTTGGTTTGTCAATTTAGCTACCCGGTATTCCCTGTAAGACATTTCAGTCTTTGTTTGGCTGTCGAGTTTTCACGAAATCCACCAGGTCAAAGAAGCTCTTCTTGTAGTGCCGCTGCTGGGTCGTGCGATTGACCGCTTGAATGCCAAATTGTTGCGCGTAGTCCCCGAATTCCCAATTGTCAACGAAGCTCCAAGCAAGGGCTCCCATAACATGCACACCGTCTTCATATATTGACTTGAGAATCTCAGACATGAAGGAAAGATAGTAGACGCTGCGTGGAGAGTCGAAGAGCTGATCAGAGAGCTCCCGCTCCGCTTCTGCGTGTACCGGAAACCCAAACTCCCCCACCAAAATTGGATGCCGGAAAGTGTTCCACAAGTAGAAAAGATACTCTCGGAAATGTGTCGGTGTGATATACACGTACGATTCGGAGCGATACCCAATGTTCCACCCGTAGATATTCTTTGTTTCTTGCTTAACGCAATACGGGAAAAGCTCATTCGAGCTTGCCTGGGTGGCAGCGCAAGCCTTGATACCTTCATTGGCTGGAGATACTACCGTAGCAGTATACGGATCAATCCCAAAAAAGTCCGATGTGTTGTGAATGTACTTCAATTCGGATTTGCTCAAGGGCTTGGCTCCGGGGAGTGTTTCTAACACGGACTTTGGGTATTGCTTACCCAAAAATATTGGATTTGCGAAGATACCCAGTTGCATTTCTTGGAAGCGATCAGCTGCCAGGACATGGCTAGGATTTTTCGGATCTTTAGGCACTCCGAAGTTATCGTTGAACTTGATACCTATTTTGCCTGTAGCCTTCAACGTATCATGATAGAAGTGATAGACTTCTGCATGTGCCTTAACAACATGGTCCACTCCTTTAAAATTGTATGCGTAGAGCAGCGGCTCATTGAAGGTCACCCATATTGGGACTCGGTCTGCATAATGAGAAAGCAAAACCTAGGAAGCCATGTTAGAACCGCGTGAGAATTGATGGATCGCGGATTAGAACTTATACCTTTGCATAGTTGACAAATGCGTCGGCAAATGTTTCATTTTGATATCCGGCATTGTTGTAGCCAATATCCGGGTGTTTCGTGATGTTGTCGCTGGCTACAAACATTAATGGGCTGTCGAAATGGAGCATTGTAACCACTGGCTGCAGTGATAGTTAGAAAACTATAATTTAAAAGCCATATATCGAGATATCTTGGATTCCTTACCGTCATTCCTGCATCGAGGACTGTGTCAATCAAGTCATTATAATGATCAATGCCTTGCTGATTGACGGGTGTCCCGGGCAGAGCGAAAGGCAAAATGCGCGTCCAGGGAATTGTAAAACTGTAATACTCCACACCCATTGCAGCTAGTCGCTGTATATCTTGCTTATACAAGAAATAGTTCTCGTTGGTGACATAGTCCTTCGGCTTGCTGTCAGGTACTAGTTTCTCCAACAATGAAGGGGATCGGCCATCCAACCCAATTGCACCTTCAATCTGGGCTGCGCTCCCTGCAACACCAAACACAAAGTCTTTAGGGAAGTTATAGCAGTCTGTGGGACCAAAATAGTCGCGCGGCGGCAAGACCAGTTCGCTGCTGGGCACAGGCGTTGGGCTGACAGTTGTCGAAAATAAGCCAGTGGTAGTCTAATAGAGTGAGCTTAAACTCCATTTTGAGAAGGTAAATCCCAGGGCACACGACATACATAGTTGTGAAGATCCGCCTGTAACCACATCGAGGACCACGCAGCTTGCCCATATGGGTCCTCCGTGTCAGTTGCACTGATACTGGTTTGCTCTGGAACCCAGCTGCCCCACGTTGAAGTCGACCAGGTAGTGGTCAGATGCTTGACCGCGTCGGTATAGGGCGGCGCATACTTCCGTGTTGTCGTCGGAGAAGGAACCGAGGTTGCATATCTCATGCTTTGATTAGCAAGCGACACTGTAAACTGAATGTATATGATTATTACCGAACAGTCTCATTCAAGGTATAAGAGAAGGGCTGAAAGTGGTAATTCGGGGCCACATTCGGTTGTGTACATTGTGGTCGAGTGGAGTAACCGGTGGTTGTCAAGTATACTTCCTGTGCCTGTATGGGTACAGTCAAGGCAAGAAGGGAGATAAGCGTCGCTCTCATTTTTGAGTTAAACACTGGGCAGTTTTTCCGTCTTACACGTAAGTAGGTGTCCCTTTAAGGATATTCATCTTCAGATGTCGGTAGGTGTGCCGGCTAATTGCCGGCCCATGGGAATAGCACTACATGAGTGGTGTCAAACTCAAATGGGTAATGCCATCAATTGAAATGCTTCCTGTGCCACCTCCTCACGTATTAAGTTTGCAGGTGTTGATCGGCAGTCGAAGAGACATCGCTGGTAAGGAGGAGTTGCAATGTCTTGTTGCATGTGCTCAGGAAAGTCCCCCAGGTTCTCCGCATCGTAAGCCACTGCAGATCACCTGGAAAATTTGGGGTAGGAATGTCCCGAAGTTGAGCCGAGGATTTGTTCAGGTGAGGTCTACATTTTGCTGTCACGTCATATCAACGCGTCTATATATATTTCTGCATACCACCCCGTACTTGTGTTACCTCTTGAAGATAACCAAAGTGGGTCGCCATCAGCCCATGTAGATAGATCAGGTAGGTGTGATTATAAAATTTGATGTAATGTATGAGATATTCCTTGGAAAGTTGCTGGAATGTCGAGTACAAATGTGGGGTATAGAGCTCTTGGAGGTTACACAATACTGTCCAGCCGTTTAGCTTCATAAAGCACAAAATGAAAGCTTATCCCATTCAATTGGGCTTGTGGTTTAGTGGTATAATACTCCCTTAGCATGGGAGTGGTCCAGGGTTCGATTCCCTGCAAGTCCATTTTTTTTTGGTTTTCATTTTTCTTCCATTGTCTATAAATTTCCCTTATGAATCACATTAGCTCAGCTGCTTCCACCAATCAGCTCGCATGGCTTAGTGGTAAAGCGCATCACTAGTAATGATGAGATCCTCGGTTCGACTCCGAGTGTGAGCATCTTCTTTTTGTGTATTCTTTTTATGTATTCTGTTTGTTGTTGTTTATGTATTTCTAGTGGTATTCTCAGATATCATTCCGTTTAGATAGGTCGACGGCAAAAAGAAAAAAAAAGGCCCTTTGAACTGAAGCATATAATTTTTTAGAGCAGTTCAATTGAAAATCCAGCAACCGAGATATACTATCTACTTCCACCCGTTTACTCCTCCCAGTTGAAATTGATCACAATCCGCCCGGCCACCTCCCCCTTCCGTAGTTTCTCCACAGCCTCAGGGAACCGATTCACCGGATACACTTCACTAATTTGCCGTAGCGCTCCTCGTCGTGCAAAATCCAGCGCCATGGCAGTATCACTCCGGCTACCTACGAGGGTGCCCTTGATAGTAAGATTCTTAAAGACATACTGGCAGGGATCGGCTCCTATCGTCATTGACCCTGCAACAGGAAGACCAATGCACATCACAATGCCTCCGATCCGGTCTCCAATAAATGAGACTGCATTTTTATAAGCAGCAGGGGCTGCCACAAACACCCCATGAGCCCCGACCCCATCAGAAATTTCGATCACAGCTTTGGTGGTATCGGCAACTTCTTTGAAATCGACAAATGCCTCTGCTCCCATTTCGAGCGACAGCTTCTGTTTGGATTCTCCCGTGTCCACCACGATCGGACGCATGCCCATCGCCTTGGCTAGCTGTACCCCTTGAATCCCCACACCACCACCTCCGCCAGGGAATACAACCCAAGCCCCGGATCGAAGGTTAGACTCAACCAGAGATCGATACATAGTGCTGGCACTGCACATAATTGGGCCGGCAATTTCGTCGGGGACACCGTCAGGAATTGGCGATGTATATCGTGCCGGTGATACCAAGTATTCCTGGTAAGTACCTACTATAATGAGCCACAATTCCGATCATTAGAATGATTCAAGTCGGCCTTACCTGCCGTCATCAGACCAGTAAGAGTTGCACCCTTGCAGTATGTCTCCTTGTCCTCCCAGCAAAGTGCGCACGACCCGCATGTGTCCATCATCGGTTTGATTCCGGCTCTATCGCCTAACTTGAAAGTCTTCACGTTGGCTCCAACTTTGACCACTACACCCGCACCTTCATGTCCCGTAGATCGCACACCGAACGTTGACATAGGCGGAAGACCCAAGTCTCCTTGCATCATATGGATGTCGGACAAGCATAGTCCAGTATAGTTCAGCTTGACCAAAACATCGTCGGGGCCTACACAAGAGCATCAATGACCACGATCTTATGCATAATGGGATATCTGATACTCCAATCGGGATCCTACCTGGTTGTGGCACAGGCACCATCTGTACCTCGACATGGAAATCGGGGCCTTCATTGACCACCACTCCTGCTTTACAGTGTGTGGGAATCTCAACTTGAGAATAATCGATGACTGAACCCATGCTTTGAGGATTTGTATTGCGAGACTAAAATGGATGATTTTGTCCAGATAGTCATTCGATGGACAACATATAAGGAGAAAGCCAAGAACCTTGGGAACACAGCATGATTGTACGCCCCCTCTCTTTTTGTTGGTACTATTGTCAATGACATGGTCGAGTAGTACATTTGCAGGGATGAACTCTCGGTATATCCGCATTACATTGTATGACCTGCAGGATGGACGGAAATCCGGGAATCCGGAGCGATATAGCGGGGTAATTCAGTGCGAGAATGGTATGTCAGATTGAAACAAGTATTCACAAAACGCCACTAACCACGTCGTACAGGAGTTAATGTAAGAGAGCTTGAGATTAGCAAAATATACGTCGATGGCAGAATAAGACACATATGGAAAACGCCAAAAGAAATAAAAGAAATAAAGCTTAATCCCAAATCAGCCATCCAGTCGAACCGCCGATGCCAATCATAACCAGGAAAGTCAAAATGCCTGCGCCGGCCTTGTCGGCTGTAGTTATGTCGTAGTCAAGACCAGGCGGAATCGCTTTTTCGGGCTTGGTACCCGCATTAGGGTTTCCTTTGCTCGTTCCACCATCATCATTGGTGACTGGGGCTGCAACGCGAGTGATCAGATTCGCTTGAATGACTTCAAGAGCAGCCATCTGCTGACCAAAGTCTTTCGTCTTGTCCCATTTTTGCTCTGTCCACTTGAGACCACATACATTCTCATTGATACCACCAGTACATGTCTTGGCAGCTGCCTGTGCAGATGCCCTTAGACGTTTTATGATTGTGTCATATGTGAAAGGGGCCATCTGAGCAGTTTGAGCCATCCAGCGAGAAAGATATCCCTTGAAAGACCGTTGGTCGACCATGCAAGTATTGACCGTCTCGCAGGCTCGCTCGTACATCACGTTGGGTGGATCGTGAGAGAAGAAAACTCCGGAAGAATCAACGATCCTCTGGGTGCGCTCCTTCCACTTTGGATCTTCGGTCTGTTTAAATCGTTAGATATTGTTTCAACTACCGGAAGATAAGAGTTCACTCACCAGATTATACATGTTAGCTGCGCCAAGCAAGTATACCCCGGCATTGTAAGTCCATTCAATCTGGTTGATTGGCTTGCACTCAGTGAGATCACTAGCCCCATCTAAGAAGCGATACTCGGGGGTCATGAATCCGACTTCGGCAGTCCAGTCCCATGCTTTTTCAGCCCAATCTTGGTACGTTTGATTGTTTGTGTACTTTGCCAGGCGAGACGCTAGATTGAAGAATCCCCCAGTGGAGATGGTGTTCTTATAATTGTAGCCATTGTTCCACGTGAAAATTTGCCAGCGCAAGCCACCACCACACGAAGAGGTGTCCCACCGCGGAGCTTGGGTATTGAACACAGCTTGAGCCATTTCAAGCCATTGTGGTTGGTCAGCTGGTGGGTTTGGGAAGTTTCGCTCTGCCGCGGTCATAGCAGCGAAGGCCCAAAATACTTGGTCGTCATTTCCTTCGGTTTTACTCTGGTTGGCTGGCATGAATGCTTTGTTCTCACCAGCCTGCCAGAGCATGGCTTGTATCGTGACGTCGTTCCAAGTATCATCGCCCGTGTAGAACCAGTAGTCAATGAGGGAGTTGAACATTGCACCGGCCTCCCACCAGTAGTAAGGATCCGGCAAATTACCCGGAGTGTCACCGACATTCATACCAGTGTAGTAACTCATCATGTTGGTGGCGATATTTCTGGCTGCTTTTTTGATAGAATCTTTAATTGTGAATTAGTCGTTGTGTATAGACAGGTAGAGAAGTAAAACACTTACCTCCATCGTCAAGATCTAGCTCTACCGCTTGCACAGTTGAGGTGCCCAGTAGAGCTGCAGCCAGCAAACCCATCCATGAAGGCTGTAATGCATGATTGAAAACGCGCATCGCGACTGATATATCGATTGAGTGATAGCAAATTGGAACAACAGCTGCTTAAAAGCTTGGTTCAAAGAGGAACAGCTAAGCTTGAATCCTGCAAGGACCAAGGACGCTATCAAAAGTCGGTAGTCACTTTCCCCCGAGAATTAGTGCAGTGATCGAAACAAGACTCGTGTGTATTGGTTATTGAGACAACCATGGGTTTCAAGATGAACAGTGCAGCTTCTTCCCGCTCGTTGGAGTGACGAAGATACAGAAGGACGAAAAAAAAGCCACCAGCCAACGTCACACCCCTCAAGACACATAAGTAAGAGAGGGGGATACGCGTGTGGATTGAACGGCCACATTCCAACCGCCTAGGAGCACTGGCATGGTAACAAGGCATTATCTCCCAGATCATTGGCACCTCCTGTAGGGGAAATCGTCCTAGGGTGCCTTTGACGACTGCATTAAGCATCAAATCCACAATTCCATTGTGGTTCGATTGAAGAGTGGATGGGAGGAAGACGGGAGTGCAACGCGCTGCATCTTATTTCCATGGTTCTCGCGTCGGGGCTCCACGATAAGGGATCGCTGTCGCATTCCAGAGTAGCTGTCAAACAGATCGATTTGATCGGCCGAAGAAGCTGACGAATCACCGAGACTCATGGTTGGTTAGAGGAGACAGTGGATAAAGGGCGTAGACAGGGCAGTCTAGGGCCGAAAACGAACGCGACGCAAACGGTAGGGGCCCACGTCCTGTCTCTTGTCCTTACACGCGTGGAGTAAAGTACAATCAGATTGTTACCTTTCTCTTGTCTGGTAGACTACCGTCTCGCCGTAAAACAACCGGTACCCTTATTGCAGGAGTTGTGCAACGTAGGGGCTAAGAGTCAACGAATTCTCGGCATACCGCAGGGGGAACCCCTGAGGGAGGTTATTTCTGTTTCGAGAGTATTTTTTTCAGCTCAGTCCCCAGCTACTCATTCTTTTAAGAAAATACAATCATGCGACTCTCCTAGCTTTGCAAGGAGGTTTATTTGCTGAATGAGATGAAAACCGCTGGAGCCTTGGGGCCTTGGGGCCTTGGGGCCTTGAAGCCTTGAAGCCTTGAAGCCTTGATGCCTTGATACCTGAACGCTCCCCTGAGGCTTGTTAATCAGGCAAAATAGTCGCAAATCATCGTTGACACGGAGCTTACCGTCCACATTACTACGGAGTATTTATTCCAGTAATAGCATTCTGTTTTATTCCAGACACTGGATTTGATATTAACAAGAGATCTGCGCGGCAGGATGTAGCCCCCACAAATTCCAAGAGGGCTAAGAATCAACGATCCGGGTAAGGCCAGAATAGGAATATGCCCTGTCCGTCATCTATCATCGGGGCAGAAATGAATTCCGATCATTTCCGCAGCCCGACTAGCCAGGCTTCCCAACAACTCTGTTGGGAAATTCCCCTGGTGATCCTATGCAGAACCGGGAAAGACTGCAGGTTTCCCGGAATCCCCGTATGAGCTAGTCCTAGCCCAGAAAGTCGTCGGAGAAGATAATCCAAACAAAAGAACCTTTATCCCACGGTCGTATGAATCTTCAATCGCGTGACATAGTGTTACTTCGCCCTGAACGCCACTGGGTTTTATGTTTTAAATGAACAAGCCGTCACATACATCTTACGAGCTCAGCATCACTTTTGGTGTCTGAAGAACCAGAACAACCGAAATGGTCATGTTCAAGAACATGAGTAAACTTTGCATAGCACTGGCTTTTAGTGCCAGTGCTTGTGCAGCGGCAGCAGACCCCAAACCACTTGTCGCCTCTGCCGGTGACATTGCTGCTATCCCGGGATGGTACCTCCAATCAACGACCAAAGTATCAGAAAAGATGGATGTGCTCTCTACACCGGGGAAAGACGTTTCATCATGGCACCGGGTTGGTGCTCGTAGCACTGTCATGGCGGGGCTTCTTGAGAACGGGGTATACAACGAGACAGACTTGTTCTATTCAGACAACATGGAAGCTATTGCTGATCCCTCCACATTCGAAGCACCCTGGCTTTACCGAGAAGAGTTTACGTTGAACCCATCCGCCGGCCAGCACTTCACCCTTAAGACACACGGCATCACATTCAAGGCAGACATCTATCTGAATGGAGTGCTCATTGCATCGAGCGACCAGCAACAAGGCTCCTATGGGGGCCATCAGTACGATTTGACCAAACATATTAAGGAAGGAGCCAATTGTCTACTCATTCGTGCGTTCCCAACCAACTATCTTCGCGATCTTGCTATGGGATTCGTGGACTGGAATCCCTACCCAGCCGACAATGGCACTGGTGTTTGGCGAGATGTGGAGATTTCTCAGACTGGAGCGGTCTCAATGTCGCCGTTCCGCGTCCTCACCGATTTTACCCAGCCCAACTCCAAGCCGGTTAAGGTCACCTTCCGAACTGATTTGACCAACCACGAATCAACTGGTCAGCAAGTAATGGTCAAGGGTACTGTCAAAGGGCCAAACGGCTCTGAAGCTGTGCAAATTAGCGAGACCTTTGGCTTAAAGTCAAATGAGAAGAAAACGGTGTCCATAACTGCGACAATTGCGAACCCTGATATTTGGTGGCCTGCCCTCTGGGGTCAGCAGCCTTTATACACAGTACAGGCTGACGCCATAATCCAAAAACCCAAGCAGTTGGTGTCGGATAGTTCAATTAGCCAACAATTTGGAATTCGTCATGTATCATCGAAATTGAACAAGTTTAACGATACCGAATTCTCTGTCAATGGTGAGCCCTTCCAGGTCATCGGAGGTGGCTACGGGCCGGATATCTTTATGCGATTTGACCTTGACAGGGTCCAGAAGATTTTCGCTTACATGTTGGATATGGGACTCAATACTGTGCGTTTAGAGGGGAAGCAGGAGCACCCGGAGTTTTATGACCTCGCGGATAAAATGGGAATGATGGTCCTGGCGGGATGGGAGTGTTGTGATAAATGGGAAGGGTGGGACGTAAGTCTTTCCAAGACTCTACTTGAGGCAACAGACAACTGACAAAAGAAATTCTAGTACAATGACGAGGCCAACGGCGAAAAATGGGGGAAATCAGACTACCCCGTTGCTAAGGCATCAATGCTGCATGAGGCAGAGATGATGCAAAGCCACGCTTCGATGCTTGGATTTTTGGTTGGCTCAGACTTCTGGCCAAATGACCAGGCGACCCAGATTTATCTCGATGCCCTCAAAGTTATGGACTGGCCCAATCCAATCATTGCATCAGCCAGCAAGCGCGGTTACCCCGATGCTCTTGGGCCATCCGGAATGAAGATGGACGGACCGTACGATTGGGTGCCCCCGAATTATTGGTACAATGACAAGGAGGGAGCGGCATTCGGCTTTGGCTCTGAATTGGGCGCCGGGGTTGGAACCCCAGAGATGGCCAGCATGAAAAAGTTCATGTCTGATGATGATCTGGAAGCACTCTGGAAAGAACCAGATGCGGACCAATATCATATGTCCCGCTATGACTCGCAATTCTACGACCGCTCGCTCTACAACAAGGCTCTCTTTGCCCGATACGGAAAGCCATCTAGCCTGGAAGACTACGTTATCAAAAGCCAGATGGCAGATTATGAGGCCACCCGATCTCAGTTTGAAGGATACGCCACGCAACAGAATGCCACTCGACCTGCCACAGGACTTATCTATTGGATGCTCAACAGTGCCTGGCCAAATCTGCACTGGCAGTTGTTTGATTACTATCTCAACCCCATCGGAGCCTACTTCGGCACCAAGGTTGGTGCGCGTGAGGAACACGTGGCTTATGATTATCAGAACGAGAAAATTTGGTTGATCAACCACTCACTTGAAAAGACTGGAAATCGGCAGATCAAGGTCGATTTCATTGATTCAAATGGCAAGGAACTATCCGCGACCATAGTGGAGAGCAACACAACGCCCCATTCCTCAAAGATGGTGGCTTCGCTTGCGGGAGTTAAACAGCTCAAAGATATTGGCTTCCTCCGTCTCACACTCAGTAACCCTGAATCCAAAGCTGTCCTTAGCCGCAATGTTTACTGGCTCTCTCCTACTACAGATGTCTTGGACTGGTCCAAGTCTGATTGGTTCACCACGCCAGTTACCAAATTTGCCAAATACACCAAACTGCAGACCCTGCAACCGGCTACTGTGAAGGCTTCACTACAAAACATGCCAATGCAGACCCTGGAGTTGAAATCTCCAACAGAGGAAGGGTTGACTCATGCCGAGGTCCTGCTCGAAAATCAATCTACAGGACCGGCAGTTTTCATTCGTCTGAATGCTATCAATACAGCCAACAACGCGGAGATTGCGCCGGTTTATTGGTCTGACAACTATGTTACTCTTTGGCCGAAAGAACAGCTGCGGTTGACTGTTGCATTCAAAGGAGATATCAAGGATACTGTGATTGAAGTCACAGGAAGGAATGTGGAGAAAGTGACCCTCAAGGCACAGGACGTTTGAGGAAATCAACGGTTCCATGTAGCCCAGGGGATGATGCGCAGTTATATGAAGAGTCAGCAGCTTGCTTGTACATGAAGAAGCTTTTAGCTTGCTACATAATGAATGGCCTTTTGATATCACAAAAACAATGTTCACTGTATAAAGTGGTAACTGCTTATTGCTCGGTTGGTATAATTGGGCTTGACTTCATGCACCAAGAACATAATGCCGTTAATTGTATTTTGGCTTGGGCGTCCACCAAATACCCACAACTACGAACAAGTACACACAAAAGGGGCATCGGCTTTCAAAACTCCTCCTATACAGTGCCGTTATAATGTAAATAGAGTATAGGCATTCGATATGACAAAAGAAAAAGCGGAGACATGTATTCATCGGAGCCTCCGAGGTAGTATTTCCAAGATAAAGAGTCAAAATCAATATTATAATGCGCCTCGAATGTAAAGTGTACAAAAATCCAATAAAGGTAACCTGACCTATCTTGAGCGAGGACTTTCAATCTTTGTCTGTAATAAATCCAACAAATGTGACATCTTTGACCCAGTATACTCGATCCCAAGGACAGTAGGGGGTTTGATATCTTCAGAGTAAAATACATTTAGACGCTGGCCCTTCGAAGTGCACAGTGAAGGCGTCTTTGGAATGTCCGGAAAGGTTAGGAGACCCTTAGCAGGTGTACTAGCCCAGAGATAATATAGCGAGATACTTTCCAAAGCCAGAAATCCCTGACTCAGTTCCTTGAGAAATGGAGTCCAATCACTCCCTGGTGCTAAGGAAACATGGTATAATGTGAGTGAAGCCAACTTTGGGCGGATATTCACGAGTAATTTGTGGAGATCGGGTCCCCGCATAGATGTTCTGAACAAGGCGAGTTCGCGCAGTTGAGAAAAACTGGCACTTTCAGCCAGCTCATGCATAAATTCGGATGCCAAGTCGTGCGAGCCGAGATTTAAAAGGAGGGTTTGAAGATTTGGAGCGCTAAGAACCAGCTCAAGCAGGAAGCCGAAGTTGTCCAATGTAAGATATTGTTCTAAAGAGAGTTTTTGTAAATTGCCCCACACCATCTTGAATTCCGGTTGACGATAGAGGAGTTTTGGAAGACGACGCATGTCCATGATCAAGGTGCGCGAGTATTTGTTCGCGTATATAAGATGGAACGACGAAACCGGCAGACGAGCATCGACGACCAGCGCAAAGAAGACGGCAACAGCGTCTGTGATAGTGACATGGCTCATATCTGGATGACCTTCTGGGTATCGGCAAAAAATAAAGAATGAGCGACAATTAGTCAAGTTGTGGATCAAATTATCACGCAGAGACCGAATCGCCTCGAGTTCTAGAGGAGCGGAGATAGGACCCCATGGATGACGGTCCCAAACCAAGCCGCGACCGACACCATTTTGAAGCATGAAGGCTAGCCCATTCACATAAGGACATAGTGCGGTATTCTGCGACAGAGCATTGATACGGCGCAGACTATCCCCGGAGAGGTCAGTTTTGATGGATGAAAAGAACCGCTGCGCAAAGTGATGAAATGTTTTCCTCTGAAGATCGCGACAGGTTAAACGTAGTGCTACTAAGCCATCTGCATCGAGGAAATCTGCGATCAACTCAACCAGCTCAACTGGGAGGGGAGGGAGATAAGCGCCTGTTCTCATTGTGTATGTACACCTGGGCAGAGAGTAGGATGACGAAAGGTGGAGAAGTGGAGAAAAGCTTCCCCGGACTTTTGAAATCTCCAAAGGAGTCAGTCAGCCCTGGAGGTGGCCATATATTACCCCTCACTTGGACTTAGGTTTCTCAGGGATAACCATTTTCGCAATAGTCAAATGCAGAGAGGGGTACAGGGTCGTACGATGGAAGTCTTACTCATGAGAGACTCGACTGTCACGAGGAAACATGCCAAGGGACAGTGCAAACTGTTCTAATTCGTATGACCCCATGCACATCATTCTTGTGCTTATCATCAAATAAAGGTTTGCCGGGGGTTTCCTGGAGCTAATTCTCGATAAGCTCATTCTCGTTAGCTTTCGAGGAGCTGGGATACCAGTCTGCCTAATAGTCAGTTTATGCTCGCTTTGGCACTACTGGCAGAGCCAACTATGGACCATCTTGAAAAGAGTGGATGGGAGGCAGCATGCTCGAGGCCTGAAAAAAAAAATTGTGTAATAACAAGCGGCCTCCTTCTGACAGATTTTGGTGTTGTGTAGAGATCAAACGGATCCCCCAAGAGCCAAGGGCGACAAGCGCGGTGTACAAGCGAAAGAAACCCATCACGTTCCACAACTTACTCTCAACACATTCACGATATCCATTTCAGCATCGAATACTCCCGAGGTCGTCTCAAATGGCTGACATGTCGCCCGATGACACAGATTTTGGCGACTTTGTGAGCAATGAAGATGAGGAGCTTGATCTTGAAGAGCTTGTTGAGCCTTGGCATAAGTACGATATAAAGGAAACGCCGAACGTCTTTTATCCCGTTTATCTCGGTGAAGTGCTTAACGACAGATATCTGGTCGAGCATAAACTTGGCTTTGGCGGTGGTTCTACTGTCTGGATGGCTCGTGACCTTTATGAAAAGAGGGACGTAGCCCTTAGAGTGATGTCTTTAGGAGACTGGGGAGAAAACGAATACCATGTGCAGGACGAAATCCTGAAGAACGTGGAGGATACCTCTCACCTAATGACGTATCTAGGGACCTTTCTTCTTCCTGGGGATAAACATAGGGTGCTAGTGTTCCCTGTGATGGGTCCGTGCATTTACCCTATGAGTTAAAAAAAAATCCCTATGGCTAGTCGTATGTCTGCTGCTCGACAATCGCTAGAAGCCTTGGGAAATTTACATAAAGCAGGAATTGTTCACCGTGGTTAGTAAGCCTACTCCTTTCCCCCGTTTCTGTTGACTATACTCATTTTATGTTCAGTATCATATTCTAATGAATATTTTTAATAGATCTAAACGAGAGAAACTGCATGTGGGGGATGACCCCTCTCCATGATCTTAACAGGAGCGCAAAATATGAGGCACTCGGTCGGCCACTGAAGCAAACCATACCATTTGTCGACCTCTGGAAGAAGGGGGAGCTTGTTTCGCCAGTTATTGTCCCCGAGGATCTGCGCACAGAGGAATTCTTTCTCGGTGACTTTGGTTTAGCGAAAAAACTTAGCGATAGCGCGACTCAACGAGGCTACCCACCTTCGCAATATTGCTCCCCGGAACGTCTCCATGGGAAAGATCCAAGTTTTGCCTGTGTTATGTGGAGTTACATGGTTGTATTTTCTGTGATCTACCTTGGATTTGTGCCTTTCCCTACCTATCTTAAAGAGGGAGTAATAAGTGCTTTTGTTAGGTGTTTGGGTCCATTGCCTGAAGAATGGAAGGGCCTTTGCACGGATGGGCTTGATTCCTGGTATGATCAATCTACAATGCCTAACCCGAATCAAGACCTTGCTTCGACAATTGCATACTTTCGCCCCGATGCTGACCCGATCGAACGACAACATGTGACCTCTATCATGTGCAAAGTGTTTCAATATTGTCCAGAGAAACGTCTGACTGCAGCACAGCTTTTACAGGACCCATCTTTCAGAGCCATCATGGAGAAATATGGTTGCTGATCCTCCATCCTATTGTTTCCTCCTTCTGTTCCTTATGAAGTAGTACTGTTCTTTATTGCTAGTGCTAGTGCTAGACCAATGTGTCAAGATCGCACAAGTCGCTTGAATCTGTAATGGAAACCTATATCGGACTATTCTTTTGCTCGACCGCGATATTTCGATCATCAAAAGCTTGTAAAAGCTTGGCACTTTGTCTCCACTGGTTTTATACTCCACAATGAAACTGTTGACGACGCTAGCGCCGAGGATTACGCATGCCCGTCTATATTTAAAATGCCGAATGAGATTCTCTATTTGCAAGAAAATATTTTTTCCTCCTGCCTGTCCAACAGATCAGTCCATGTCTATTCTCTGACATCTTTCATTGGTGAAATTTGTGTTGTTTCACATACATCAGCTTGATAAGATGCACTTGGCTGGGGATTGGTCCCTCTTCAGAGTCACTGTCACTGCGTTACTACTTTCTAGCGTAGCACGCGCAATCGACTTTGATATTAGCAATGAAGGTACGCGTCGGAGATGAGGTTCTCGTTCCATGTCAATCACGAAGGGTAATCAGAACTTAACCGTTGGTTTTATCACAGATTCGATCAAAGATGCCGCGAGTACCTCAACTTACGCTATGATGAGATATTATTACGGCAACGAGACAGGCCAAATTCCTGGCGCCTTTCCAGACAAATGGTGGGAAGGAGCTACACTATTTCTTGCACTGTTAGAGTACTGGCACTTCACTGGGGACACAACATACAACGAGGAGTTAAGTGTCGGATTACAATGGCAATCGGGCACAGATGGCGATTACATGCCAAGCAACTACAGTTCTTACCTGGTGAGCGCCATCAGAGTCTCATAAGGAACCATGTCTTATACCGATTATCTACCAGGGAAATGACGACCAAATGTTCTGGGGCCTGGCAGCTATGACGGCCGCTGAGTTCTCATTCCCGGACCGCTCAACTGGATTTTCCTGGCTCTCTTTGGCCCAGGGTGTCTTCAATACTCAGATCAAAAGATGGGATACATCCTCGTGTGGTGGAGGCTTGCGGTGGCAAATATGGCCCTACCAGTCTGGGTATGGAATGAAAAATGCCATTTCCAACGGGGGGTTATTTCAGCTATCTGCGCGTCTAGCCCGCTACACTGGAGATGAAATCTATCTTCAGTGGGCTAGCAAGATCTGGGATTGGTCTGTCTCGTCACCTTTGCTTAGCAACACAACGTGGAATGTTGCCGATTCCACTGATGTGGCTAATGATTGTGCGACCCAGGGAAATTCCCAATGGACATATAACTATGGCACTTACCTGGTGGGAGCAGCGTATATGTACAATTATGTGAGCAATACCCTTTTTAAGATCTTCTTTCTTTGTTGTGCCAAAGTATTTAAACTGACCCCTCGTGTCTACAGACAAATGGGACCAACCAGTCCCAATGGCTAACGGCAGTAGATGGTCTATTAAACGCTACATTTGCCAATTTTTTCCTCACCGATGGGGTTATTGAGGACTACTACTGCGAGCCTACAGAAACCTGTAATAATAACGAGATCCTCTTCAAAGGGCTGACATCCACCTGGTTAGCATTGACTGCTCTACTTGTTCCGTCCACATTTGAAAGAATTGTCGCGAAGCTCCAAACTTCGGGCAAGGCAGCAGCCGCATCTTGCACTGGTAACAACAATGGCACTTGTGGTGTTCAGTGGTATAAGTCTACATGGGATGGCTGGATGGGAATGGAAGAGCAGATCAGCGCAACAAAGGTCTTCACCGCAAATTTGATCAATTTCAACAAGACTGCTCCGGTGACCTCGACCACTGGAGGAAACAGTTCGAGCAATCCAACAGCAGGTGAAGATGACACTGATGCTTCTAGTCAAAAGACGACTAAAATCACCACTGGTGATAAGGCAGGCGCTGCAATCGTGACCGCAATTTTTGTGGCTGTCTGGGTTGGACTCATGAGTTTCATGATGTTTGGCAGTTGATTTCGCTAGAATGTGTGTCGTCCTTTTTGACTTGGCTATTGTTCATTAGTACGTCTGGAGTTTAGATTATCTGGTGCAGAGCGACTACATCAACATATCATCTTGCATTTGGAATGTGATAAGTAAATAGATAAACCGTACACAATATCCACGTTGTTAGATTCTGGATGATGGATTGAGCTAAAAGTATTGTTTTCATACCTATAAAAATAGTCGGCCGTATAAGTGGCCTTGCGATTTATTTTCAGTGATCTTTTCAGTGGTCTTCTTAGAGGAGGTTGACAAAACTAATTGGCCATTACATTGAGTAGCTTATAAGCTTATACAATCTAGAACCATTTTCGCTTTACAACATACATCAGTATCTCTACCTGTCAAAGGGGAGAAAAACAAGTTCACGTACCAAGGCAAGGATTCTAATCGGCCGATCTCTTCTTTGATAGATCAGAAATCGATGTCCTCTTTTGATAGGAATTGAAGGGGATCATTTACGGTGAATTGGGCTGACTACATGTATTATAGGATGCTGACCTATGAATCAGGCCGAAAAGGCGAAGGAGAGGCCGCGAGAATATACCGAGTTTATAGGGGAGCTTGGCGCTACGTTCGGCAAGGTATGTACCGCGTTCTTATCCTCTTAAGCAAGTTACTAATCAAATTTAGAGAGCTTTCGAGCTCAGCCGTCGCTCGGCTTCGCCCCGGGCCCGTCAAGCCCCATCCGGGAGCGAACCCCGCCCCGCAGAGTCGAAGAGCCCCGTCCTGCCCCGTCCTGCCCATCCCAAGCCCAGCCGGCAATTAAAGCTTTGTGGGAATAGCTTTATTTTGCAAAATATAGAGATTTTATGGTAGGAATCATATTAACGCCCAGATTTAGACAAATCTGAGGTTTTGTATAGTAGGAATAGCCTTATTTTGCCTACCAATTTTAAATAAGGTTACAAGAGTATTGTCTTTATACCTACAAGAATAGTCGGCCGTATAAGCGGCCTTATGGTATCATTTCAGTGGTCTCTTGAATATTCTTCTCCGATAGAGAAGGTTAATAAAACTGATTAGCCTTTTTACCGAGTAGCTTACAAGCTCACGCAATCCAGAACCATATTCGCTCTATAAAATATACGTCAGTATCTCTAATAGTCTGTCAAAGGAGGGGAAAACAAGACAAGACGTTGACGTACCAAGAAAGTTGCGAGGCTTAGGCTCTTCCCACAAGGATTCTAGCCGGTCGATCTCTTCTTTGCCAGACCAGAAATCCATGTCCTCTACCTTGACAAACTTCGTTCTTTTCAGGAACTTGTAGCCTAGGAAAAGACAAGCAAAGATGGGAATGTCAATGTAAGGCGGGATGAAGGTCTTGGCACTGAAATGACCAGGAAAGAAAGCATCAAAGCCATTGAAGAATGCCACAGTCAAGGAGAACACTATCGCAAAGCAGGCTAGGAAGGGCTGGAAAGGTGACTTGAATGGAAGGGTCGACCGTGGGATACCATGGTATTTCAGTCCTTGATAGAAACGAACATAGGTCGCAGAAATTGACGACCACACGATCAATGTGCTCACAGAGCTTAGGTTGCTAATCCAGAAAAAGACTTCAGCCGAGCTTGATGCGACATTGAGGTACACAAGTAAGCTCAAAGCAGCAGTGACAGCAACACAGGCATATGGGACTCCAAACTTTTCAAATCGGAGCAGGCGAGGCGCTTTTCCGTCCAATGCCGTGGAATACAGAATTCTAGTTGAGGCATAAAAGAAAGAATTGCCAGCTGAAAACGCTGATGTGAGAACAACGGCATTGATGATAGATGGTAGCACCTGAATACCACCATTCTCGATTGCAATAACAAAAGGGCTTGCTCCCACGCCTGCCGCGCCTGCATCAATGGCGTTGAGTAACCTATTATCTTTAGATGAGACACATAGGCCGACAAGGAACACACTGCCAACGTAAAATATGGCAATTCTCCAGAACACTCTCTTGACTGCTTTTGGAATATTTTTGCGCGGATTCTCAGATTCTCCAGCTGCGACGACGACAATTTCTGAGCCACCATAGCTAAAGGTGGCTTGGATGAAAACTTTCCAAAAAGCTAGAAAGCGGCCTAAGGATCCGTCTTCCAAATAAGTATTCATTGGACCTGGATTCTCCCAGTAGCGGAATCCTATGCGGTCATGTGTCGGAGCTCCACCAAGTGTGATGATGAACATGAGCAACATCAACCCCACAATGGTTAAAAGCTTGATAGAACCAAGCACAAACTCGATTTCACCATAGGCTCGAACAGGAAGGCAGTTGAGGGCGAAAATACTCACGTAGAGTAAAGTAATCCACACGGCAGAGGAAATGTTATTGGGCCAGTAGTCGATTACAAGAGCAGCTGCACTTATTTCAATCGGAACACCTATGGCAAATTGATACCAATAGTTCCAACCCAGCGTGAATCCCAGAGCCTCATCAACAAATCGAGATGCATATACGGGAACAGCGCCAGGTAATGGAAGCCAGGTCGCCATTTCACCCATGCTGTTGATCACCGCGTACAGATTAAATCCAGTGATGAGATACGCAAGGACCATCGATAATGGTCCAGCCACCGAAAGGATCTGACCTGTACCCACGAAGAGACCAGTTCCAATAGCACCAGATAGAGCAAGGAATTGAACATGGCGTGACTTGAGCCGGCGCTGCAGGGTGCCTACTTCTGTCGGTATCCTGACCCCCTTGTCGAGTTCGGGGTGCTCATGATGCTTTGCATCGTCGGCTTTTTTATTGTCTGCTCGCATGTCTTATGCGTGGATTCGACTCTGTACCGTCAGGCTTAAAGATGGATGCTGCGGGCTGTTTGACTGAAAGTGGCGACCGCATAGTAAAATAAGGGATCCTTCCGGGCTAATACATATTTTGTATGGAATGCACGGGCCCGTGGGGTTAGATAGTCAACCTAAAGATCGACATGCGGAGTAATAGCCGGGAGCACATGGAGGATGCAGGGTTAGCATGGGAATTACTGAATAAGGAAGTGATCATGTCGGCAAATATTGGTTGGGCCAATATTATCCCATCTCATCAATCGTTGATCGGCGGGCCTATCGTATCACAGGGATATCGGAGGTCCGAGCCTTATGTTGTATTCCTCTGTAGCATCCATGTCCGAGAAGGGAAAGCGGGGATTTGCGGGGAGTGGAGAGGAAGGGGGATGTCAGTCGTTTTGGATAAGTTTTGGAACTGTCACTTCTTAAATCTGCAACAGATAACGCACTTGGAAACATGTCACCTCAATATGAGCCAACACCATTTGGACATGAAATGCGTCGGCACTTTTCCTTTGCTCCTGGTTATCGAAACCTGAATCATGGTACGAGCACCGATTTTTTCAGTACCTAGTTCACCTGATCAACACATACATTAGGATCATTTGGAGCATCACCTATCGCTATTCGAAACAAAGCAGATGAGCTCCGCGACGAGTGCGAGGAAACTCCATGTCCCTTCATCAAATATCGTTTCCCCGAGCTGTTGGACGAATCCCGGGCTGCCATGAGTAACTTCCTTGGTGTACCAGAGTCGACCATTGTCTTTGTTCCGAACGCTACCACTGGAGTCAATACAGTTATACGAAACATCGTATGGAGCAATGATGGGAAAGATGAGATTCTTCAGTTGGATATTATATATGGAGCATGTGGTAAAACGACCAGTTATATCTGTGAAGCCAGTGGAGACAAGGTTCGCACGCGGGAAATTAATTTAATACACCCAGTGGACGACTCTGAGATGATTTCTGCATTTCGACAAGCGATTAAAGCCTCGCGCATGGAAGGTTATCGCCCGCGCATTGCTATATTCGACACAATTTCGTCCAACCCGGGTCTTCGGCTTCCATTTGAGGAACTCACAGCTCTTTGCCGTTCAGAGGGCGTACTGAGTCTGATTGATGCTGCCCACGGAATTGGACAAATCGATCTCAATTTATCCTCGCTTGACCCGGACTTCTTGATCAGTAACTGCCACAAGTGGCTGTTTACTCCTCGCTCGTGTGCTGTGTTTTACGTCCCCGAACGCAATCAAGCCATGATGCGGAGCACCCTACCAACAAGCCACGGGTTCATTACTCGGTCGTCTGGGAAAGGGTCTTCCCTCAGTCCCAAGGAGCCTGTGAGAGAAAAGACAGAATTCGTCTCCAATTTCGAGTTCGTTGGAACAGCAGACAACTTTTCTTTCTTAACAGTGCCTGAAGCTATCCGGTGGAGACAGAGCGTATGCGGCAGTGAGATCAAGATTCGGGAGTACTGCATTCAACTTGCGTACCAAGGTGGACAGAGGGTTGCAGATATTCTTGGGACCGTGATCCTGGACAATGCTGCCCATACTTCAACCGACTGCTTTATGGTTAACATCTTGCTTCCTATCAAGAAACCCACTTGGGGAGACGGGAGTCTGGTTAAAAGTCAAGATCATCCAGATATGACTGTGACTGAATGGATGCAGCAGACCATGATCAAGTCATACAAAACATTCATGCCAGTGTTCCCTTTTCAGGGGTCATGGTGGGTTCGGCTGAGTGCACAGATCTATCTTGAGATCAGTGACTTTGACTGGGCTGGCTGGGCGCTGAAAGACCTCTGTAAGAAGCTACAGGAGGAAGATGAATCTGATCATCAAATAGTATAATAGCTATGCCAAGCAAATAAAGTGTTGCAACAAATCACTGACAATAGACTTTCCGACTACAATACAAAAAGGGTCATATTCATAACCGATATTATTATCTCGGTTCAACGAAAGGAAAGAAAGCTAACAAGGAATCAATAGCCCGAGCATAGTGGGTCCCGATCCCGACGGCTTCGGCACGAGGAACACGCCAAACCGGTTTCACATGGCAAGTCGGGATCGGTCTGGAGGCAATATATCATGTAAAGATGGTGCCAATGATTAATTTCAACCTGAAAATAACAACATCTTTGAAGAGTTTTTCGTCGCCTGAAACAAAACTGATAACGGCTATGATCGGTTGTCCTCGGGGGACCACTCTATAGCAGGTGGCAGCCACACCTCCGATTGTAGCCGAGAACGACCTAAATTTTAACTGGTCAATGACTTGCATGTGTCGCGGCAATTTGACTTGATAGTGGATCTTTAAAGCATTTAAAGCCACAGCGGAAAAGTATGGATCTTCCAAAAGTAATTTTTTGCCCTAGTACAGCTCGCTTTGCTACAATCAGGGCCCATTTTACTATGGATTGCGGATTAGGCCGAAGACCCAGAAGAACTAGGAAGAAAAAAAAATGTGATCAGGCTGACCGAGACAGGGACATATACTGAGCTTGCCTTCCTCGACTAGAGCCTTGTATATTCCCACACAAATTCTCAGTCTAATCCCAAAAACTTTGACATGACAGCATACAATGGAGCATATCAATCATCACCCAGACAAATATGAGCCAGATAACGACTATGCTATGGACGCTCGCAGCCATGAATCCGACGACACAATTGAAGAAATTGATACACTCGAGCTTACCCGTATCAATACCTATCGACTGCAACAGAAAACAACTGTAGGCTCTACGAGAGGGCCTACTCCCCGTGACAGATGGCTTCCCATGGGCGCTAACAAAGATTATCCACCCATGCTCCCGGATTCTGAAGGATATGTCGTGGAGTTTGATGGAGCCGATGATCCCTTACATCCATATAATTGGTCCACCTTTAGACGGTATGTTTCCTATTCCTCCTTTTGATATCAATATACACATGCTAATATCTTAATAGCATCATGCTAGTTTGCATCTTATGTTATGGTACCTTCGCCGGATCGTTTACTAGCGCTGTCTTTTCGGCTGCTATTTCTGGCTTCAGCAAGGAGTTCAACACAAGTACCGAAATTGGCTCCCTTGGCGTGACACTCTATGTCCTTGGCTTTGCAGCCGGGCCAACAATTTGGGCACCAGGATCGGAGCTTATCGGCAGACGTTGGCCACTATCTCTCGGTCTTTTCGGATGCGCTATCTTCACCTTAGCATGTGCAGTTGCCAAAGATATTCAGACCATCATGATCTGTCGCTTCTTTGCCGGACTATGCTCGGCCAGCCCTATTTCAGTCGTTCCCGCTGTGTTTGCAGACTTGTTCAACAACACCCAACGGGGTGTCGTCATGTCGATTTTCTGCATGGCGGTATTTATCGGGCCCTTTTCGGCACCGTTCGTGGGTGGCTTCATTGCAATGAGCGATCTGGGTTGGCGATGGACGATGTATATCTCTGCAATCATGGTCTTTGTTGGCTTTGTCCTAATCTTTGTCTTCCTTGAGGAGACTTATGCCCCCGTCATCCTTGTTCGCAAGGCAGCTACCCTTCGCCGACAGACTCGCAATTGGGGCATCCATGCAAAGCAAGATGAGGTGGAAGTGGATGTAAAGGAGCTTCTGCGGAACAACTTTGCTCGCCCCATTATGATGTTGATCACGGAGCCCATACTGCTTCTGGTCTCATTGTACATTTCCTTCATCTATGGCCTCATCTATGCTCTGCTGGGCGCATACCCTGTTGTATTCCAAGGTGTTTACGGCATGAATATGGGTGTCGGTGGACTTGCATTTGTCGGAATCATCATCGGCGAACTCCTTGGCGGCGTTTATATCCTCCTGATACAGGGTTCATATAGAATCAAGCTGGCGGCAAACGGTGATAAGCCTATCCCCGAATGGCGCCTTCCATCTGCCATCATAGGAGCTGTGTTGTTTGCTGGAGGGATGTTTTGGTAAGTACCTTGAAATCTTCAACAATGTGTAGTTTTCTGAGCTAATATTCAATAGGTTCGGCTGGACCGGATTCACTCCGTCCATTCACTGGATGGCTCCTATTGCTTCAGGGCTGATTACCGGGGCGGGGATCTTTTTGATCTTCTTGCAATGTTTCAATTATATTGTTGACTGCTATCCTACATTGTATGTTACTTTGTCTCTCCAGGGCTGTGAAAACTAGTGACTAACCGGATCGACAGGGCTGCATCCACTATTGCTGCGAACACAATCCTGCGCTCAGCTATTGGCTGCTCATTCCCACTTTTCTCCAAGCAAATGATGGAGAATCTAGGAGTTCAATGGGCGGGGACAATGCTTGGATGTATCGCGATCGTGATGATTCCGATTCCTGTTCTGTTCAAGGTATACGGTCCATGGCTGCGAACGAGAAGTAAATTGGCATGCTCGCCCATTTATGATGTTGAGAAGAAACCTTATGATGTTTAATAGATATGAATTCATGTAATAGATCAATATACCCCAATTTTATTTTGAAGATCAGATCGAGAGCATTGCATTCATAGATGCCCCCCAGGGCCGTAGTTATCGCTTAACTAGAAATGACGTCACATGTCAATTAAACAACCGATCTGTCGATCGATCGGATGGTCCCAGCTCGCGACAAAATCTAACTCTAACAATAGTCTTGACAGCCTTCCCCCCCGACACTTTTCAGATCCACGATGGAATATCCTACGAGTAAACAAACGCTTTTTGGTCCGGATTGGGACCACAATCGCTGGACCGCCTCCGACGACCGCGTCCGCGGTGGATCATCTGTGTCCCAACTCGAGCCTACGGAGGAGGGAGTAATCTTTCACGGTCACCTCGACATTGAGACACTTGGGGGCGCCGGTTTTGCCTCACAACGCACGGTCGGAAATGACCAAATATGGGACCTCAGCGGATACGATGGTCTTGAGCTACATATTGTTCCATTGGACGGAAAACGATACACATTCTCCCTGACAGACGAAATCCCACAACGGAGGCCAGACGATCGTGAACAAAGTGCTCTTGTCTGGGAATATGATTTTTACCCGAGTCAGACTGGACGCGAAGTGCGTATATCATGGAAGGATCTGAAACCGACATATCGGGGGAAACCGGTAGAAAATTCCAGGCCGTTGGACTTGTCGCATATAAGGAGGTTTCGGATCATGATGAGAAGGTGGGTCTTATGTCAATGGAGAATAGAAAATGGGTGCTGATTTTATAGTTTCTTTGGGGAGCAACACGGCGACTTTAGCCTGAAGTTTCAATCGATCGGATTGTTCCGCGAGAGTTATGTTGATAGCCCTAATCTCGCAAGGGAGAACTTGCGCTATGGCGACGAGAAAGCAGAGCCGGCGAATACTCGAGAGGGTAAAAGGTGGTTCTTGAGTTGTTGTCCATCCTAAGATGGTCGTATCGACAAATGAATGACCCTGGAAGAACCGCGTTCGCGTCGTCCAATAACACAACGAATGTTCCATTTTCCGCTTATGGGGCTTTTTCAGGACCCCTAAAAGGATTCAACTGTGGGAAACGTGAACTGTCCTCATGATCCTGCCGAGGCTCTTGAGACACGCGGACCTCTGTTGTCTTCCGTATTCCAACATCTCCCAATATATTTTCCTGACTAGAATATCGGCTATCTGCTCGGTCCGCTTGCGCCTCAGTGTGAGTGGCAAATAATGAAGCATCTGGGGCACGACGGACAAGGGGGATTGGCTTCTGTCGAGGGGTCGATTCTGAGCGCATGTACGCTGAACTCTTTCGGGAGCGTTGCAGCACCACTGAGTAGGATTGTCGGAGGGTAGGCAACGATGCACAGATGATGATAACATACATCTGGTCATATTCATAAGCTAGGATTGCTTGGAAAGCACATGATTACTTACCTCGATCCTAGATTTTTTATTAACTTTTGTGAAATTTTAGAAAGAAAGGATGAATGACTTACGTATACCAAATAGTGATGTCGGCCCAAGACCCTGTATGCGCTTAGCTGTTGTGCTCAGTGATATGAAAGCCGAGGAATACCCACAGGTGATATCGGCATGGGCAGGAAGGTTCTTCAGCAAAATGCATTTGACCACCGTGGCCGCCGCCGCACTATAAAGTCAGCCTGACGCTCCTAGTGTGTGATGGAAAGAGTGTGGTACAAGATACCGGCTCCCATAACGGAGATGATTGCGAACTTCATCTTTGAGGCGAGCTGGACGTGCCAAAAGATGTAAGCCGGGAAAAGGGCAAGGGCCAAATCGTTGAATGCGTTGAAGGCAGCTTGAGATATCCCGGCAATCAACTGAAAGTTGAGACTGAAGCAGGAGCCATCAACATTCTGGTTCCAGATACGCTCCGCGGGTCGACAGAACCCAATTATAGCCACAATAGCCAGCACATTCCACGCAATTGAGACTACCATGAGGATGTATAGGAACCATCGACGTGGCGCGGATGCCGATTGTCCCATGAGCCGAAGTAGGAAGATGGTCACACTTATCTTGCCAGTTGTGGTGCTGATAACAGAGAAGTTGGGTGCTATGACTGTGTACTTGATCGCCTGAATTTGTCGAGACGCATCTGAAATTTCGTTCAAGTGGCGCCCCAATCCGTAAGAAACGGCGACTTGCACCAAAGAAGAGCATACTAGAGCACTTGCCAGCGAGAAAGCGATGAAGAAGTCATCCCAGCCAGCACGTTGCAAAGCCACCACACGTGTGTACAACCTCACACTAACAACCGCCAGAGCCAAACCACCAAAACACCATGACACTGCCGTGATGTTGACGCTCATTGTGCTATGTTGCCAATGTCATCTCCACTCTTAAAAAAAAAGAGACCTCATACTCCGTACGCCATCGCCAAGCACCCCTTATCGTATTCGCAGCATCCTACTACTGCGTCGAGGCATTCAAACGTACTGAAAAATCCATCCCTGTCAACAAGCTGTCACTTTACAGTTAAAGGGAGAATATCCTATTGGCCTTGAGATCATCATCTTGGCAAACGCGGGAAGTATATTGTTTCCCCACTTAATGAACGGCCCGCGCGGAGTCCGACAAGGCGAATGTGTTTTTTTCTTTGTCCTCCATTCTTTGTTCCGCAAAGGTGAGGTCCTCTTGCTTTTGTCAAATTTTATAGGGGAGTAAACTATTGGCAAGTCCAATTTTGGGTATCATTCGAGCTAAAACGATCGTTTATACGCCATCTTTCGCTATCGCATCATGAACCAACCAAACACACCCCAGCATGGTTTATCCACTTTCTCGACTTTAAGCGATCACTAGTGAAGCCATCCAAAAAGGGGGGGGGGAAGCAAAAGAACCCAAAGGGCAAATCCTAGCATTGCCGCCCTCAATTTCCCTACCCTGAATTCTCCTTTCAGCTGTGATTCTGCACCTTCAAAATCGCAACAGCATATACATTCATACCTATATTTCTATCCAGAATACACAAGATGGAAACAACTGTGCTTACTGAGTCAATTGACCAACTACATCACCAAGTGACAGAGTCACTGGGAGCTTTCCAATGCCAGCACGAAGAGGCAGATCGTGTCGCCGCCCTGAAGGCAGCGCAAAAACTGGTGAATGCACTACAGAAGCCGCAGGATTCCGTCTATCATCTGGCCTATTCTGTAATTATTGGACCATCCAGGGCGATGACGTTGGTGCTAACCCGGTCTAGCCTACTCACGCCCTGTGTGTGCGCATTGCCATCGACATGAGTATATTTACAACGCTGACGGAGCGTAATGGGCCGGTGTCTCTCAATGAGCTTGCAGCTGTGAAAAATGCGAGTCCGATTCTAGTTGGTATATCATTTTCTATTCGCCCTCTTTTATTGCATAGGTGACTAATACTGAACCGATGGGATAGAGCGAGTCCTACGTGTCTTAGTTGGGATTGACTATGTTGGCGAATACGACACGCGCGTTTACACCGCGACTACAATGACACGCCAGATGACCGACCGACTCAGTATTTCGGTGATCAAGTTCATATTTGATATTGGCATGCCCACTCTTGCCAAAATCCCCGAATTCCTACGTGACAAGGGCCACCAAAACCCAGAGGGCATCATGAATGGTCCATTCCAATTTGCCGAGAAGATTGACGAGCCAATTTGGACCTGGTTCCAACGAAATCCTGAGAGGCTTGATCTTTCCAATACCTTTATGGAGGCTGACCGCGGTGCGCGGCCCAGTTGGCTTGAATGGTTCCCAGTGGAAGAGCGTCTTCTATGTGGTGCTCATCCCGATGCAGAGACGCTTATGGTTGATGTCGCAGGGGGTCGAGGCCATGATCTCGCAGCATTCTTGGAACGGTACCCGGATGCGAAAGGTCGCTTGGTGCTCCAAGACTTGCCACATGTTTTGGAAGAGAGTACTATAAACACGGAGCGTATTGAAAAGCAACCATTTGACCTGTTCAAACCACAGCCGATTCATGGTGAGTTTTGTTGTTTCCATGCGATTTGGATAATCGCTGACATAGTTCCAGGCGCTCGCATTTATTATATGAAATTTATCCTTCATGACTGGTCCGACAAGGATAGTCAAGCTATTCTTACCCAGCTGGCTGGTGCATTGAAGCAGGGTTACTCGAAATTGATCATTGAAGAGTTTGTGCTGGCAGATCGCGATGGTGCTATGCTACCGGCGATGTGGGATTGGGAAATGATGATTTTCTGTAACAGTATGGAACGCTCCCAGTCCAATTGGACATGCTTGCTAGAAAGTGCTGGATTCCAGGTTATCAAGTTCTGGGCACCGCCTGGTGATGGGCAGGGCATCATTGAAGCCGAACTCAAACAATGACGGCATTTTGTTCGGACTATATCGGCGAAGCGGTTCCTGGCTCTTTAATAGAAAATCACCTTTCCGAATTCGGCTTATGATTTTGTATATTATCTTCGCTCTCCCTAAAGATGAAAGAGTAGCTTTTCAGAAAAGATGTGAAGGATTTATTACACGGTGGAATACAATACCAAGCGTATGGCTTAGTCTAGGCCCTGTGATTCAATGGGCTCGATCAGGGCTGGGCTTTCTTCACTAGTACCTTATACATGGGCTTCTGCAATATATAGTCTGAATTTGGCTCTCCTAACACAATATTTGAAGTCTTTATTCTAATCATTTACGTACTGTACTGGCTGTTAAAGACTACTCCGGATATCAAAGTACTGCTTGCATGTCTCTTGAACCAATTAAATTTGTATTTTACAACGCTTAAAAGAAATGATAACGCTTGTAAGAGATCGGGCAGGAGCACCTTAAGGGTGAAAGTACCCGAAAGGTTAAATGCCAGAGTAAATTCATCACCCTAGGGCAAAGGTGCATTCTGCTCATTGATGTGTTCGCGATATGTGACCCCTGGCAGAAGAACGATCTGCCGTGATCGCAGAGACCGCAGAGGGAGTATCGCTATAGTTTGACACTGACGGGGCGCTGCCTGGGACACTACCCGCAGGGGAATAATGCGTCTGTGGGTGGTTCGTGTACGCCGTGTAGGAGCGGTTAACCTCGAGATCAGTGGAGGGAGGTTCTTTTATGGCCGCAAGGGGTATCTTCGAGTACGACTGACTTGAATTCGACAATTTGCTAGCCGCAATTCGTCGTGCCTTTGCTTTCCCACATGCGTAGTAAACTATGGCGACGCCCATGAATACCGAGATAAAACAACAGCCAAACGCAATTGCTGCGATATTACCCCGGTGGTTCCACTCTGGGTATTGTTAGTATGATGAATATTTTTGGGTATAGATTTGATGACTTACCGGCTAGCTCCGCTGCGGTCATGCTAGTTGGAGTTGTAGTTGCAGTATCTGTCGCCGTCGTCGAGGGACTGCTGGTTGATGTTGAGGTGATTGTTGTGACTGAGGCGCTGGCCGACACCGAGGAGCTGCTAGTAGTCGAGCTGGTAGATGTTGGGGTCGAAGATGAGGTGGTTTCGGTGGTAGTCTCAGATGTGGGGCTTGTTGTAGACTCTGTTGTTGAAGTAGTTGCCTCTGATGTGGTCTCTGTTGTAGTCTCTGATGTGGTCGACTCGGACGTGGTTGTCTCTGATGAGGTTTCCTCCCCTTTCTCCGATGTGGTTGTATCAGTTGTGGATGCAGTCGACTCGGCTGTCGTAGTGGTATCTCTAGCTTGGAGGATCTCGCCGTATCCACGTTTCCCGTAGAGCTGGGCTACCTCACTCGGCTGTGAGACTGGCCATGAATTCTCAACGGATGTTGTGGCTGAATTCCATGTGATTTCAGAGACATACGGGTGACCGAGTACTCGGGAGCACAGCACAGTGCAAAGTGTGAATATCGAACTCCGCATGCTGTCGCAATCAAACTGGAAAAGAAAGGTTTGAGGTGAAAAGAGAGATGGAATATCCTCAACAGAGGATCAGAATAATTTGAGACGCCGGCAGTTGATAGATGTGAATGGGAAGAAGAGGAAAAAAAAAAAAAAAAAAAAGCCACGCGGGGTGTCAGATTAGGTAGATGCATTCCCGATTGCTCTCTGATATTCCACCTAATAATTTGTGGATTCAGGAAAGAGAAGGTTTTATTTTGAACTGCACACGCATATGCCGCGCGGCAAAACTGATTTTATTCAGAGATCTTCGGCATTCTCTATTCGATTTCCTTACTGTATAATCATTATTCCCTTACAAAGGCTTCAAAACACGTCCATATCACATAACTCTCCCCTGATAAATTCATGGCTGCGCCCCTTCAATTTTTATTGTTTTTATGGGCAACACCTTGCAGAATGCCGACTATTTTTGGAAGTTCAATTTCACTGCCAAGAGACACTAAGAATGGGACCTGAAGATCATTCGTATACGTGTATTCAAAGAGTTGAAAAGAAAGATGCGCTCACAATTGTTTGAAGAAATTCGTGAGATCCGAGATACAATTTATTCATGGAATATCGTATTTTCTAAAAATATCCGACGCGAACTCGTGATCGTTGCCTGAGATATCAGGCATACGGGGTTCCTAATCCGGACAGTTGACTAACTTATGTAGGCTAACTACCAGTCCACTTCTGGCAATTGACTGGTGTAGTCACTGTATATGAGGTCCCTGAGTATCAAATAGTATTTTCACTAACCACTGACACGGGAATTGATGATAAAGCTTTAGGATGGAATGTAGCACGTGAGATATCAAAAGCCATGTACTTTCGAATATAGGACAAAGTAATGTTACAGCAATTGTGTTGTATTAATTGTTTGAAACTATAGGTTACCATTCTTCTATGCTTTCTTGGCCTACTGATTGTTACCTAGTATAATAGGTAAATGTAAACATAACCAACCTATGGTGTTGATTTCCCATAGTAATGCCAAGCATGTCGGCATTTATGAGGAACTCGGGACATATTTATTTGCACGCTTGGTATGTATGTGGATTATATCTCATGGACATGTCGGCCAATCACGCAGTTGAGTGCCCTGTGCAAATAACTTCCCGAGCGCCACCCAACATCGGGTGCACTGTACCTACTACCCGTTTGGGAAATGAGAGAGCAAGAGCCACACGCCTATTTCAACTACATCATAGAGGTAATTGGGTGTTAGAAATGACGTAAACGTTGCACACACTTCCAATATGGAAGAATTACCTTAAATGAGTAGCGTTGTGACAAGACCATGTGGGGTTTCAAGTTACAAATTTCAAGGTTATTGAGGCACCGCAAATGTTACAATAGGATGGTTACTATGTCAAATGTATCACTTTGATACCCCGGGGCCATTTGAGTTTCGCATGTAACATACTTCCCGAGCCATCAAACCCTAACGAGAAGACACCTCCTGGTCATACGATTAGGTAGTCATCTGTTGCATCGGAGAAAAGGATAGATTTGTATATTGTCATTCAGATCTCGTTTAGCAATTTAACTTTTGGGTTAATGCCCCATCAAAACGTTCTCGCTAACCTTTTAATGTGAATGTCGTACCTGTACTCCACAGTAACAAGCACGCCGAGTAAACTATACAAATCATGGAAGTAGCTTCCTTATTCCCGGATTTTCTGTGATCTATGCAAATATCCTTAGAAATAAATAATTTAGCTCGTGGGTTACATTCGGGAGGTTTGATATCATGCCGGTAAGTTAAGGTTCAGCGGATCTTGAGTATGTCTTCCGGTATTCTACTACAATGGATTAGTTATTATTACGACTACTATCATGATTAATGATCACATTGCATAATTCAACTAGCACAGTGAAAGGCTAGTCAGTAGAGATGAATTATTTAGAGAAGAACGATGAAAATACACATTCAACGGGACTGTCCTATTCAAGGAGATGTTGCTATTTTATTTCCTTATAATCATCGGCACGTATATATAAAATTGAACGGCCACTACAACCCCAGAAATATCCGGCAAATATCCGACAGCTACCCTGTGCCGAATTGCATCGGAAAAGCATGCAAGCTGCAAGATTTTGATCATGTGGACGTCAAAGCACCAAATCTACGGGTTTGCCGACCAACAGCTTTCTGATAACCACAAGGTTTATTGAATGAAAGGCGTTCATTGGGCTCGGAGAGATAACTGGTAAACATCACGCTCATTATTCTACTGATCAAACTTTCTAGGTCAGCTGCGAGAAGTTCCGCGGAGTCATCTGGTGTATCAAAGGTATATTTAAGGACGAGATACTCACACAAGAATTCGGATGCTACTAGCTAGAATTCAAAATATTACTCAAGATAAAAAGAGGACTTACAAACCATGACGAGGGTACGGTTTATTTTGGGCATCATTGCTCTGCTATCCATGACAGTGCATGCGGTGTCTGTGGGGGGTCGGGATATACGTACTGCTAAAAGGCAATCCACGGGAGACCGACTTGTCTTTGCTCACTTTATGGTAAATACGCTCTTAAATCCCCTCTTTGTGTCGGTGATATACTGATCATCTGAAAGATTGGAATCGTCAGCAATAGAAACAGCGCGGCGGAGTATGATGATGACATGAAGCGTGCTAAGTCTCTGGGTATCGATGCATTTGCTCTGAACATTGGCGTAGACCCTTATACCGATCAACAACTCCAACTGGCATACGAATCTGCTGCCAATAATGACATGAAAGTCTTCTTGTCATTCGATTTTAACTGGTGGCATATTGACCAGGCTAGTGCAGTTGGCCAGAAAATTGCGCAGTATGCTAGCAAGCCTGCACAACTTCTGGTCGATAACAAGGTGTTCGTTTCATCATTTGCCGGGGATGGGATAGATGTTGCAGCATTGCGAGCTGCGGCTGGAAGATCAATCTTTTTCGCGCCAAATTTCCATCCAGCTACTGGAACAGACATCTCAACTGTTGACGGTCTCTTGAATTGGATGGCGTGGCCAAACAATGGAAACAATAAAGCCCCAGTTCAAGGTCAAAATGTTTCCGTGGCTGACGGGGATCGAGAATACGTCAATTCCCTGGGCGGAAAGGCTTATATTGCCCGTCAGTCTTTTTGTTTTCGTTGATATTTGGAATAATATTCTGACCGTGAAACAGCTGTGTCTCCGTGGTTCTTCACACATTTCGGACCCGAAGTTTCTTATAGCAAAAATTGGAACTTCCCATCTGATCTTCTGTGGTACAACAGATGGAATGAAATCCTTGAACTGAAGCCGCGATTTATTGAGATTGTCACATGGAACGACTATGGGGAGAGTCATTACATTGGACCTTTGAACTCACCACATACAGATGACGGGGCCTCAAAATGGGTGAATGACATGTGAGAATATCAACCCCTCTCTTTCAAAGCTACAATCCCTGCCTGAACTGGCTCAACTAACGAATCATCACAGGCCCCACGATGGATGGCTGGACATTTCGAAACCATACATTGCTGCGTTCAAAGCAGGCGAGTCGTCACCGACAAGCCATATCACATCTGATGAATTAGTCTACTGGTACCGACCTGCACCACGTGGGGTGGACTGCAACTCTACAGATACCTGTATGGTACCAGCAAACAACGGAAGTGGAAACTATTTCATGGGTCGTCCGGATGGCTGGCAATCTATGGCCGACTCTGTCTTCGTTGTATCATTGCTTACATCTCCAGCCACAGTGCAGGTCAACAGTGGCGGCAGTGTCCATAATTATGAAGCACCAGCCGGTGCAAGTGCAAAGGAGGTTCCCATGGGAGTTGGCTCACAACAATTCGCAGTCATTCGAGATGGGCAGACTATTCTGTCAGGAACCAGTTTGAAGCCAATTATCAACGGGTGCGTTTGTGGGTTGTATAACTTCAACGCATATGGTAGGTGAAGGCATGACCACTAGTTATGACCCCTCTCTAACTGGAGTGTTTAGTCGGAACACTCCCAGCAGGATTTAGTGATCCCCTCCTGGCAGATGGGCTTTCTGCCTTTAAACAGGGCCTGCGTGATCAAACATGTCAAGCGACACCCTCTTTAGGTACAGTGCCGCCAGCTCCTCCAGCTACAAGCTCGACCAGCAAATTAGGAAGTCCTCCCCCGACTACAACACCAACATCATCACCTGGAAAACCATCACCCGGACAACCCACGACTACTGTGAGCACGGTTACAGTTACGAAGACTCTGAGTCCCTCAGCTTGTCCACCCCCAAACAGCAGCGGCGGTGGTACCGGTGGAGGAGGTGGCGGTGGAGGTGGCAGCAACAATGGAGGGGGTGGTAACAGCGGAGGAGGAGGTGGCGGCGGAGGTGGCGGCGGTGGAGGAGGTGGGACTGGCGGGGGTGGTGTCGGTGGGGGAAGTGGAGGTCGTACGTGTATTGCGGGAACTGGATCCGATAACTACATTGGGCTGTGTGTCTTCTGTTGCAACTATGGGTATTGTCCACCTGGACCCTGTACTTGTACGCAGTATGGGGGTGCAGTCTCGCCTCCGCCATCGACGGGAGCTCATGGAGCGCCTCTTATCGGTGAAGATGATTCCTATTTAGGTCTTTGCAGTTTTGCATGCGACCATGGCTATTGTCCATCCACAGCCTGCCGAGCTCTTTGATTACAACTCATGCAGGGGTTGAAATGCAATTCTCCCATCGATATGTGGACGCAATGGCATAACAACGACTGTCATAGGCTAGTCTAGGTTCCGATATTTCCGAGGATATATACAGGCCATGCGCAGAAATAGACTAGTATTTGTTGGATTTGAAATCTTTGAAGTTCAAATTGTATTATGAAGATTAGTTAAACTAGATTTTGTGGCACAATCTCTTTTGTGCATGTCTGAAAGAATGAAAGGCAAGGAATGCCAGGTAAAATGGACGATCTAGCTCAATCACTACAGCAATCCTACCAGACCTTGAACCACGGCACAAGCTAGTACGAGACTAGTCGGCCTTGACCGTCCAGCGATACCCGCCATGGGGGTAGGGCTAGCGGTGGCAGCAGGCGGCGATGTCTCACCACCCGGCGCCGCGGGCGTACTTGGAGTCGTATCTGGAGCAGTTGTAATTGGAGGAGTGGTAGTGGGGGTGCTCAAAGTTGCAACCACAGCATCAGCAGTGGAAGTGATTGTAACCGGCAGTAACGAGATCTGGTCCCAAGGGACGGTTGAGGTGCTGGTACCGGGCGTACTAGCTCCTTTCCCAGTGACAGTATCTGTACAGGTATAAGCTCCGGTCGGGAGATCGGTCATATCGCAGACAACGTGATTATATCTGTTGTATCAATGAGTCATCTATCCTAGCTCTCAGTAATGGTTGACGGTTTGTTAAACGCACATGTTGTCAGCTTCAGCACTGATCAGATATTCGACAGTAGTTGGGGCTGCGGTCAAAAATAGGCCAGGGCCCATACCACATTCTGTGCTATTGGTGCGGCCGGCCGGGCAATTGATACTATATGTAGTTGTTGCTGATTGCTATTTATAATTAGTTAAATATTCGTGGATGACTCGCATTGATACGAACCTCTGCCAAAACCTCCCCCAACAGTGACTGAGGATCGGCGTTAGGAATGAACAGAGAGACGACAGGATACTCTGCAGCAAGTCCCAGAGTTGCAAATGCTATGATAGCTTTCAAGATCATTATGTGCTGGTGTCCCTCTTTATCTTTATATTATGATGGAATACAAAAGAAGAAAATATATTAGATAGACAGCGATTTCTTGAGGAATTTAGGAGCCCTACATTTGAAGGATATGTTATATCTCCGATCAAAACACTGCCATCATCATTATCTAAGCCTGTCGTCTTATTGCGGAAATTTCTTGCGCGTGTTATTGTATACAGGGATGATGAAACTCTCATGTCATACGGATCAAAGGCCGGCCAACATAAGATTTCGATCTTATCATTCAACAGTATCAATTTACGCTCAAAGCAAAGAAGAATAGGGTGGAAAATGATAATATACCTTAGTGATTGAAATTATGATCTTGCTTCTTCACGTTGGTAAATGCACCGCATGCTGAATATTTAAAGACATATCTATAATAGAAATATCCATGTGCTATAGGCCATATCGTCATTATTACCACTCACGAATAGATCCATCCGGTCCAAAGAACTCCTTGGGCTGCCAAGGCTCTGTCTCCTTGCTAATCTTCCGCACCAAGTCTTCGTCAATATCAATGCCCAAGCCAGGCATACAGGGGGCAGCGACATATCCCTCCTTGATATCAAACACCGTCTTATCCACCAAGTAACTGTTCAGATCAATATCCCCAGCTTCAGTATTGTAGTGCATGCCCAGCGACATCTCTTGGATGACAAAATTTGGTATAGACACGGCCACCTGGAGGGAGGCTGCCAAAGCGATCGGACCCAAAGGACAATGAGGCGCAATAGCAACGTCGTAGGCTTCAGCCATGTTTGCAATACGCTTAGTTTCAGAAATACCTCCTGCATGGGCAATATCAGGCTGTAGAATATCGACCGAGGAATCCTCTAAGAATCTCTTAATGTCCCACCTGGAGTATAAACGCTCGCCAAATGCAATGGGAATTGTAGTCTGCTCGGAAAGTTGCTTGATCGCTTCAGGATGTTCGCACAGCAGAGGCTCCTCAATAAACAGAGGTTGGTAAGGTTCCAGTGCCTTGGCCAGCTGCTTAGCCATAGGTCTGTGTAAGCGACCGTGGAAGTCCAGACCGGCATCAAGACCCAGAGCCTTCACCTGCTTCAATCGTTCCACGCAGGACTGTAAAACGGCGGGTGAATCTAGCCAGTTGACATCTTCGGTGGCATTCATCTTGATGCACTTGAGGCCTTGGGCGATTCGCTCCTTCCTATTGACAAAATTTGTTAGTAATTCGGTTTTCTTTCCCCTTCATTTTATTTCTCAGAACTCACGCTGCAGCCTCAACATCACTTGGTCGATCACCTCCAATCCATGCATAAACCTGCACCTTCTGGCGTACCTTTCCGCCCAAGAGCTGGTGTACGGGGACACCCAGCTTTCGGCCCTTTAGATCCCACAAGGCGATGTCAATTCCCGATAGAGCTGACATGAAAACGGGCCCCCCGCGGTAGAAACCGAGTCGCCATACTGTCTGCCAAATGTGCTCAATGTCACTGTCAAAGGTGGTTAGACTCTTTTCTGGGATAAGATGCGTTCAAGCATACTCTGCTTCGTATCCAATAATTCGAGTGATAATCTCATCAAGTGCGCCTTCGACTGCAAGAGAATGTCCTTCCAATGTGCCCTCTCCCCAACCGAAGCGCCCCTCATCATCGGTGACTTTAACAAACAGCCAGCGAGGCTTGACACGGAAATGTTCGATAGACTTGATCTTGGCCATGATGGGTTATAGAATAAACGTCTTGGATATTGTAGAGCTCTGGAATGCGACCAAGTTATATTCTGGAGGTTCGCGACCCAACCCCACACCCTAAAACATCCCACGCGGGGATCTCGGGAGAAGTCCGGTTAAGCTGATTTTCATCTATGTATCAGTTCCCCCACGTTATTCCAGTATAAGCTTTGCCTGGTTGGTGGGAAAACTGCCCCAGAGAGGGTCAGTTTCATGGGGAAGAAAGAAGAAATGTGGGCCATCTGATGGGCCGAGCTATAGTTAGCCTTATCCTCTGCGTATAGTGAACCCCCACGCTCGGATAAGTTCCGGGATCGTCAGGCTTGGGCACGACATAACCGGGGTAATGATCTTATGAATGTCGCAGTTGGAGTTGGAAATACTAAGCACTAGTACATGATGAAATTCACTCGCCAGGATGTCAACAGACATAACAACCGGGGATCGTGTTGGGTCTCGATCCATGGGGCTGTCTACGATGTCACAGGTAGGGCCTCAGGATCCTGGGGGGCTACCAACACCAGCTGACATCTGTAGACTTTTTGGACTCTCACCCGGGGGGTGCAGCTGTGATTTTGCGCTGTGCGGGTAAAGACGCGACTGAAGATTTTGACTCTGTTCACGCGGTAGAGTTATTGAGGGAAGCACTACCTGAAACCGCACTCAAAGGCTACATTGACTCTGCTGAGTTGGTGAAGCCGGAAAACGAACCTGATGCAATAGACGAGAAGCAATCAGAGCTAGACCATGAGGGCCTTCCGCTGTTGCAAAGTCTGATCAATCTGCACGATTTCGAACGAGTTGCTGGGGAGAAGCTACGTGCCACGACATGGGCGTATTACTCGTCTGGTGCCGATGACGAGATCACGAAAAGGAATAATGCCCTAGCATACCAAAAGATCTCCCTTCGTCCACGTATCCTGCGGAAGATTTCTGCTGTGAATACAGCCACTGAAATCTTAGGGTACTCTACCACGTTACCGGTGTATGTCTGTCCTGTGGGTCTTGCAAAACTTGCCCATCCAGAGGGTGAGTGTGCGCTAGCAGCTGCAGCTGGCAGGGACGGACTAGTACAAGTTCTCGCGAATGGATCGAGCATGCCGATTGAGAAAGTGATGAGGAGTCGAACCTCACCGAATCAACCTATTTTCCAGCAACTATATGTGAACAAGGACATTCACAAATCTGTTGAGACTGTGCGGCGAGCTGAAAGATCTGGTGCTAGTGCTATTTGGTATACGGTTGACTCGCCCATGGTGGGCAAACGTGAGATGGACGAGCGGCTCAATTTGAGTGTGACGGTATGTAGTCTGTCTGGGTAGGCGTTATTGTACTGTTATTGTATTTACTAATGTTCTTCAGGCTACCGACAGTACTGCGGAAGGACAAGGGGTAGCGAAGGTCATGGCTAGTTCGATATCTCCTTTCATCGACTGGGAGATTCTCACATGGCTTCGCAAACTAACGGACCTCCCTATTGTCATAAAGGGAATTCAATGTGTGGAGGACGCCTTGCTTGCCTATGAGCATGGTGTGCAAGGCATTGTACTTTCAAACCACGGAGGACGCTCACAAGACACGTACGACCCCTCCCAACTCTGATCAATTGCCCTTGCTGGTGAAATGTTTACTTACATATAAATAGGGCACAATCACCACTTCTGACACTACTGGAGATTCGAAAGTTCGCGCCTCACTTGATTGAGAACAAAATGCAGATCTTTATTGATGGTGGCATTCGCCGAGGAACAGATGTACTCAAGGCTATTGCACTAGGGGCGACTGCTGTTGGATTGGGCAGGCCGTTTTTGTTTAGTTTGTCCGGATATGGCGAGAAGGGAGTGCGACGGATGATCGAGATTCTACGACAGGAGATCGAAATGAACATGGTTTTTCTGGGAGTGACGAGCCTTGAAGAGTTGAGACCTGAAATGGTCAACACCAGTCGTTTGGAGAAACATTTGATAGGTAGTGTAAAGCTATAGATCGAAAATGCCAAGACCATTGAAGAACCCAACCCCCACGCGGGGATCCTCCGATGCGGGGAAGAGTCGAGTCTCAAAAAGCATACGATTTTCTTTTGATCCTCACAAAAATGTCTGAGATTGATGTCCTCGTATATGGATTGGGAGCGTGAGTTCCCCTCTTTCATAATAACATCCTTATCCTGACTTTCTGTAGCATTGGCTCCTTCTATGCCTTTGTCCTGAGTCGATCCGACTCCGTACGACTATCAGTCGTGGCACGTTCGAACTATGACGCTGTAAAAGCAAATGTGAGTATGCCAGGTTCACGGCATCTAGATACTCCAGTATTAATAGCTGGGCTTCAAGGGAATTGTAATCAATAGCGAGAATCACGGCCAACATACTGTGCATCCAAACCGAGGTATGTGAGGAGATGCACGAACCAAATAAAAATATTTTGCTAACAGTCCAACAAGTCGTAAAATCTGTCGCAGAAATTTCACCAGTGGACTACATCGTCTGCACCCACAAAGCAATCGACCAGGATGAGGTGGTAGCTCAATTACAGCCAGCCATCGACGACAGGACTACCATTGTCATCATTCAGAATGGAGTTGGCAACGAGGAACCTTTCCGAAAGCAGTTCCCCAACAACACAATTATAACCTGTGTGGTAGGTTCTCTCCCCATTGTCACTTCCACAGTCTGATCTAACTTCCACAGACGTGGGTGGGAGCAACGCAGATAAGTCCTGGAATTGTCGCACATACCAAATCTGAGGATATGCAGATCGGCATATTCCCTAACCCCAAGGTCGAAAACCAGGTCGAACAACAACGACTTGAAACGTTCGCCGATCTTCTCCGAAATGGCAAGACTCAGTTCCAGGTTCTGGAGGATATGCAGATCCAGCGGTGGGAGAAAGTTGTTTGGAACGCAGCATGGAACTCATTGACTACGCTCACCATGGTGGATACACAAACGTGGTTGAAGTCATCGGAAGATGCGACGCCGTTTACTCGCCAGTTGATGAAAGAAGTCATTAACATCGCCCGTGCCTGTGGTGTACCACTGAAGGATGGCCTGATTGACCAGCTTATGGACAAGATCAATGCCATGCCTGGGATTGGAAGCAGCATGCAGACGGATTGCAAAAGTGGACGGCCAATGGAGATCGATGTTATTTTGGGATTCCCAGTGCGGAAGTCTCGAGAACTCGGCATTCGAGCCCCCTTTTTGGAGACCCTCTACGTTCTTCTTCGGGCGGTTGATGGCCGACTAAGGGCTGCGCGTTAGAACAGAATACGATGTTTGATTCGGCTTTTGCTCGATGATGTAAGGTTCGCTATGGAAGCTAGACAAATTAAGGATGTACGTATTTGACATATCCCACTCAAATGGGATTCAAGTTATTTCAATCGTCTGTGATATTCCAACGGACTCGGGGCTAAGATCAGTCGTCCATCCCACGAGGGTGGATTTCACCCGTAGCACCCATATACTGTACCATTTTCGTCAAGCCCGACCTTGCTCGGCGTCGACCATATCGAAAGCAGGGCTCATGCCGACATATCGTATTTCAAGACCACTCCCATGCATGTGTACGAGACGTTGTCTCTGAACATCTCAACATCCCCAAATCCCAATCAAAACCTCAAGACGGGGTTATATGCAAAAAAAAGATGCCTCAAAGAACCTAAAAAACAGTGTGAACTTTGTACAATATGCCAAAGCGACGTCCCCACCCGTGACGTCCAAAATGCAAGCGAGCAAAGCAAGCGCGAGCTTGCTCTTTGCCAACCATCTATCGCAGATGGCTCATCAAAATAAAATAGAAAAGATGTCCATATAAATATATACCCTCAAAACATAATATAACGTATTCAAATCAAATAAAAGGTCGTAGCACATAAATAAGTCATCAGGTCTGAGGAGGAGAGGGTGGGTGTCGGATCTCTTGTAGCTGGATCGATGTAGTCTTGTCCACCTCTACCTCTGGGGTGCCGCCCGGGGAACCAGGAGGTTCCAGATTCTCTGATTCCTGGTCCACGGCGAACCTCCAGCGGTTATCGGCACCCATAAACATGCGGAAACCGTAGCGTTTGTTCAGGGATGTGAGATGAGCATGCCGTTCGGCACTACTCCATTGGTGTGTATTGGCAAAATCTTGAAGCATTTGGCTGTGCGAAATCCAGGGGATGATGGCTCCAATGGAGCGTGGCATTCGTGGTCCTCGGAACCGACCGCGTCGTGTTCCAAACACAACAAGTACGACCAGCGCGTCGAAGATAATGATGGCTAGAGCGATAGCAAGTGATGGGCCCGACGGAACCATGCACCAAGTACTGCGGGTGATGGTGGCATTTGTGGCCGGGACTGGTTGGGCCAGAGGTTCAAGATAAATTTCTCGCCAAATTGAGAAGTATGTGCTATAGACCCATTGATATACAGTTTGAGTCATATTCGTCAGAAGATCAGGGTCCAGAGCGGCAAAGCTGGGGTCTTCGCGCTCGTACAGACGGGCGACAAGGAAACCTGCCCAATCATACGAAGATATGTTGTATGTTCCGTTCTGCATGGTGGTATTTCCTACAAAGTTGCTAGGGATAGCAGCAAAGACTTTGTTGAACTGGCCGAGACTCACGGTTGCATTGTCGTACATGGTTCCATGAGTGATAGATGTTTTGGGAACAGGCTCGTGCCGACAGATCTGTCCCTTCTGGTCGAAAGAGATTGAATAGTTTTGCAGCCTTGCTTGAGGTTCACAGTGCAATGCAATTGTGTTGTTATCCGTGATCGGGGTGTCCGCCAAGTAATCCCAACGGCCGACAACCACGACAGTCGATGTCTGGCAGATGTCCGTTTCGTCGTCATCATCTGGGGATAGAAAGTGAATAGATAGCGAAATTCCTTCCTGTTTCTTCTTCAACGCAGGCATGCGTGCCATACATTCCATGGAGGAATCGTCAAATAGTTTATATCTCCAATGCTGATGACCGTTGGCTGTATTATGAACAAGAGCGTCAGATGAAAGGGGCTGACACTTGAGCTCTGTTCCAACACCAAGCGTTGAGGCGCCATATGTCACATCCGGGTTACGGTTGGTCACGTGTACTGGGACAAAAGACTGATTTGGGCTAGTCCAAGACAACATAGGGACTCCGCTGCTGATGCTGGTCTGAATCAAATCATACTCTGTGAATTCCGCAGCGAAGTCGGTCTGCCAAAATGTAGACTGGCTATAGTTCATCCACAAATCGCTGGTGTCCAATGTTGAGGTTGTCAATTGTTGAGTGAAAAGCCCACCCGCAACGACAGTCAAAGCCATGTTAACGACGCACGCAATTGACACGAGGCCCAGCAAGAGATGTCCGTCACGGACTGCCTTGAAGAAAATGGCGAACGGACTGTGGGATGAATAGTTCAGCGACAAGGAGGTCTTTGCTGACGCGTTGCCGCGTTGGAGATGGACCCAAGGCTCTAAAACACTGAGATTGCGGTGAATCGATGTACACAAAGCTCCCACGGACGATGCGACGACGGACGGTAGGAAGGAAAGAAGAATTTGGAACACACTCGAGTCGGATTGGGTCATGTGGCGGAAGCGGCCGTTTCGAAGCAAAGATGAGACAACTAGTCCGATGACGATAATGACCCCAGCTAGGGCCAGAAATTCAATAAGAAAGAAAGGTATTACGAGAAAGTGAGGCATCGGATCGACACGAGTTTTGAGATTCTCTCCAAGCTGGACAGGGGAGCCTAGATACAGTCAATTAGAATTCTCGACAACGAATAGGGTGACACAAACCATCTTCAGCGAGGATATCCAGCCTATTGCCAGAAGGACTCGGTCGCCAGTAACATCGGGCATTTCTGAAGATACGACGAAGTTGCCGGGTAGAAAATTGATGAAATTCCGCCACCGGCTCTGCGAGGATGTTCGATGGGTGAAAAATATCTGCGGTGATACTGCACATGGCACCGATGGACCCTGGGTCACTTTGGAGAAACAGCTCACGGGAACTATACATGTAAAGAAGGTACAATGCGGTCAAAGTTGCCAGGATGAGAATGAGCTCAGACCACAGCGCCGCGAAGTTAACAACGGCGATAGCGACTTGGTTCGACAAACGTGAGGAGGTAACATTCCTTGGCGGGCTATCGGGATCAAACAGGCGACCGAGTGTGAGCACGAACGTCTGCTTGACATCCCGCTCTATCTTGTTTTCAAATTCGGTCTCTGCCATGACGGTCGATGTGTCAAGCACCAGCACAGGCTGTATATCTCCTATCTCCTGGCTGATGATAGGGAGTTCAGTGACTGTGCGAGCACCCGTGGTAGCATTTTCCCGGATGAAGAGCATGTCACTGGTGAACGGAGCGCGCTGAGAGAGTAGAGCTTGGAAATGTTCGATGCTGAACTCGGATTTTGTAAGCTTGCGTTTGGTAGCTTTATCGATATCAATAGATATGATAGAGCTGTTGGAGTGCATAGACACGCGGCCCTCTGCTTTGTGATAGAGAATATCACAGGCAAAGGCCGTACCGGACGCAGAGTATTCGCTCGCAGTCGAAGTCGAGTTTGAACTAGTCATATTGACTCCAATGAGCATGCCATATAAATCATACGGATCGCAGCCGAATTCTGTGAAGGCTTGGATTCGGTCCGGAAACGCTTCTTTGGCAGCGGCACCGATCATGGGCTCCCAATACCGTAGTTGAATATAATCTGTAGCCGGGAGGAAGACACTCTCGTATTGAAAGTCAAGAAGGCATTTTGGGGAGCTTCCATATGCATCATTCAGGTCAATACCACTGGCGTTCCATGAAATCGTTGGATATGCCGCGCCGGGATCATTGATAGCAACGGTGAGCTTGTCCTCAACTGGAACATTCTCACACCCAAGCTGCGCCCAGTACAGCGTTTGATCAAGAGTCCATATTATGCTTTCGTCTTGCTGACTATCGGGTATTTCCACGGGCGCCACAGCGAACTTGGAGGATCGCGACCTGCCCAATCGATCATCTGAGGAAAGTATGTCATCAATAGTATTGTCGGCCTGGGTTGAGATCCAGTTCGCTTGTGTGTTCAAATCCACCAGGTTGGGCCAGCTTTTTACGATTCCGTAGTCCACTACCGTCGCCTCGCGTAGTTCAAGTAGCGCACTCTGTAAAGCGGGAAGGATCATTCGGACCGAGAGTGTGACAAACGACACCCAGAGAACCACCCAGTGGCGGCGGCGTGCGGCATTGATCGGAGTCAGAATAGTTTGGCCGAAGTTGTAGTTGATGAACAGAACGGCCGCCGGGGCACCCTCGGGTCGGGACAACTGGAAGTATGGTTCCAGACGGAGAACATCGAAATCGGTGACGGTCCATACCACGACGAGCACTAGGGACACGATGATAGGAACATAGTTGTAGGCAAACGATTGTGCGGAGGTCACATCTTCTGTGTAGCCAAAAAAGACCAACCCCCCTTCGCGCTCGCTATACTGCCGCAACCCTTCCAGGGTCAGCAGCATCGTTAACATCAAACATATAAGGGAGATCAGGTAGGGTGGGCGCAGAGCCACTGGGCGCCAACCTCGAGATTGAGGGCGGGCTGGAGACAAACGAAATGGTGCAAAACGACCTAGTTCACATCATGTCTCGATTAGCTTATCGTATCTCTATGGCGTCCACGGGTTCGACGCGGAATGCGAAACGAAAAAAGGGGGTGTCAAGCCGAGAACCACCACTCACCGATCTGTCGTGCCCAGCGCCATACCCCATCACTACCAGACATGCTATATAAGGTCCCGAAGGCGGACAATGTACTTGATACAGTTGAAGGGCATTGCCAAATCAAGTTTCAACCATTCAATATGACTTTGCAAACATCCATGGTTTAACAAAAAAGAGGCTAGGTGAGGCAAAGGAGAAGAAGACTATTAAAGAGATTAAAAATGAAAATGATCAGCCCAAAGCCAAGAAAATGAGATGGATCTCGGGCATGACGAAAGAAAAGAAGGGGAAAATCGATTTTGTTGTGGCTGAGAGGCTGTGCTGTGTCTGTACCCACTAAGACTAATCCTCAAATGGACTCCGTAACTAAACATCTATCATATTTAGTAATCTGGAATTCGAATTTCTTACATTCTGACATTCTGATTGCAAACTAGAAAAATAAAAATCGTAACAAACATTCATCCTCAATTCGAACGAGTGAGAATTGGGAAATAACCTCTGGCAAAAGACCCATACAACATATACACGAATGAACGTGGTCAGATCTATGTTTACATAATTGACATCCATCCTAGGGAGGAAAACCGAGCAGCACTCAAATGAGAGGACGACGAAATGACGGAGTCACACTGAACGAAGAAGCAGACCCAGTAGGAGAAGTAACAATAGCGGAGGAAGGAGCCACAAAATAGGAAGCCGAAAAAAAGCTAGAAGGCTAAAGCGAGCCAGTTCCCAGCAGAAATGAGAGTAGGGGGTCAAGAGAGGAAGGGTGTCGGCGGCGCGTTTCTAGACACCTGCGGAGGCGATAGCACTGCCGATGGATTGGACATCAGCCAATAGAGACGGAAGGTCTGTTGGAATCGACAGAGACTCGCCGCGCTTCTGGACTCCAGCAGAGGCCAGCGCAGCGGCAGCTTCCTGGGCATCAGAAAGCAACGAGGGGAGATCGGTAGGGATAGAAAGTGACTCGCCGCTTTTCTGGGCGCTAGCACCGACAGAAGCGAGGGCTGCAGCCACTGACTGGGCCTCAGATGCCAGGGACGGGAGGTCCGTCGGGACAGAGATGGCCTCCCCGCGCTTCACGACACTTCCGGCGGTGATGGGGGTGGCCGTCGAAGGTCCGGATGCAGAAGGAGCATAAGAGGACGACAGCGGCGCAGTGCTGAAGGTAGAGAACAGGCTGGGAAGAGGTGAGTTGGTCGACTGATGGATAGGAGTCGACACAGCAGAAGAGTTGGATGCAATATGAGTACCATTAAAGAATGGGGCACCCACGGCAGAGCCGGACAGAGCGAGAGCGAGAGCGGCAAATGAGGTCTTCATTTTGAAAAGGGATTGAAAGAAAGAGGTGAAAATAGTGAAGATTTAAAAAATTGTCGGTCAACGATAGCTCGCACAGCGAGAGAAGTATATATGGAATGAAGATAATCACCGGTATACAAAAAGATTCCTCGATCTGCTTGATGAAAAGAATTGAACAGACGGACTCTAGGGACTTTATACCTTTGCTGGCCGTAGCACACCATCGACTCTCGAGCACAAATAGACACTGCTTGTGTCTGCACATGGTGGGTCATTTCCTCAATCAATGTGTTTGTTCCTTAAATTGAGACAGCCTTGACTGGTTGAGTATGGACGATCCCCAGATCTCGTCATCGGTTGGATATATTCTCGAACGGTCCTCGATATCCGAGCCCTGGGTGATGGACTTTCTTGATGCTCCATGTCGATTAACTGCCTAGATTGGGCTTGGGTTGGGGTTTGCCCCTGGAAGTATACCAATGGTACACATAGGGGCATGACCGACGGTAGCAACAGTCGCAAAATTGTAAACGTTGGAGATTGCCACCAATTCATTCCAAGGTTCTATCTCACATCTCCACGATATGTGCGAATAAGAGCAACCCGGATATCGGAGGCTGGTTGTGCAGGGACACATGGTGGAACCGATAGACGCATTTGGAATAACCCCCGGGGCCCCGTAAATATGGGGCATTAGTGGAGAGAACGATTGCGTTTTCATATTTGGAGATAAGGTCCACTAGTTTGCAGAAAAGACGATCCACCGTTGGGTACGGAGTACAACATAGAGAGGCTCTGGTTGACGATTTGTCTCATCTCCACTCAGTTGGCGGCTGAATTTTCCGCCTCATCGGGGAAGCCCCAAGATTCGGCATACGGGGCATACGGGACCCAGCATGTTTTAACTGTCCCATCCCAAAGTTATAGACAATCATAAACTTTCGCCTAAAATGGGTTGGCTATTCTTTATCCGTGGAACATCAAATATAGTACCGATATAGACGCCTTCTAGATTCGCAACACTAGACAGTTATCAGCGTCCCAAATGTTGTCCCACTGGAGGACAGGCTCCTGCTAAGGTTCCATAGTTTGAAGAAACTCGAGAAGCACCATGTAACAAGGAGGTCGTCTCGATCAGTGATACATGTCAGAGTGTTCACACGGCCCATGCACCAGGGGCAGACTCATCGGTTCCCTGTGGGGAGGAGGTAGGGTATCCAAGTTGGCAAGCTTAAAGAAGGGCGGCGCAGGTGCGTAATTGTGTTAATGCAGTTCTCATTTTCCATGGTAGCCGAGGAGGGGTTGACCTCCTCCATGAGCTCCATGGGTCGGTGTTTCGATAGTAGGAGAAGCGAGGAAAAGGAAGAAAGATGAACCGGATGGTCGGCGATCTGAACATTCGATGTGAGAGGAGAGGAAAGAAAAATAAATAGAGACATGAATTGGATGATAATTCTTAATCTGATGCAAGATCGTGTATATATATTGTGTTGCCGACAATTCCAGAGTGATATCTTCACTTATTCTTCCCACTACTGTTAGAATCAAGCTAATATTTCTAGAAATATTTCCCTTCAGTCTAATTACTGGCCACTACATTTCAAAGTATACAATGAGATATAGTTGATGAAAATGGTTTAAGGCCTTGGTCTTGGCAGTCGGAGCTTTCCCCGAGGTACCCGAGAGCTCCTCCCCTCTTGCTTCTTGCTTCTCACCTCCAACTCTTCCTCTCCTCAGTCATGGGTATTTTCAGCAAATTGGCCAAGACCACCATCGCAGGCAGTATTGCCTCGGTCGGTGTCTTCTGGGGCGCCACGCGCAATGACATCTTCGAGGCCATGGACAGCTCCGATCCCATCTTTCAATCGGCCTTTTTCCAAAAGTTCAATCCGAGCCGCAACCCAACTCTTCATGATGTCTGCGTCCGCAGAATTCCCCTAGACAAGATCCAACCCTCACTGATCGAGGAGAAGGGCAAGTTGGTGGAAGCCTTCTGTGCCGGTGTCTGGGGTGGCATGGGTGAGTCCTACACTTGGGAAGCTTTGTCGCAATGAAACAGACTCTAACATGTATATTTTCTCTCCAGGATACATTCCCCAGCGAGCCATTCTTGAACGGAAGTACCGTGGCCCCGAGACTGCCGACCACCTCTGGGACCGATCGGATCTCCTCTCAAACAAATACGAAGTGGGAACCATCGTCACCGATCACTTTGAAGTCGTTGAGAAGACCGAAGACCGGATTCTCATTCGCTGCGGCGACTCCCCACGTATCCGTGACGTGCGTCCCTCTGATGGCCTCTTCGAAATTGCTGCTGTGGTCAAGCCGGCTCAAGGCGTGGCCGAATTCAGTCTGAAGAGCTGCTTCTACCAGGGTCTTGGAAAGGCGGAAGGTGCTCCCATGGATGAAAAAATGGCTTGGGCACACCGTCAGTATACCAAGTTGCTGCTGGAAACTGCCGTGCTAAAGAAGTGCATCCGGTAAGGTAGAGTGGAGGACCTTTCAACCACCCGGAGACGGAATTTGTCGGCATACAAAAATCCTAAATTTTCGGTTGGGACATGCCGTGTACATATTCCGAATCATATATCCCTAATCCTGGTCTACGAGCAATCGAATTTTGGCTCAATCGGAACATGCTGATCTACAGTGTCAAACTTCAAGGAGCTCTCCTTTTACTTTACATATACACCGGATTTTAGGCCACGCGACATGGCTTTTCGCTTTAGTGCTCACCTACCGCTTTTTGCTCACTGAGTGATTTGAGCGCAGTGCGTGTAATCACGACTTTAGACTCGATTGATATGTTATACAAAGAATGGTTCCTTAAATCAAAGGGTGCCTTCCTTCCTCATCCCCTCAACCTTTCCAGCTAGGTTAGGGTCCTTCTTTTGGAGATACTCCACAAAGCTATCCATCATATGGGTCTTGATGGCATTCCGTTTTTTCCATGGTTCAACTTGACTAGGCACTGTCGGCCCTGTATATACCTTCAACGGATGTTCCCGTGCCTCCAGCCAGAGATGCTGAAGTCCAACAGATTGTAGCATGAGCATAGGATAGAGCTCACTCCAGACGAGGTTACCTAGAATGCGCATCCGGCCCTGGTATGTTGGGGTTTCCTCCTGGGATCCTTCCTTGGCCGTATCTGCACTTTCGCTTGCATCGGCACTCCCATCAAAGTCTGGATCGACGGCTAGCACTTGGCCTTGGAAGTCGCCTTTGAGGAGGCCTGTGTCCTTTGCGTAGGAGGTAGTAAACAAGTCTTCGGTATAGGAGCCCACGCCCATGTGATCGATTAGAAGGAAAACAGATGGTGCTACTTTATGGGCCCACTCATCCGAGGACCGGATATGTTGGTAGTGTCTATGAGAAGCATTAGTCCCTGGTTCATGTGAATCTTGAAATGGAGAATTTGAGGCCCACGAACTTCCTTGCTGATTCGACGGGGTTGCTTGCGTCGAAGCCTAGTTCCTTGCCGTCGAGCCAATGCAGTTTGAGCAGTGGTTTCAGCTCGTCAGCGCGCTGGACGCCCTCACTCCATGTCGAGAAGTGAGCTTCCACGTTCCGCTGTAGCTCTTCCCACTTCTCATCGGGGACGTTGTGCGCTGCGCGATAGATTGCCAATCCGAAGCCATAGTCTTGTCTTTCCGACGGGTCCAAGCTCTGGGTTGCCTCCTGCGCCCGAAGGAGTTGCTGGATCCAGGGCTGGGCAGGTGGTTGCGGCGATGGTGTTTGGCCGCGTATTTTTTCACGCAGTTCATCTTGTACTACTGTGCTAATGGAAACGCGCTCGCGGCGAGCCGCGTCACCCTCTGTTGCGCTTGGACCTTCAACCTTTGCAGCCTCGTTCTGAGCCTCTATACATTTTGTGAGTCGGCCCATCAGGAGCTTGGAAAACCCTGATCTCATGTCTTGGTTTTTTAGGTCAGGATTGTGTAGCCCAGCGACGATTTCAGAGGGGGCATTGTAGCCTTTGTACCCGTCCATGAACATCCAAATGTCGAAATCTGCCATAGAAGTGACATTAATAAGGTCAGTCCACCGCCGTGTGAAATCTTCCATCTCTGGGGTTTTTCCTTCCTGCACCTGGATCGCAGTGAAGCTGTCCAATGTCCGCTCACGCAATTCGGCGACGTGGGTCAGGACCCAGGAATGGGCGGTGCTAGTCATGACGTCGTACTGTGCGCGAATGAATTGTTCCCAAAGCGCAGTAAGGTCGAGTTCGGCTGAAAGACCTCGGGTCTTGCGCCGGGCATTCAACGCGTCCTGCATTTCTCCAAAGTCACTAGATATCTTGTTGAAGGTGTCACGCATGTTATTCCGGATCTGAGGAATATTGAGATACTCAAAGACGGCAATCACGGAGGTAAGGTATTCATAGGCGATCGCGAAATGTTCGGGGTTGTTGAGATCCTTTTCGCGCCATCGCGACGCGGGCACGGGGGCAAGGCCTCCCCACAGGCGCCGTTTGAGGAAGTGAATATTATGTCCAACTCGGCACAATCCACTCAAATCCTCTGGGCCGGTGATTCGCTGGATTGCCTTTTGCACAATTGGGAGATCGGCGGTGTTGAAAGGAGGAGGCGCCCACTGTGAACTCGGGGCCATAAACAGTGCGAATTCATCTGCATTGAGCAAAGGTAAATCGGTCTTCTTCCCGTTCGGCAGGACGCCGGACGTGATGAATTCGACGAAATGCAAGACAGCTTGCGGTTCAATCAAGGCGTCCACTAGTCTGGTTAACGAGGCCACAATCACACATTGACAAGTAGGATCATACCAGCTCCTACGTCATGGCCCTTCCAATGTTTCTCCGTGATGCTTGATCCCTTGTAACTGGTGGCGTCGAGAATGCCAACCTCTGGTTCTGATGAGCCAGAAGCTGTATGGGAAAGTCGCGTGGTGTTGGCCGGTTTTACGCGGCATGTCCACGGCGCGACGTTACGGGTATGGCGATGTGTCACCAAGCCAGTACGGGCACTAAGGCTCGTAATGCGAGGGATCGTGCGGGACGATAA